TCATATACATTAATATAAATCTAACTAATGGACGAATTAGAAGTTTTTCCATTTACAATTCAGAATCTGTATTGTCAGCTAATATATGTGTGCTCAGTATTGCAATAGACAACGTCTTCAAAAAACGTACAACAATATAGGCCTCCTCGGTGAATTACTCTACTCTAACACAGTACTGTAACTGTACAATATATTAGGTGGCGTTAATTTTTAGAGGGCTTAAGAATTCAAACAGCTTTAAGTGCATTAATAATACTTTGGCAAAAAGTATATTGTTTCAAAATTATAGGCAGAGTCACGAAATAAGACAGACTTGTTGCTCGCCACTCCCAGGCTGCCTTCTACAAAAATCACCGGGCAAAACACCCACAATATCTCTTAATAATTACCACCAGTACAAAAGGTTTTTGTGACGAAGTAATCTTATAATTCATTTTGATTGCCTTTTATGACTAATAATGGTAGAAACGCATCTTGTCAGACAATCCGTTTGTACACAAAACACGAAACGATAACAGATAGGCCTATCAATTCACGCGTGTATATTGCCGCGGGCAGGACTGGAAGTAAACTGAATCAGGTAATGACGGAAAGACGTGGTCTCTGGATTGATGTTTGTGTTATCAAAAGCTGAAATTGGACTAATTATAGTGACGCAGGAGAGTGTTGAAAATATAATGGGATTCATAATTGATTTTTCCATTCAAAATTATTTACAATAATAACCAATTTATATGGTCTCGACATTCTACATTACTGCAGAAAAAGAAATTTATTAAATAGGCTACTTTGAGGAGTTTGAAATATACTTAAAACTATTGACAGCACAAAATTTTTTAGTGAAAACACTGAATCCCATTATATTTTCAATACTCTTCTCAGTCACTACAATAGTCCAATATCAGCTGTTGAAAACGCAGACGACAATCCAGAGACCACGTCGGTCCGTCTTTAACCTGAACCTGATTTAGTTTACTTTACTTACATCCAGTCCTGCCGACGGCAATGTACGAATTGACAGGCCTATCTGTAATAGTTTCGTGTTTTGTATTAAATGTTTGTCGTATTCTGACGACACCTCCAGTAGTGGATCTTTTTTAAATCCTGACGATGGTGGAGTTAAAGAATCACCAAAACATATGTAGCAAGTAAAATTCGACACTGGCATATTAAGGATTGTCTGGCAAGGTCCGTTTTTACCATTCTTAGAAGCTATCTTAATTACGAACGGCAAAATGTTGTTGGTGGTGATAGTGAGCTACTTAGAAACACTTTTTCGGGCTGCTTATACAAAATTATACATTCATTATTGACAGCTAGCAAAAAAATATCCCCCCCAAAAATCTCAAAATAAGTCCCCCCCCCCAAAAAAATTCCTGTGGCGCAAACGCGCCACAGTACCCCCCCTCTGGGCACCCCTGAATGAAGGTTTACTAATCGCAAAAATAGTTCTGCTCATAAAATAAAATTATAAATGCCTCAAATTCAATTTTACTATTTTTTAATTATAAAATTAAACTATCATAACCTAACCGAACTAACCAAACTTGCTGATAAAGAAATAATATAACAAGAGTTTAGTAGTCGGAAAAATAATTCTGTTTATTAAATAAAACTAGAAATTGCTCAATTAAAATTTTATAATGACTTAATTTTAATAACTGTAATAACCAAACCAAACCAACCAAACTTGCTGATAATAAAAAAAATCTTGGACAAAAAGTTAATGCTACCAGCGGGATTCGAACCCGGGACCTACAGAACATGAGCCCGGCACGCTAACCATTAGACCACCGAGGCCCGATGGCCATCGAAAGTTTTGTTACGGTAATGGCGTTCCCTCAGCTAATAAGAAACCCTCAGCTGTCATCGTAGCCTCTTCTATACCTCCCCTGAGTAAATACCTATTTCAAACTACACATCCACAGAGTACAGATTTTGCAGTTTGCTCGGCCTGCGGGGGCCATTGAGATATAAGCGGGGGCATGCGCAAAAAAAACCTAAAAATATCGTTTTGACATGAATCGTATCGCTCTATGTGCCGATATAAATACAAATATCGTTTTAGGCGATACGATACGTATCGTTTTCAAATATCGTATCGAAATATCGTATCGTCCCTCGTGTATAGCGATATTCCGATACGATACGGTACGTATCGCACATCACTACGATAGGGTAAACTTCCATATCTGTTGGCACAAACAACCGAATGAGTAATATAAATTATTTGATTGTTTAATTCGATATATCGTTTGGTTAGTTAGGCTAGGTTAACCAAGCCTAACTAACCAAACAATATATCGAATAATCAATAGGTATATTTGATCGATATTTTCATTCGGTTGTTTGTGCCAACAGATAAGTTATGGAAGTGTGCCCGATCGATATATCGATACCTAGCCTAATTCGATATCAGTTAGGGGCTATCATTTGATTAACCCTAGCAGTGGCCAATGTTAGAAGTGGGGAATGGCCAACCCATTTTGGCGATTTTGCAGACCATTTTTTGAAAATTCGTAAAAATTCAACCGTACAAGTAAACCTAACCAACCTCATATTCATTTTGTTCGGAAAGAACAGGAGAATCTAGAAATAGTAATATCATAATGATTTAGACAGTGTATTTTATCGGTTAAGTGAAAAAAATAAAAAAATTTGAATTTTTTTTTTGAAATTTCAAAAGCGGCCTCTGCATTTTTTTTCTACAGATTTTTTTATGGGAAATTCATTATATACATTTTGTAGACAATCTAATTCCCTAAATAGAAATATATAACATGTAAGGAAAATATTTTTTTTTATAAGTTTTTGGGGCGAAATATAATGACAAACGGAGAACCGAAAAAATTGAAAACCGTACAGTGTTAGTTTATGTTGTAAAAAGTTCTATAATATATGTGTATACTAATAATGATATATACATGTTTGTAAAGCTAATGAAGTAAGGAATCAAAAAAAGTCATAAAGTTTATGGTAAAAATAATTTTTTACCTATAAACATACGTATATAAAATAATGTTTTTATATTTTAGCGATTTCTCGAGAAAAAAAATTCACAGTACTTAGTATACAACTTTTGTACCAAATTTTTTTACTTCAAACCAACATAATAATCTTGTAGTGTATTCAATTACCTACATAAAAATGTATAACATATTAGAAATATTTTTTTTGTAGGTACGTAATAGGGACATAATAATACAATAACCGCAAAACCGCAAATAAGTGTAAACTATAGCCTACAGTGTTTGCTTGTGTTGTGAAACATTATGTAGGCTGATGATATGTAGCCTACATATTTGTAAAGCCAATGAAGTAAGGAATCCAAAAAAGTCATAAGTATGATGGTAAAAAGTTATTTTCACCTTGATTATGTATCAATTTGAGAACGTTTTGAATTTTTTGCGCATTTCGAGAAAATGGAGTATACAGTATTTAGTAGCCTATATAATTTTTTACCAAATTTTTTACACCCAAACCAATATAAACATGTTGTAGTGTATTCATTTACCTTTATAAAAATGTATAACACCTTGGGTAAATCATTATAAGCACCTCTGAATGTCAGAATTTTCATTTTTGGACATGATGCTAACAAAATACAGTAGTAGGCCTATTTAGTATAGGCTATAACTTTTTTACAAAATTTTTTACCCCCAAACCATTATAAACATGTTGTAGTGTAGGCCTATTCATTTACCTTTATAAAAATGTATAACACCTTGGGTATATCATTATATAGGTACAACAATCTCTGAATGTCAGAATCGTCATTTTAGGACATGATGCTAACAAAATACAACCTTTTATGAACACTATTCCACACAATTCAGTAATATTTATGCATGAAGATAACTGTTACACACACACAACACTTCACTTACACTAACACTACGAAATAATAACATATTTCGTAATAAATCGCGGATAAAACTATTGCAAAAACACAAACAAACAATGGCAATACAAGACAGCTGATAGACTGTAGCAGTAATGACTCACTTCCGTCGTCTACATGCGAGCATACAGAAATGAAATAACCCTGAGTGCAGGGCTGCCACTCTCTGAATCTAAATTTCTTCCTCTTCAAAATGATATACTATATGACTAGTAATAATAACTTTCACTGTATATAATTCGTATTTTCCATACTGTCACCAGACGACTGTTGGCCATTTGTTAGAAATTTCGAAAACAGCTGTTTTCATAAAATTGTACCGATTGTGCAATCAATATTTAGTTATACCACAATGAAGATAAAATCAATGGCTATCCAGTAGTATCACCCGCAACATCCCAAGACGAAAATTACGCGAGCAGGGTAATGCCAAACAAGACGTGTTTCGCCAGTTTCCCAAGTGTCGGCTGCAAAAGTCGTACCGCGCCAAAATTTCATTTGATTTCTAATCGTCGTGACATTGTTATATACCTGCTACAGGGTTTGTTTATGTAATCAAATGAAAGTTCAGAATGTGATCTTTCGAATGGTATATATATTATTCTAATCTGAGTTGATTGTAAGTGTTTTTTTACCGTTAAAAAAATTTCGGCCCATACCGTAACCAGACGACTTTGGCCATTCTAAGCATCAACGTCATACCGTAACCAGACGACGGTTGGCCACTGCTAGGGTTAATTAACTTAGGTAGGTATACACTTAACCTAACCAAACGATATAACGAATGAAACAATCGATAAATCGATATTTAGTGTAGGACGTAAAGTGCAGCAGTGAAAAATACTAAGTTAGGCCTAAGCCTAGTTACCGATTATGAAATATTAAATGATGAGGAATTAACATAAGCCTATGCCCGTCCAATCGTCTATTGGGCTAAACGAGAACGAGAGGTCCTGGCCTAGGCTATGGCAAAAATCAGCCTAGGCACGTCATCTGCTAGGCCTAAATTACTAGGCCTATAGCCTAACTGAACTTATGTAACTTAGATAACTTATAGGCTAGGCTACCAAAAAGTTGGTTATTATTACATCACCCTCACCTAACGAATGCGAATCCTCTGCTTTCCCTGGTAAATCTGTCTCTAGGAATGTATATGTCGCCGACCTCTCCACATCTCTCAAAAACGCGGCGCAGATCGTCCGGCGTTGTTCGATAAGTAAGATTATCCACCTTAAGGGAAACCATGCCCTCAATACGAGGAGGAGGTCTACCATAACTCATTTTTACTCAGGCAGCTGTCACAAATAAAACTGTTGGGTTAAAATTTGAATTGCGTAACCAAAAGATTCACGAAAAACAACGCTGCACGAAACAAGATGGCATCACGGCATCAAGAACAACGAGAACGAGAGAGAACACGAACGAGATCGGCGGCACAGTGAAGCAGAAACGGAACTGAAAGTGCATCATGGGATGGAAATGTTATTACGCTTGGGTCAAAGTAGCAACTTAACACTGTAAAATTAAAAGTATATTCACTCTTTCTTGTTGCATTTAATGTATATCACTTATAAACATTTTTAATATGGTGCAAGTCACAAATAAAGGTTGTTTTAGTTACATGGTAAGCCATCAAATGCGGAATGGTAGAATTACAAATCAAGCTAGCTCCCACATGAAACGATATTCTCAAAACATGGCTGAAAATGAAAACTTAAATTAAATAAATCATACAGGGTTAACTCAAACTCACCTAACAAAAGCGAAGCCTCGGCTTTCCCTGGAAAATCTGTCTTTCGGAATGTATACATCACCGACACTACCAAATTTACTGAAAACTCTTCTCAAATCATCTGATGTAGTTCTGTAGGTCAAATTTCCAACTTTGAGTGATACCATTCCATCGATTCTGGGCGGAGGCCTGCCATAACTCATCTTGAAGGATTGTTAATAGACACTTAAATATGAAATTTTCACTTCACTCAAACACATCAGAACATAAATTTGCGTAAAAGAACTTCAGAATCTATCTATAGCCGAGTGCGTGCGATGATGAGCCCGTGTTACTTCAAGATCTTGGCGGTAGAGCTTATGACGACATAAAATCGGGTCGGGAGGGGGGACACTTTGATAACGTGGCGGCAAATTCAAACGGAATAAGGGGTGTGAATATAACTACCGTTCCAGAAAAACCAAGCAAACCATTGATATTATTATTGAAATATAATGTACTATTAATGTTCATATAATTACTTATTACCTATTGTACCATGCAATATTATTGTAAATAGCCTAATATTATTAAAGTATCAATAGAGGGCCAATATCGATAGGTCACAAATTCTACATTCAGATTATATCAGACCAATCAAGTATTATCTTGTTACTCCTTGAAACAACAAGAAAATACCTAGTTATCGACCTTTGTACTTTTTCTTAAACATTCCATTAATAACCTCCAAAATTCTATAAAATGAATATAGTGAGTAAGCCTATAAACAACAATTAATTGATGTAAAATGCCAAAGTAATTATAACAGATTTAGGTTAATTTATTTTAAGTTACCTGCTTTAATATTCTAACAAAACTAATTTAGTTCTAGGAAACTATTTTATCAGTTAATTTTTAATATAGGCTACTCATGTTCAGTTGTTCAATGGTTCCTTTAAATTGTATCACAATCTTAATCATCATATGTATTGGCGTCAGCCATTGAAATGATAAATAAATGGTATAAATGCTATTAAAAATTTAAATATATGCATATGGGTTTTAACCATTTTAATAAAGTACTTTAATAGGTGGCTTTCAGTCACACCCTTATACAGTATTGAAGAATTCTTTGCATGTGGTATTAGCCTAGTATCTTAAACACTTTGGTTTATTTTATCTGTGATTTTAGCTTATGTAAATTTCCAACTTGTAAAACTTTCATTGCTTGCCTGTTTTATTTATTCAAGTATGCCACCTACTGTGATTTAACTTATTTTATACTTAATTACTATTTACTAGTGTGTATATTATTGAGTAAGCCTGTCTGTATTATTTATAATTTATCTTATAGGTACTTATTTATCGTGCATGTAAACCTTGATGTAGCTTTTTGATTGCATGTATCTCTCTGATTACCTTGCTCATTTATTGACATGAACTATTGCATTTTTGTATAATGTTTAATGATCAAATAAATCTATACATCTATCTATCTATGGTGGAAGGAAAAAACACAGGTGTGCTTCCGTCACATGCTGACGTCACCCAGATTGCAAACAAAAAATCACCTGATTGTATTGCCATATAAGTATATATTTGTTTTGATTTGATTGTTATCTATAGCCTATCATTAAAAGAATTTGTTGGATTTTTGTGTGCAGCAAATCGACCCCTAAATATTAGTTTCTATAGGCAATTTGGAGCTCTTATCTTCTAGATTTGCCTTTTGCGGGCTTGGATGATATATATTGTGAAAGCCTTTCTAAAATTTCAAGAGTTTGTGCTGAATTCTGGGGTTGTCAATCATCTGAACTGTTTCAAGTTTACATTTTTTTGCATCAAAACAGATGGCCATAATACAATTTTGTTTACATCCATAAGAAAATGGGGTTATCTGTATTTGGTGATTTGTGTATGGCTGATAGTTTCAGTTAATTCAAGTAAAATATTGTAATGCTAATTGTATACTATAAAAATTAAAGTATTTTACGCCAAGTAATTACGATAAAATGTAGAGAAGAAAATGACTCACGATTCACGTTTAATTTGGTGTTGTGGCAAAGTTTTGTGTTTTCATAGTATGTTTTAGGGAATTTGAGTAAAATATTGTAACGTTATTTGTCTAAAATGTAAAGAGATTTTGAGTTTTCATAGCTTATGTTTCATTAGCATTAGCCTAGTAATTTTACTAAGATGCCTTGAATAGGCGCACACAATGAAAATAATAGGACACGCAATGCAAATATAGGGATATTATGAGAAATAATCGTGTTCACCCTTATCTACTATACAGGGTGAATTTTAAATGAGTTCCCCCCCTACTTTTTTCTACATTTCTTAAGATATCAACTTCGGACCACGTCAGATCATTGTAGTGTAGTAAGTACTTCATTTTGACTGAATAAAAATTTTTGGCCGCCATCTTGGATCCGCCATATTGGATACAAAATTGTTTTTTCAAATGTAAAGGCAGGGTTGTGACCCATTTTTTCAAACTAGAATTTTACGCTGATTACAATGCCGCAATTAGTTTGAAAAAATCTTGATCCGTTCTAAAGTTATGAGGACTTTTTATAACTTTATTTTTAGCCCATTTTAACATTGTGCATTTACAAACTAAGACCATAATCTCAAAATAGTGCTAGATAAAGATAAGTATACACCACCATTCATTGTCGACCTATTATCACTTGATTATGACGGATTTATTTTTTTCGGCCGCCATCTTGGATATGCCATTTTGAGATGTGATAAATTAATTTAAATATGAAGGTGGTGTAGTGACCTATCATTTCAGACTACTTTTTTATGCTAAATTTAAAGCCGCAATCCGTTTTGCATTTGCATATTTGTTTTTTGAAATATTGGAAATTTAAGTAAGATAATTTTAATATTTCATCAAGAAAGCCTGAGAAACAAAAACGGATTGCGGCACTGAGTTCAGCATAAAAAAGTAGTTCAAAATGATGGGTCACAACACCACCTTCATATTTAAATTAATTTATCACATCTCAAAATGGCAGATCCAAGATGGCGGCCGAAAAAAATTAATCCGTCATAACCAAGTGATAATAGGTTGACAATGAATGGTGGTGTATACTTATCTTTATCTAGCACTATTTTGAGATTATGGTCTTAGTTTGTAAATGCACAATGTTAAAATGGGCTAAAAACAAAGTTATAAAAAGTCCTCATAACTTTAGAACGGATCAAGATTTTTTTAAACTAATTGCCGCATTGTAATCAGCGTAAAATTTTAGTTTGAAACAATGGGTCACAACCCTACCTTTACAGTTGAAAAAACAATTTTGTATCCAATATGGCGGATCCAAGATGGCGGCCAAAAATTTTTATTCAGTCAAAATGGAGTACTTACTGCACTACAATGATCTGACATGGTCCGAAGTTGATATCTTAAGAAATGTAGAAAAAAGTAGGGGGGGAACTCATTTAAAATTCACCCTGTATATCAAATATATGACGGATTTTGAAGTCACAAAGTGAAGCAGGCTGCTAATTGTTTTTATTATATTTTTTTCTAAATGGTGAAATGGTGTTTGCAATCTGGGGTGACGTCAGCATATGACGGGAATAGCATCACATCACACATATGTTTTTTTCCTTCCACAATGATTAACATGTAGGCTAATGTGTAAAATATAAAACTCATATTTTTATTTAGTTTAGAATACTGTAGTCAGTTATATATTTATTTTATCTTAATCTCGTAAATTTAATCTTTTGTGGGTCAACTTCTTGTAAGCACAGTTCTGCAGAAAACCTATGATGGTATTATCGGATGAAATTAGTTCTACTGCGTATTGTCTTCAAGGAACATAATATCGATTGACTGTATTTGAATATGAAAATTATCATTCATAGAGTATTTTTAAGTAGAATCGGGAAAAAGCCCCCCTCACCTACATTGGACTCCAGAAGTATTCAATTTAAACATGCATTTCATAAAAAAAATGCAATTGAGATTTTTTAAACACAGTTCTAGACGTTAACAATGGTTTTAAAAAGTCACCAAACAGCATTTAAAACAATTAAGGTCTTACGCTCCTTTCACACTATTTGGTTTTTGCCGTACGGTTAAAAAACTGCACAGGTAAATTTTGTTAGTAGTGTAAAGAAGAGCATGGCCGATTTCACACTATTCAGTTACAGCGACGGCAGAAAACTGTGCCGTCTTGCAGTCGTCCACTCCCACAGTGCCACTGAACCGGACAGTTGTCGTGCCATGTCCGTGAGTCAGTGGCGCATATATTTAAATGCAAGCTTTCACTGCACGGTTTTTAACAATCAGTAGATCCAGCTGTTTGAAAAATTATCCTACTAATATCATAGATATGCCAATATTATAAGTGAGAAAGTTTAGACGTATGGACGTTTGTGACAAGTTAACTCAAAAAATACTAAACCGACAGGGTTGAAATTTGGTATGATGATAGCTCAGTAGCTCACATTCCCTATTAACATCATATTCTTATCTCAAAAATCCTTTCGGGCTATGCCCCAGTGGCTATGGAGTTTCCCATGTTAACCTTATGGGTATTCATATTTAAAAGAAATTATAGAATTTTGTCAGCTGTTTCAACTGCTCAAGCTCAAGTTGGTTCTATAATATTAAATATCTAGCATTAAAAAGTTAAGGTTTACAGTTTGACCAAAGTTTCTGTGCACACGACCAGATCTGGTTTGGTCCAGGCGAGGGGTTTGGCGGGGGTACTTTTGTGAAAACGTTTGTGTCTTCCTACTCACTCAACCCTAACCCCCAGCACTACCAATAGCCGGTACCTGTATGTTTTACCCTTTAACAGACCCTTAAGAACCAGGTTGGACCTTATGCACCATCAAGTAAAATCACTTTCAAAATGTTTAATACTGGATACCATTGAATAAAAAAATACACAACTAATTAATTATTAATTATTGAAGAGATATCAGAATTTTAATAGCAACATGTTATAATAGGCAAAAATAAAACAGTCTATACATCCGTTAAAAACATTTTATTTGTACAGCTATCGCCTTTTTCTTCCCCCCATTTGTGTTCTCTTCCCCTTTCCACCCGCAGGTTTACTGCCTGGTTTTCCAGCTCCTTTTCCTTTTTTGTTTCCAAAAGTTGATCTTTTCTTTCCTTTTCCTTGGCTTTTCTTTTTCTTCTCGGTTGACTCTCTAAAAATAATTACAGAAATTTTAAAAACAAACTGTGCTATGGAAAATGTAAATGTATACTCTTTAGGTTACTTAAAAACCAAACCTTCACAAATCCGTGTTCTTCTGTGTAGGGATGGTCAAGTCTCGAAATTTCGGGAAATTTTTGGGAAATTTTAAATCTCATTACACGAGACGAGATTTCTTTTTGGCCGAGATTTTTATCGAGACAAGAATAAAAAAATATTAAAAACGCCTGCAGAAAGTCAATGCAATTCCCGCAATACAGGAGCGTGTTGTAGTTGCGTTTCCTTTGCGAAGGCGTTCTTATTTAATTAATTCTTTGAATGTAAATATTACTTTAATTATTTTAATAATATTACTTTAATAACATTTGAGAAGTTTTGTTAAGTGTAAGCAGTGTGAGGAATGTTTTATTACTATAAAAAGTCAAAACAAGTAACTATTTTATAAAAATTAATATTGCTTTTATTTTATGATTTATTTTATTTTAGGATAAGTTTGAACTCTATCCTAACTGATATCACTATGTTTCCTAAACGTAGGCATTTTTAATAAGTTAGGCGTGATTAATAAAAAATGTTATGCTGATGTTTTTTAATAAAAGATTGTAAGTATTCTTGCCTATTATCATTATTTTTGTATTTAAACAGTCATCTAACAATGTTACAAAATCAGGTAAAAATTTTGAACGTGCATTTCCCGTTGTGTATGAGAAGGGAAATCCCGTCTCGATCTCGTCTCGAAATTTTATGAGAAATAAAAAATCTCGTCTCGTCTTGAACTAAAAATCCAATCTCGTCCATCCCTATGTAAAAGTAAACTGATACAAGTTATGAACCAAACTTCATATAACAAGCTGAGAAAAAAGGTTTTAAAGAAACATGCTTGCCTATTAATATATAGATAGATGAGCCATAGCAACTGTTATGACCCATCAACTTTTGCAGCAACAAAAATTAAGATAGTTCTGTGACTGGCTCACACAACTACATGTTTTTAATAAACAAATTGCGATGGCTGGTCAAAAGAAGGGATGTCTACTTCACTATACAATAGTCAATGAGTGGACATTACATATTTTGTTTGAGTTTTCGACCACTGGACGAGCACTAGTTTAAGCTTAAAAGCCTGCACTTACTGTCTCTGTTCCTCAAACATGTGTTTGTTGACTGCCTTTTCCATATCAAGTTTTGGCCTCTTGTTGAGGATTGAGTCGATAATGTTAAGATTGGATTTCTTTTCTTCTGCTGGTCTCTGTTAAACACACATAAGTGAAATGTTCAACTCCTGTACAAGCTTTCTTTAATTCAACCCTCAAAATGAAACTACACCAGAGTTTTGTGGCAAAACAATGAGAATAGACAATAGACAATGGACAGAGAATATAATGAAATTGAGGTATAAAGAATAACTGCTTAGACAAAGATAACAAAACTGCAGTTATATGAGGTGTTCTTTCGGTTAAGGAGCGTATGATGTAGTTTTAAAGATAGGAGCAAATCTAATTTTTTCCTCTCTGACTAGCTCAATATATTATAGCAATGTTATGAACTTGTTGAATGCCATAACCTGCCTAGAACTCTTTTCTTCATGTGAGTTAGAAATCCATCGGTTTCTCTTTCCTAATGCTCGTAAAACAATATTTTATTAATGCTCCACTGATATGTATACTTTTAGTCTAAAAGTATGAAAACATCTTTTAAGTTTTAACTGCACAAACTACTGGTAACATTTTCCGTACCAAAGGAGGAGGTTTTCTTTTCCTTATGCCGGGCAAGGCTTTCTCAGTGGATCCCGTAGCAGCTTTCTTCTCTTTGGGCAACTTGGGCTGAAACTTTCCAATGGAGGCTGTGGAAACTCTGGCAACTGAGGCTGCAGTCCTCAACTGGAAAAGTGATAAGAGTTAGGAAGGTTTTGTCTTCTGGTATTACATTACAGGGAATACAAACTGTAAATTTACTCAGCACACTCAAACATGGAGTCTAAAGTCTCCAAGTATCATGAAAAAAGATTCCTTGGAACCACTGGTATAGCATGTTTTAGTTTGATGGAATCGAGAATCAGAATCGGCATCAGTCCATCTCTGTTTTAAAGGTTTAAAAGTAAAATAAGCTAATTACAAAAATTAATGGGTTTTCAAGGTTTTGAGATTGAGTGGGTATTGTTTCAGTTAAAAACTAACAGCTGTTCAATTAAGTTGGCAACAGCTGGTTGACATAGATCTAATAAAAGGTTGACATAGAGTAATAAAATCAGGGTTTGGACTGTTTCCTTGAAACAAAGGAAAAATTACAATTGTGTTGGTTAAAAGTTAAAACACACAAATAAATAAATGTTAATAATTAGATGGGATAAAACCTATTTGCCCATCAAGGATACAATATTCTCACCGAAATACCAACCTGATCAACTGGTAATTTCTCTGCAGGTAGTATTCCCACTCGAGGCACCTTTACTTTCTTAGCAACAGCGATGTTTCTCAGCCGCTGGAACTCATTCTTAGCCACCTTTTCTTTCTTTAGGGCAGCCTGGAAGAGAACACATTGATTGAACTTTTAGCTATTGGTAGTGAAACATGAAGTGGCCAGTGGTTTAGAAAATTTGTTCAATAACATCCCAGTTCCCATGGTCAAGAGTAAGCTAAAATAACCCTGCCGCATCAAACCTGCAGACTAAGCCAATTTCCATTTACCTGGCATTTCAAGTCTAAATTACTTGCAGAATTCTATAAAAGATCTTATTTTACAAAAAACTACATAAAATTTAGTGATTTGTGTATATTTCCCGGGTAGTGCGCAAAAAAAGCTTAAAAAATGACACCTAGTTTATTAAAATTGGTGAAGAATTAACGTCCTTATGGGATACCGATAAAAAAAGTGCTTTAGAAATTATAATATATAGAAGATTCAAGATCCTTTCCAAAATGAAACAAGTTTAAAAAACAAAACAAAAACCTATTCTCCATTACAAGCTAGATTAGTAATTATAGATACTCAGGGCCTGATTAAGGGTCTAGTCGCCAGTAGGCTGACATTTTTTTGCGCCCCCCCCCCTCCTCCCTACAACTACCACTCCCCTCTACCACCACTTTCAAAATTTCAAAGTATGAATACTAATACTTAATTCAAAAATTAAAAATCGCCAAAGGCATTATACCACTATTCAGTTTATTTAAAAACAAAAGAAAACTGATCATAAATTAATGCATGGTTTGATTAGGAACTTTTAAAACTGCAAATCTTGACTTTGAGATAATATTTTAAATTTAAGAGCTAAACAATATGTCATAGTCATAGGCACTATTAATTCTGGTTGAGTATTGATACAGAAGGTACAGACTTTGTTTAAACTAAGTTCACAGCACGGCCTTATAAAGCTTCGTTAGCACTAGGGTGGCACCGCACGGACGGGCGGCCGTCACGGCATTTTTTTAATATAGAACATATGGTGGATATGGCCGTGCCAGGGACGCCAGCAACGGACAACCTGCGATTTTTCACCTTATGTTCAATGTTAGACAAATGTCATGTCGGCCGCCCGTCCATGTCGTGCTGCACTTAAATATAGTAACAAATCGATTGTTCAAGGAATGTAAAACTTTTTGATTTACATTTTATCCATATGATTGTATTAAATCAAAAGTAGACCTAACCTAAAATATCAAAAAACCAAACGATAATATACGTACTTTCTAAATTAACTCTGTTAATCACCTGGCCTAAAACAATTTTATTAGGGCCTTTAGATAGGGCTTTTACGCCCCCGGTCCCAACTTTAAGTCTTAGCTGTCTGGCGCCCCCCTAAAACACTTGGCTGACTGGCGCCCTAGGCTCCAGCCTAATTAGCCTAACGGGTAATCAGGCCCTGTAGATACTATAGAGTTTGTCCAGTGGTCGAAAACTCGATCATAAATAATATGTAGTACCGACTACTCTATTTTCACCCCACACTGTAAATAAAACATGTGATTGGAAACGTTTTGATTTTTTCTGTTTAGATTTTGTTGTTATTTCCTCACCAGTATGGCCCATGTTATTTTTTATATTTTAAATCCGTTTTTTGTGCTTATTTTTTAGCCTATTTTAATTTGTAAAGGGATTCTGCACATCGACAGGAAAATATCTTTCCATGCATGGATTTTCCCTGCGATGCACAAGAGCTGAGAAAAAAGATTTTAAATATTCATGCTTGCCTATTAATATATAGATTAACTTTACCTTATCCCCAAAGACGTCTGTGTAAGGGTCTGCGTTCTGTGGAACCTCCACCAACCACTCTCTTTCCCTTTCGGCAGCTGCTCGCTTGTAACCGTGCATTGGCACCCATTTCTGCAAACAAAGTGTCATATTGATATTTTATTCCAGAACACTATTGTTTTCCTTGAAACTGATACACAAACAAATGATTACCTAGTCTGTAAAAAAGTTACACAGATCACCTCACACCATTCCAACTCATCCCTCGCTCTTATTTGGGTTGAAATACGCACTTAGGTTGTGTCCCCATCTCAATTGATAATGATAAGGAAGGTGAGATAGGCCTAATAGTCTACATTGAATATATCAAGATTTTGACTTGGACAGTGATACTAAGGATTGTAATGTGATTTCATAATATAAATTTAAAAAATAATTGCTGCTATGCATGTATCATTTGTTTGTAGTTTCACTAAAACGTTTTTAATACAATTGTCAATTTAGATGAACTAAGTAATACAAGCGACCTGCTACAAACAAATAGGCCTAGGTAAATATTAGATCAAACTTTTTCGTGTAACTAGCCTTAAGATATAACAATTAGGCCTAAACTACGGTACTATATTGTGATCGTAAACTTAAAATTACCTTGAGAACATCATCCCAAGTCAATTTGGATTTTTTAGTCTTCTTAAGTCCTTTCTCTTGTGCAAACTTTTGCCATTTTGTCAGAGGTTTGGGTCTAGGGATTCTTTTTTCTCGGGGTAGGACGTACTTTTGGTCTGGGAGGTTAACAACAATGGCATCCTCTACATTTTCTGTTGGAAGTTCCCAAATTTTGTTGAAAAGCAACTGGGTGTTGTCTCGGGCAAGACTTTTTAGATACTTTTCCTTGTTTGACCTGAAAAATCTGAGTGTGTAATTGTTCTAACCGATAACTATTCAGTTTGTTTAACGTGTAAAAAACATAGAATAGATATAAATATGGAATCAAATAGTAGATTAGTGTAATTTGATACAGTATTTCAAATTTGTACACCAACATACCTGTAACTGAAACTATTGACCTGGTTAAATGTAGACTTTTACAGAATGGTTTAGATAATGAATATGTCAATAAGATTGTAAAATCGATCTTATCTGTTTTTAAACAAAATTATTTTAGATTTAAATGTTACTTACAGTTTTTGTACAATTAAAACCATGAGAAAAACACAAACATTTTTGAAATAGTACTGTTTTTCTCAGGATTTTAATTGTACAAAAACAGTCTGTGGGTAGGATAAACTTAACAACCCAGTGCATTAGGCCCTACTGTATGACCTAAACTTTACTTTACCTCTAACTGCTACCTTCATAGGACTTAATGCAGTCACGAATTATGCCCACGCCTAGGGTTGTTGCGATATCAGCAATCTATCGATATTAGATATCGATAACGATTCCAGACTCTAATATCGATATCACGCTTATATCGGATCAAAATATCGATACCTTCAATATCGAATATCGATATTACTTTGGAGGAATCTACTTTTTAATGACTTGCTTGAGCTTGTTTAGGAGTTTTGATTGGCGTTCTGTCAGGAAATCTTATTTGGCAGAAATGTTACTTTCACTTTATCACTTGTTGATTGTTATTACTTTTTATTTATAAGGACCAAAGAGGAAGTGAAATTTGAAATTAATAATAAAAATCTAAGCGATAAACATAGTTGTTTGGAGCTTTAAACACAGTGCATTTCAAAACCAGCCTAATTTTTTGGAGTTACAATGAAAACAATAATTACCGTATTTACAACAATTTAAACAAGGTTAGCACTCTGGTGGACTTTAGTGAAGGCTATTATCAACGGCTCTTGAGCTCTGACAACTAACAAGTGACAGTTGACAACGCAACCAACACTCCATCAATAAAAATCAGTTGCTACTAACTTAGTTCCCTCTACCACAAAAAAAAATAACCAGCTATTCCCATATTAGTGTGGATTTTATCTTTAAGAAGGTATGCACTGCCACCTTTAACTACAGGCCTGGTAGAATTAGCAACATCGCGTAAGTGGTGTTGTCTAATGACAGACGTCCCATAAGATAACATGGCAGACAGGTGACATCAGCTCATTAATTTAAATTTAAATTTATTAAAATAGCCTATTGAAAATAAATCATACAGAATGGAAAACCAAAACAATATGAATTAAAAATCTAGATCTGTACATTTTAAGCGGAGTTAATATTGTCATAGTCCAGCAACCAATCTAACAACAACGACACACAACAACACAAATACACAACAACCAGTAACAAATACAGTACCCCTAATACAGTTGTAGTAACAAATACACAAATACCATTAGCTGCTTCCAAACAAAACAGCTGTTACAACACCACTTGCGACGTTGCCACTTTGAAGGCTGCTTTGGAGGTATGTCAATATCACTAAAACTTTATCTAAACTTAGAAAATTCAATATCGAGAACCGATATCGGCAAAATTCTTCCGATATCACAATATTATCGAAACCCCAATATCGATACAATATCGGAAATATAGAAATGCATTGTTATCGATAATATCGCAATATCCCTACCCACGCCAACAATTGTTGTTACAAAGGTGTAGTCATTTACTTATTTGACCAGTAGATGGATAGAGTGCTCTAGAACATCGGTGTCTCGTTTTCTTAGTAGGCCTACCCTATAATAAGTTAACTGTAAAGCTACACCAACTTACTGGGTCGAAGTAAAAGATTATGTGACAGTATCACTTAAGATATAATTAAGATGTATGGAAGAATCATAACACAACATAACAGGAGAATTAAAACAGACAACTAACCTCAATTCTTTAACATCCAAGTCATTGATATCAGATGCTAGCAGTGTTCCTAGATCGTATGTCAATTCAATTAGTTTATCAACTGTAATGGGTTTGTACTTCTCATGTTGTTTCGCTGCTTTTTCAAGCGCCTCAGTTACTATATCTACACTCTCCATTAAAATAATTAACTTAGGCCTACAACTCTAAATAGAAATACAATAGCATGTAATTATAGATAAAGGTTAGGTGAGGTCCAGTGTTTGTGTAGTGTAGTGACGTAGTGTGTAGTGTGTGTAAGACGTAAAAGAGAGAAGAAGAGAACTAAGAGAAGAAATAAAAGAGTTAGCTGGTTAGAAAAAAATTATGACATATTCTTTTTCTTCCTTGTTTGCCACTTTAGCCATAGATTAAACATACTCCCCTAAGGGAGTACTCCAGGCCGCGGCCTTCAAACTGTTACCAACGCTGCAAGTAGAAAATTGTAACATCTGTTTTTTTTTTTCAGGCAGCTAATGTTTTTTGTGTATTTTTTAAGAATACGAAATCTTTGTTACTGGGCTATATTGACTCAACTTTAAATAGAAATAGATTTTAATTGTATATGTTTTGGTTTACAATTCTATGTTTTATTTTCAATCTTTAATAAATTTATGTTCATTAATTTAATTTCGAATGAATAATACTCAAATTAGTGAGTCGGTGTCACCTGTCAGCCATGTTATCTTTGGGACGTCTGGCGCTAAACAACACTACTTGCAACGTTGCTAATTCTACCAGGCCGCGGCCTGTGGCCCGTTTCATAATAAACCACAAGTTGTAACTTGTAATTTACATTAGATTTCCAGTGGTCAATCAGATGATTTACTAATAACATTAGTTTGTAGATTATTATGAAATAGGCCACTGGAGTTAAAGGTGGTCGTGGAACGCCTCTTTAGTTGTAACGTAGTTTCATATTTATGTGACATTCAAAATCTGATACATTAACTGACAAACAGGTTAATATTTACAATTTAAATCAACCAATCTTAATTATTTTCTTGTGTTATTTTAATTCCTTGTTTCCTACTCTTATGATAAATTATTGGGAATAGGCAGGGCGGATTAGTCGGTCTTCACGCTGGAGTCATTCAGGCTGAAATTCCATATATAACGGGAGAACCACCGTAGAATATAACCAGGAACCCAGCCTAGAGAATACTAACCAAATCTACTGTTCGATTGAGTTTGGTTATTTTTTAATAAAAAAAAAAAAAAAACAATAATCGAAATCCGTATTTTTCTGAATTTCCAACTAAACCAAATCGTGCTACATTTATAAAGGGTGCTACATTTATAAAAAATTGTAAACACAATTTCGAATATGGCACATTTTGAACTAAATTATTGTTTTGATGTTGGTACTTTGATTAAAAAGGGTTGTGGTTGTGCATTGTGTAAGTCGTCATAGCAACCATGCTGCGTTATTAAACAAAACACACATTCACTAAAGACCTCCGTTCCACATGATTATAATATTTTTAATTTTAATTTAACTTAAATTTCCATGAACTTTAGTTCCAGCGATGCCTGCAAATATATTAAGGGTAAAAATTGTCGTTTTAGGTTAGTAGGCCACCCTTGAAATATTTTGAACAAGAGTATCCTAAGTTAGTTAAGATAAATTACCTAGGTATACCTATATTTGTAGAAGAGGTAATCTCAAACACTTTGAACTATAACTTACATTGCAAGTTGAATAAAGTCACACATTTATTTTAATTTCATAATAATCTTGCGTGCTGGTTTTAATTCCCTTGAACAAGGCTACTATCATTGACTATTGGATACAGAAGTTGTTGTATTAATAGTCAAAGATTCTATACTCTCTTTATAATGTATTATCTTTGACTTAATACAACTAGACATTCCTAAATTTGGAGCCAGATTCTTGATAAAAAATGTCGTTGATGTGAACCAACGATAGATTCTGCTGATCAAAATTGTGTCGAATACAAAAACTTTTTTACCAAGTCAAACTTAGGAAATGACTTATGGTGGGCTATAGCAACTGTTACGACCCATCAACCTGGTCAGCAACAAAAGATGAGGCATAAAATATAATTTCAGACACTGGCACATTCTGTGACTGGCTCACAGGATTACCTTCTTTGAATAAAAAAATTGGCTACAGCTGGTCAACATAGATGGGAAGTCTCAAACTCTACTTCAGTATCAAAAAGTCAATGATATTATTTTAGGCTTAAAATCAGACCAGTAAAAGCAGTTGTTACACATAAATATACAGTACAGTAATACAATAAATTATGGGGTTGAATTTAGAAGCTTTTAATTGCTTTTACTTACGTTTTCTCCTTATACGTACCGTATGGATATAGTTTACGGAGAAATTATATTGTTTTCATCAAAATTATCAAGTTTGAATTTTGGGTTAGAAATGTCCAGTTTGGGTCCTCCTGAACCCAAAAAAGTACCTATAGTTTTGAAGTTTTTGATATTTCTGTGTGTGTGTGTGTGTGTGTTTGTGGGTGGTTGTGTACAGAGTTACATAGGCAGACTATACCCTGTGGTCTGATTTTGATGAAATTTGGCATGTGAGTACTAATCTATGATATCTCCAGGTTTTATTTTTAATTTTTGCAATGTTTTTATTTGTGATTTTCCTTTAAAAATCTGATTTTTACAAAAATTGATTGAACAGTTTGATTACAGTTTAGTATGTTATGGTCCTTTCTAAACAACACCAAATTCTATTTAAACTACGGTTCAACGCTTATTGCGATTTTTGTGATTTTACCCATAAAATAACATAGTTACCCCCACCGCTTCCTCATTATAAGTGTTGTTGATCAGGTAACGGGAGAAAGTGTCAGTTTGTTCATTTGATACAGTTTATTATAAGACGTGTTTGAAATGCATACAATGAGGGCAGAATATGATTCCATACATAAGTTATTGTATTTTCTGACTCGTTTATATATATTGTTGATTTAATCCTTGAGCCATGCAAAATTTTACAGTTTCCCAAATATTGAGTGTTTGGTATATTTTACTAATAATGTGGACCTATTAAAACATATACATACTGGTTAACGGTAAAAACTTTTCTGGAAAACTTCAACAGTAAAAACATGCTTGGATTTGTTCACAGGAGATCCTGGTGTTGGGAAAACATCAGTTGTTCAAATGTTTACATCAGATGGACGAGAATTTCCTAAAAATTACAATATGGTGAGTAGTTTATGTGGATGTTAATATTATAAAGGTTTTACAGTTTAAATGTTAATAATTTATGACTCATTAGCTATTGAACTTGCATGCAACTTAAGTCGGTTAATATTTCAAGCCAAAATTATTATATCAATGAATAAGACAACATTGAATTCATGTATAATAATGCTAATTTAAAAAGAGGTTTTTCTCTCATCTTGCATATAATTAACTCAGTTAATTTTAAAAAAAAAATTATATAATGGTGTCTGAAGTTTAAGGAAAATATGAATAAAGAGTGAATCGAGATGATACTCAAGATCAGCTGACTCTTTACCCAAGCTCACTTGATAAAAGCCAAAAAATCAATTAAAATGCCAAAAGGGGCTTTAGATTTATATGAGAAATTAAAAAAATAATGTTACAAGGTTTTACTCACCCATTTCCAAATTAGGATTTTTAATGTATTTTTATCTAGTTTTTTTTTAAACGTAAAACACCGAACTCCTAATTCTTTTACAGCGAAAGTTGGTTAGGTAAAACATAATAAAATGCCAGAGGTCTAAGGGAGTATGTTTTATCTATGGCTCAAATCACAATGACCTGCATATAAGATATCTGGCAAAATGTATCAGGTGACACACAATCATCTTACATGTTGTTAATGAAGAATGCTGTTAAGAGAATCTTTCAATTCTAAAAACTGAACTGGAACAACTGTGTAGGTGAATAAATACTGTCAAAGTACCTACTTCAAATTTGTTATTTTTCTTGCAGACATTTGGAGTAGACTTGTATCTTAAGAGGTACACAGTTCCTGAGAGCAAGAACATAGTTGAAATGTTGATATACGACTGTGCTGGTTTGGATATATATGTAGACTACCTGCAGCAGTGTGTAAGTTAATTAAAAAATACAAAAACTGAAGCTCAACGTTATAGATTCTTTATTACATATGTTGAAAGGTAATATCAATGGGCAAGTTCTGGGAACATGTATTGGTGCACCAGATCCATTGACACACACTGGTACCGCCCCAGAGCAAGAGTTTTGGGATTCCAGAACAGTTAGTCAGCGGCTTACGGTACACTCATGCTTTTGTTTTAAAAATACTCCTCCTAAACAGCTGAAGATATCTGCACAAAATTTAGCAGAAATAAAAAAAAAATAATCCACAACTTGTTTTTTATCTGAAAAAAATTTTGGAAATGTAGTGACTGATATTTTTGTTGAATGTATTCTACAATTTTCTATTTTCTAAGTGCAGAACCTTCTCAGACCCCAGTGTTGGTGAAACCTTATGCGCCCATAGGGGGAGGGAGGCAGTAGAGGTGATAGCCATCCTGATAATAACTAAAATTAAAATTTACTACGCTATGTACGGTTTTGGACGGATTTAAGGGATTAATAAGTATGGTCTAAACTTTGATGAAAATTATGGCGTAAATATAATTCCAGCTTTTAGACAGCGAAACGCCATATTAAAAAAACTTCTACATTTAACATGTCTATTGAGGAGGGCCTTTCTTCTGACTCCTAAACCAGATACCAATTCCCCCCTCACCAATCACCAATGAAAACTATTCTGTGGCGCCCATGTGAAAACCTAAATAAAAAAATATTTTACAACTAAAATAACATGCCTAATACATTTACACTGGCTTCAACTCTTGTACTCGACAAGTTTATCTCTTGATGTGTCCAGTGGGACCGTGTGGATGGAGCTGTGTTAGTCTATGATGTGACGGCCCCCGTCACACTACAGTCTGTGGGTGACTGGGCTAGCCTGGCGGGTCCAGCGGGGCATACTCCACCAGCGGCGGTGCTCGCCAACAAGACAGACCTAAGTCACAGGAGGATAGTGACTGCAGAGGCAGGACAGCTAGCTGCGGAAAAATTGGGGCTGCGGCACTTCGAGGCATCTGCAGTTAGTACTTTACTATTGTATATTGCCTTTCTTGGTTTTTTACTTTTTAAATTTTATTTTCTTAATTTTTTGTGGATAAAGACAGTTACTTCAACGCTTACATTAATTACACACCTCTATTTGAGGAACACACGTTTGTTATTGAGTCAAATTTAAAAAGTAACTATCTAGTCATTACAACTCGGCGTCAAACCAGATTAATTCAAATTAATCTGTATCTTTGGATAAATATTAAGATCGAACCTCAAAATTTGTCTAACCGAGCGGTCAGACATGTTCCAAGCAGCCGTTTGTTTATGGGTGGACCTACTAGGACTATATTTTCCAAAGTAGCACAAACTCTATCGAACGTTGACTAGCGTCCAAGCTGACTTTCGATGGCCTTACAGCTTCTTTTTCAATGCAGAAGCCGTTGTTCTAAAGTTAGTAACCCAGCGCATGATTGTGCTATGCGACTGAACTTCTCTATGGTGACCTAATTGAAAGAATGCACAGAACTACTCCTGGGTTGCAATGACAATGACTGAATGATTACTGTATAAATATAACTCGATAACAAACATAAGATGTTTAAGCGACCACTGCTCCATGACTACTGACAATAGCGGCGTGTAGGCTTTCCAAGGAGCCTACCCCAACAATCCTCCGACATCCTGTCGAGCATAAAAAGATTGTTTTTTTGCCGCTCCCTGTAAAATATGATTGTTACAGAAGGAGCACACTGGGGTGACTGAGGTGTTTGGATGGTTAGCTCGGCAGTTACACACAGGATGGTCCACTACAGGGGTGAGACCTAGCTACAACAGTCTGCACAAGTCTGTGCTGCGCTCTAGTCTGTCAAACTCTTCACTTAAATAAACATTGACTATGTAATTTTATTTTTAAAGGTGTACTTTTGTTTGAAATCATCAGGTTGTAAGTACTGTATTGGTGATTGACCTTAAACCTGTCAAGTTTATATTCCTTAAGCTGGGTTTTCTTAGGCGCGGAAGCGGAGGGCGGAGAGAGGAAAAGAGATTAACATGGTGTTCCGCTCCGCTTCTAGGAAAACAGTAACATTAAATTACCTAAGACAAGTGGAGTCTGCTCTCCGCGTTCCTCTCCCCGCTCTCCACTTCCGCGCCTAGGAAAACCCGGCTTTAGGCTATCGATGCAGGCAATTACACACTGCACTTACAAAATTGGGAATGTTGCTGAAAGTCAACAGTCCCGGAAGATCAAATAATTTATACCTGTGCCGCTAGGTCAAAAACTACAATGTTTGCAGTGTCTGTAGATCAAAAGTCCCAGTAAGTCAAATAGTACAGTCCGAGCTAAAAACGTGGTCTATGTTAAAGCAATTGACTTATTGGGAATTTGACCTAATGCAACAGCAGTTTTAATATAACGAAATACGGTAAAATAAAAGTTCAGTTTCGCTGATTCAACAGTGCCGGAAGATCAAAAGCAATAAAAGTGAACGTCGATTCAGTGTAAAGTAGACCTCCTGCAACGCTTACTACACCAACAAAACTTGCTTTTAGTTACTTCGTGTTTTGTCATAATTAGAATAGAGCTAAAATTATCATATTTGGTACATAGCTTATCTATTAATGCTTCTTGCCAACTGTTTGGTCAACACTGTAAATAGGTATAGTTTATGTAATGAAAAGCCTTTCGTCAAAATTTTTGGCATAAAATACACGCAATGACGATCTGAAAATTTCTGGTTATTATATACGTTTGTAAAAGGAGATCCATTTAATTTTAGAACTATTTTATAAGTTATAATGTAGTCTACACATAAACTGTGTAAATGTATTACGCCTCGGAAGGGTTGAAACCTGCCCAAACTATCATATATATTATTAAAAAGTAAATATGGTTTTTTAACATTCTGAATCAACCAGTCGACGGATTTTCATTATTTTTGTGTTGAAAGAAAGATAATTTTGAGAACTAGGGAATGTCAAAGCCATAATTATAATTAAGGGTCCCAGTTTTTTAGAAATTAAGTTTTAATTTTTTTAAAGTCTAGCAGCCGACGCTAACCTTCTAAGCCAGCTTTTAGTACAATATAATTTGCTTAGCATAACAGCTGTAAACATTCAGCATTTGTGACACAAATTCAGCATTTGGAAACAAATTTAAAGACATATTTAGAGTTGACTTATTTATACTATGTGTAATGCTGACCATTGATACATTCAATTCCTAGGTATGAGGATGGCAGATTATTTAAATTTGCATAGAAAAATAGTAGGATGTTCAAATTATTTTTTAAAGGAATCTTTGTAATCATCGATTTGTTTTAGTCCTATATAATTTGTTTTAACTAACAGCTGGTTGAATGTAATATTGTTCTATATAACTATTAGGTTTTTGGCGAATTTCCCATATAGGGAATAAGAATAAGCTATTACCGTAGTACTTATGGTAACACCTGGACCCGGGACCGATTTAATTTTTCGTTTTGAGGTCCCTAGAGGCCAAAAACACCATCCGTTCAAATTCATATATACAGGGTGATCAACTCAAGGAGGCCACCATTGGGAAGTCGGAAACGGTAAGAATTAGAGAAAACATTAAATGGGGGACATTCCTTTATTTTTTGTGGCAGTTAAAAATATGATTTTAGTTTTTTTTATCATGTTTTCGGATAGAATATGCAATTTAAAAACTTTTTTAGCCTTGACACTTTTTCGATAAACCCACTCGTTTAGGAGTACAGCCTATGGAAAAATGACTTCCGGTGTACATTTTACATCATGTAGCTCCTAAACGAGTAAGTTTAGAGCAAAATTGCAAAAAGTAAATTAGTCTTAGAATTGCATCTTCATTCCTTAAAGACTATAAAATAAAAAGTTTTCCACTTTTCAAGTTTGCCGCCATTTTTTAAAATAATATAATTTATATTTTTAATTAATTTTATGGTCTTTTTGGAATGTGGATGCAATTGTAAGACTTTTTTACTCTTCGTATTTTTGCTTTAAACTTACTTGTTTAGGAGATACATGATTTAATATGTACACCGGAAGTCATTTTTCCATAGGCTGTAACTCCTAAACGAGTGGGTTTATCGAAAAAATGTCAAGGATAAAAAAGTTTTAAAATTGCCTATTATGTCATGATAAAATGATAGGGTGTTCGATAAGAAATTTCAAATTTGGCCGCCATTTTGGAAAATGGCGGCTGAATTTCAAACGACTAAAATCATATTTTAAACTGCCACAAAAAATAAAGGAATGTCTTCCATTTTAAGTTTTCTCTAATTTTTACCGTTTCCGATATCCCAATGGTGGCCTCCTTGAGTTGATCACACTGTATAGCCTATATTTATTTATTTATATATTTTTCCTGGGGGGAACCCCAAGACCCCCTCCTTTTTGGGGGGTATTCCAGGCCCCCGGTGACCCCCCCCTCCCAAAATATATGTCTAGGAGCGCCCTTGTCTTCTTTACCTATAAAACACATGGGATACAGCCTTTTCTTCACTGATCACGTAATGCGTGATTTTCTATAAAGTCTTGGAAAAATAAAAGGTAAAATAGATAGAATAAAGGTGTACTGTATGTGGTTTACACACAAATATTCATCAAACTGTGTGATATTTTGTTATTGCAATGAACAATTTGGGAGTATCGTATAGTTTAAGTCGATGGAAAATCTCTGTTGATCCTGTTTTACAAGCAAACCAAAAAGATACATTAGTCACCACTCTATGCGACATATTCTAACCAGAAAATTGTAATCGTATGATTCTATAAGCATTGATAGGATTGCAAAGTACTTCACAAACATTATTTCAAGGGTAATAACAGTCACAATTTCCGCCGACTTTAAAAGAGTCAACTAAACTACTATACTAATGGACACACAACTAAATGAAACAACTAATGGAACAACTCACGATGTACATATAACAGTTCGATATAAGCATTGAGTATACACGTCAGTGGATATGTGTATACCGTACCCAATGATATAAGCAACGGTTCTTGCAATTTGCTTATTGTTTTTTAGAGTTGTTTTCGGACTTACTCTGTTTTCGGACGTACTCACACTCGTAAAAGGTTGTCCACGTTTGTCATTGATAATGTAGCCATGTTACATGGTTACACCCGTTGTCAAGAATATGGTTACAAGTTTTCCGTCTGTTTTTGAATAGCGATACATTTTTTTCACATACTTAAGAACCACCTGATTTCGTGCATTACATGTTCGTCTCAATTTTAATTGCTTTAGTAGGCATTATTTTGATTGATGAGGACTTCAATCGGTCCTTTCAATAATAGCTCATGAAATATAGTACTTTGTCCATTAATTTTATTGTTTGGTAAAATGGATTAAATTATCCTGCAAACCCAAATAGAAATAGTAAATATAGTATTTGAAACAAATCAGTAACATGTTAATAATGTAACCTACATTATTTCCTTGAATTGCATAACAGCAATTAACTGGGCTGATCCTAATATAAATAAATCAATATGTTCTTCATAGGCATAACATGGGTTCATAACATGAGCCGCTGGGGCTGAGCCCAAGGGATTTAAAAATGTAAGGTTGGTTTGCAAATGTACGTGACACGCTCTTTCTAATGAGACATGAATGGTCAAAATCACCTAAGAAATTCGGAGGAGTTCAACGGAAAAATTTCGTGTTGGCGTTATACAGTATGGTTGAAAAGTCCTGGATTGGCTATATTTTTTTAACAATATAGATAAAGTAGTGAGACTTGGTATATCAATAATATAATAGCCATAAATATCTACTGTCTTAAGCTATTATCACTGTTTAATCCCTTAAGGGGGATGGACCACAAAGACTAAGACAAAATTCTTATATAATTTTAATACTATTTTACCTGTTTTTGAAATGGCGACCATACAAATGTATGCATTTTAAGCCAAGTATGAATGGAGTTGAGTGTGTGATGAGTGGAGCGATCTTGTTGTCCTGTTAGTGACTAAGGCCAACGTAATCCTTAGACACAGCTGTTAATTAATAGTCCATACAGTCAATTAATAGCAGCAGAGGTCAAGTTTGGTAGGTATCAAATTAAAGGTTTTAATTATAAAAATACATTGCCGCAAACCCAAACTCAAACGATGATGATGATAATAATGTTAATGATGTAGCTAAAACGTTTCGTTTGAAATTTAACAGCTGAAAATAAGTTAAATAGAAAAGGTTTTGGTTAATTCCATCAAATTGTTATTGGACACTAGTAAGTACTAGTGCACTTTTTTATATTGATTATATGATTATATTGATTTACTTTGGATTTTAAAAATGTGAACGTTTTATTTTATTAAAGATTTATGGTGATACGTAAATATTGTGGTGTAGTAATAGCTATTTACATTACAAGTGTAGTAAGAGCGTTTTTACATCACGCAGGTGAATGTTGTGCAACAAGCGGAAGCGAGTTGCATAATTCACCTGAGATGTAAACACGCTCTTGCGCAACGTGTAACGTACAAGATTTTACCTGACCCGACAATATACATGGGTTTACGTACAATATTTTTCGTTATCCATTTCACTCATCGTCTAACAGTAAGGTTCTTTTACAAACAAAAGCTAGGTTAGGAAAATACTTTAAAGCATAACAATAACATTCAAGCGCACAGCTGACTTCTAGCGTTGAACGTCGATGCCATAGAGGTATATTTTTTAAGTTTAGCACTCAATGTTATTTAAATGGGTTTCATTACATCACCGAGTGAGTTTTTTTCAACTTTACATCACTCGAGAAGTAAGGAAGTTGTATACATCACGCTTGGGATAGGGAAGTTTAACATGGCGGGTTGGGTAAAGTATATTATATTGTAGTTAAGTGTTAAATTTTGAAATTTTAGGGTTAATCGAGATGAATCTTTGTTATAACATGGGTCTCTCCTACCTACATACCAAGTTGGATACGTACCAAGTTTCATAAACATCGGTTGGAAAAGTGTAAAGATAAATATTTGTATGTAAAAAATACAAAATGGCGGATATCTGGTTAACGAAACGATTTTGGAAAAAAATGTTATCCTTCATTTTCTGTTTATTTTGACCCAAGGAATTACTAGGTAAAGTATCTCCCCGCTTATTTTTAACACCCTGTTTATGATGTATTCTTATAAGTGAAAAATGTAAGCTGGTAATACAGAAAGATGTTTTATAAATAATATGAATGTACTGGTGATCTGTATATTAATCTTTTTCTTGTTCTTAGAACTGTAAATTAAAAGTCCACTCAGTAGTCGCATCGTACGATGTAGTTCTTTCCATGCGTTGCGAAATGTTAAATTTGCAGTCCTCTTCAACCCAAGTTATCTATTGAACCACTGATTGTAAAAAATTCAAAAAAATATATTTTACGCATCACACTTTTGGCTACAACTTTGCCCCAGACAAAACCTCCTTAACCCAAAAACAAAAAAAAATCTCGCATGCTAACTTTTTTCATGCTAGAAATCACGATTTAAAACTATTTCACCATACATATCAATTTTTATTAATTAGATCGGTAAATAGTTTAAAGTTCCAACAAAATAGTCATCGAGTAGGACTAACCAAGAAGCTCTGTGCCAATTTTCAAAATTTTAGCACAACTTTAAGTACACCAAAACACGAAATTATTGAAGTCATGCGTCGAGAGGACTATCGCTGTTTTTAACAGATTATACTTTTGACCTTCCGGCACTGTTGACTCAGCGAAACTGAACTTATATTTTATCTTATTTCGTTATATTAAAACTGCTGTTGCATTAGGTCAAATTCCCAATAAGTCAATTGCTTTAACATAGACCGCGTTTTTAGCTCGGACTGTACTATTTGACTTACTAGGATTTTTGATCTACAGACACTGCAAACATTGTAGTTTTTGACCTAGCGGCACAGGTATAAATTATTTGACCTTCCGGGACTGTTGACTTTCTGCAACGCGTCCACAAAATTAAAATTGATTATATATGCTGTTTAGGTGTATTTACTAGCCCAAAGCTACATTCTTAACTGTATAACATCGGTTTATATTATCTTGGATGGGAAAAGCAATTCTGTCATTCTGGGCCGAATGCTCTTTTGCCGCCTCCCACCACCAACTCAATCCGTCTCCCATAAACAAATACCTCTGATGCAGCAAACCTGCAGACTAAGCGAATATCCTTTTTCCTGATGGGATTTTCACTAAAACATCTCCTTAAAAATTGTCTCTCTTTGTAAAGAGGTATTATAGTAAGTATGTCAAGTAGTATAACGGGGTTACTGTAATTACATTTTAAGATTATGGACAGATTTTTACTTGTTCCCCATTCATAGGCTTTGCCTGAAAGGGGAGCATCCATGTTAAAAAAAATTGTAATTTCTGTTAACATCATTTTCTTGGAATAATAGATAAGGTCCTAGATAGATAATTTGCTGGCCTTACTCAATAACAAAGCCACTTAGGCCATTTTGATTACATTCTACACTAACTCTGCATTGATTTGTTAATAGACTAACCATCTATTCATTTGTTAATCGACTAACAATACAGAGTGCATTGCTGTCATTATAAAGTAATACAAATTATCCTTTATCAATAAAACATACTAAATACCGTACAGTTACTTAACACTTAAATCTGTATAATATCACCTTCCTCGTTGTTCCCAGCAAACTACTAGCAGGGTAACTCACTGATACGACACAATCATATGAAAATAATAATTTACATTTAATAATAAAATAAATACAGTGCATAAATAACAGCTTAAACTATCATTGATTATGTAACATGGCTTAAAGAGACCACTAAGAAAACATCGCTAATCGATTATTGAATACTGCAACTACGACGCATTCTTCAATCTCTCTTCCCGAAGAACCTCCAATCGTTTTTCAATCTCCACAACACTTAGACCTGCTTGCAACATTCTCTCCTTTTGAACCCTCAAGTTAACCTCTTCTAGCCCATCTACTCTTTCATAAAGGTTGTCCTGGAAAATGTCGAACCTGTCATCGATATCGCTTTCCTCCCGCAGAAAGAAGAAATATGCGAGGAAAATAGCGACACTGGAACAATGAAGTAAAATTGTTGAAGCCGTCGCAAATAAATATTTACTTACAAAATTTAAGGGTAGCAGGACCTAATAATATTTACTACAGCTTTCCTCAATATTTTACTCTTTTACATTTAGCCTAATCTGTTCAATGCTTGCAACTTGCAACACACTTTCTGACAGTTAAACTCATTTGTAAAGAAGGCCTTCAAGACCAATCTAGTAATCTGAATTTTGTAGAAAACTAGAAAAATACTATTAGTTTTCTTTAAACTTAAGTTTACAATAAACTAGTGAATTCTTTATAATTCAAGAATTGATTTGTTTACAGGATCAATTTAACTTATCAAGCTTAATATTTTTTTAACTCTCGATCCATGTTTTAAGCACATAGTAGACCCCTTCTTAACCGACCCTAATGGGCGGACCTAGGACGGGTAACTCAAAAGGTTAGTTAAAACGGGCAATCCCTAAAACATAACTAAATGATTGGTTTTTAACATATAGATGAAGTGCTATTCATTTGGATTTTGAAGTAGTACTTGCATTATTTATAAAATAAACCACACTTATCTCATTTTTTCGTATAGATAGAAAAGTCACAAATAAACACAAAACACGGTTACCTATGACAAATACTTTCAGTGGAATAAATTATAGTTGAAGGCAACTGTCAATAAAAATTCTTATTTTAATAACTTTACTGTAATATTAATTGATACAACTTTCCAAATATTTCATAATAGTACAGAACTTTTTGTCAACATTAAAGATATGAGCCACCATTTTGTTAAGAGACAGGATGTTTATATTGATCCTACTGGAGGCTCGAGTCACAAAAACTATCTTGACCTTGGAGTTGTTAAGTCCCTCCCCTGCCCTCCCTACAAGTTGCGTTGTTTGTCTACTCTAGCGATAAGATAATTCTAGATTATATTACAAAAATAGCAGCTGTTTTCAGAAACCTAAGATTTTGTGGGATGTATACAAAATAATTTATTCTTAGTCACATCCTGTGAAGATAAGCGTATGGTTCCCATCGCGGAGCGTGGGAGCGGAAATTCAGAGATTCCTATAAATCTACGGTTAATTCGAACTGCTCTCAAAGCAAGGTCAGTTAAAACAAACTGTAATGTTTTACGATCAAGGGCGGATAATCTGATCATCGGTTGATGTGAGGTCGGTTAGGAGGGGGTGTACTATAATGGAATCTTTTCTTGAGTGAAAATAGCCTAGTTTTAATCCTCATTTTTAAGTTTTAGGTTTTTTTCATTTTATTTTCGAAGATATGTTTTTTATGATAGGCTACATTATTTTTTACAGTTCATAGTGGATCATTGCAGCAATTTTTCACCGCTGATTAATAAAACTGATTAAAAAATTTGTTTTTTGGGAATAAGACCAAGTAGGAGGAATTAGGAAGGTAGGAGTTCTTCCAAGTAGGAAAAACCCTATAACATGAAAAAGATAAAAACAAACAAGGCATTGCCTGAAAACAAGGCATAGCTAAAAATGGCAAAAACTTTGATCTGTCAATTAAAAAAAATTAAACGAGAAGAAAATTAAATTAAATTTTAATCAACACTTTTTAAACTGTGCAATTATGATTACAACTACATAGTTGGATGACTCGAGGTAGTGCCTGGCTGAATACTAATCTTGCTCGAGGTTCTCTACTGAAGACGGGGTCAGTTTTTTGAAAACAAAGTATGAAACATTCGTTTTACATATCAGTACCTATTTTAAAGGACATAAATTCATCACCACACACTTCAAACAAAGTAGAGTGAAAACTAAAACACAAGCTACCTTCCACAGACGATGTAAGTCTGTGCCTCAGGTGTGTCATCGTGAGAAGTCCCTCTCCTGGTGAACGCTGCTCGCCAGTTTGCAGCTTCGCTAGTTGAGAACTTGACTGGTTTGGCTCTGTCAGGTTGTTCTGAGTAATTTCGCAAACCTAACCTGCAAACACAGTAATGAACCTCAAACGTAAACTTAGAAATCTTTCAATCACTACCAATGAACTGATATTTTATCTGATGTTAACTTAGTGAAAATATGAAACAAGTAGTTTGTTCTGTAAGTTGTTGCTACAGTGATAACATGCATTTTTTATTGGATGGGATAGGCCTATGCTGTGTGCCGTGATATGACACAATCATAAATTAAATAGGTACTGTGCATTTAATTAACGGTACTTTAATTCAAGACATCACTTTCTTCAGTTTTACACAAATCATCAACATTTCTTTAAACCTGGGTGGGCTAAGGAAATATAAAAAATGGTGTCCAAGTTGCCTAAACATAACAGGAAGCTTACAATAATTTATCAGAAAGAGAAGATCTGCTTTAGGGATCTAAAAATGTATTGACTAATTAGGCTATTACACCTCTTAACTAACGGTAGCAATCTAAATTAATACCTACTAAGCTATGTTACTTGTGGCCTATAGCCTTGACTCAGGTACAGTTTCTTAACTGAGCTATGCTAATATCGATTGAACATATCGATTAATAATCACTATTTTTTAACTACGGTATTTCAATTATAAAATGAAACTGTTTAAACCTAACCTAACTAACCAACTTGCTGATGATAAAAATCGAATGAAGGTTTACTAATCGAATCGATAGTTTCAATCGATATTAGCGTAGCCTAGCCCAGTTATGAAAATTTACCCATTGATTTAACCGTGTGTTATAAAATAATGTGTTAAGACGAGATATAATTATAATTAAGAATAAGACTTCTCTAATTAGGTTATATACAGTAACTTCATGATGAAAGTTGGCCGTAGCCTTTACCTATGGCATGTTTGATTTCAAATGTGTCAACTAAATTTACCTGGCAATTACAGTCGCTCTTCTGGTTATACTCCTTGTTAGAAAAGACATTTTGATTTCAATGGGGTTTCAATTCTATTTAAAGATTAATTTAATACATATTTAGAAAAGTACGTAATGTGTAATTATTATGTAACTCGCTAGCTAACTTCCAAACCAAACCTAACCTAATACCAGACCAAACAAAACCAAACCAATAAAATAACAAAACAAAAACATTACTTTTTTTAACATCTTTTTAAGCCGATGGCTAGGTTTGGAAAAATCCATGCAGCCTCGAAGTACACTATCTTGTAGCTTCCTCCGGGTCAATGGCTAACTTGGTTATTTATTGATTTATTTGTACACGGCAATAATAGGTTATTTACAAGTTTTGAAGCTTTGGCATTTGTGTGTGTGTAAAATACTTTTTTATAATGTTTAATGGCAATGGCAAATGAAGAGCAAGCTGGTCTAGTGGTCAGTAGAGCCACGGTCACCTTAAACTCCAGGCAGTGTGGCCTTCGAAGTGGCAACACTTTACACTGTCAGTAGTGCTGTTACAGCTCGGTTTTGTTTGGTGGTAGCTAAAGCGTATTTTTGAATTGCATGCGAAAGCTTGGTTACTTGGCTATGAAAATATTGCCTCCATTTTTAATGTACAGGAATAAATTTTAAATTTATTGTTTTAACGAACACTATTTGTGTTTTATTGTTAATATTTTAATAATGAATAATAAATTTAATCTTTTAATACAGATAACAAAGTCCGGTGTTCAGATCCCACCAAATCACCAATAAATTTTATCGAAGTGATAATGCCGTAACCCCTAGGTCTAGCCTGCAGTAAATGTGAAAAAAAATACCAGGCATCCTAGGACAAAAAATGCAATGGCAAATAAATGCTAGCAAACTCCTTCCAACAGGAATGCTATTACCATTCTATCACCGTTGTTGGAATGGTGATGAATGAAGAGTCAATGAATGACATCATACGGGGTAACATTGGATGCGAGGTTTCTGGCGAGGTGAGTATTATGGCACGGCCAACTTTTAACTCCAGGCCGTGGCCTTCAAAGGGGCAACACTGTCAGTCGTAGTGCTGTTTTGTTTGGTTACAGCTAATGCATATTTTTTATGAATTCAAAAGCTTACTGGGCTCAGAAAATATTGACTCTATTTTAAGTGCACAATCCCGCCCGCTCGAGTTTCCTTAGATGACCACACCAAGCTTTAGCTGAGTGCAGCCTTAATTAGGTTTGGCTTTATAGCCATAATTTAATTAGTTTCTTTTGCATAATGTGTGACAATAAGTAATTAAAACTTATGTTAATTATAGGCTCATTAAAAACCCCAGAAATATCTGTCCAAGATTTCAATGGTTCAATAACCCATTTATTCAACCAAATCATTAAGTGCTATCCAGAAAGGTTCAAGTAAGTTAACTTTGGACAGATAGAGTGGTAGTTGATATGGGCTGATGTGTTAATGATTCCCATGTGTAAGCAAGCTTTTTAAAACTTTTGTTTTGTATTTATTGTTTTTGATATTTAAAAAAGACAATGAATTCTCATACTCTGGTATCATAACTGTAAAAATCAGATATTTGTCAGAAAAAGTTGGTAATTTATTGAATTGGCTATACGGACATTTATTTTAATAAAATACTGTTACCGGTACAGTGGAAGTTATTAAGTATTGAAGTTCTGAATCACAGAAAGAAGTAAATAAATCATAACTTTTTTTATAAAAAATAAGTTTATTTTTACAAAACATTTCTTGATAAAACATATTTCTTTGCACTAAACATGACATATTGGTACAAAACTCCTTACAAAATACAAGATTATCACTTCTACCCCACACTCTTACAACTAGTATAAAATGGAAAATTGTGCCCGAATAAATCTTCTTTCTACATAACACTTAAAATAAACAAACATGTACCTATAGAATTTATTCCACATAACAAACATTAACAGATAAAACCACAGTAAATGCAATGGTCCAAACTTAATATATAAATTACTTACAAAAAATTCTGTCAGATGCTCACAAGAAGCCTGTTAAGACAAAAAATATGTCTGGCCGCAATGATTGCATGGGACAGGTTGGTTGAGTGAATTTAGCAATACTTAACCATGTAGGCCTACGTGTGAAAGTAATTAATTCAATTAGTTTATTTAATTAAGTAATTTAGTCTTGAATTATGTTTAACCTTATTGGCAGAGGTGAATTTGTCTCAATCTCAAAGATGTATTAGACAGGGAGTTGCTATGGTATAATAATGATTGTTACAGCAGGTCCACAGGTTGACTTTGTGTTACAATACTAAGGGGAAACTGTGGCCCAGGCATTTTGATGGAAGAAAGTTGAGTGAACACCACATTGTTCTATGGTTTTGTGCATTTCTCCTGGAATAGTTGGCTTAAATGTTATAGGTAGGAGGGAGTGAATGGGGGGAACTTGCAAAACCTCATGTTTGAACCTTTTCCCCTGAATTATGCAGTACTGGAGACCTCCCTGGTTGTGCTATGCTGCTACCTATTGTGCTTTTGAAAAACTACATCCCTAGACAAAATACAGTATACTGCCTCACTATGGTGCTGCAACAGGTTAGAACGGAATTTAATTTTTCACCCTTCTCAGCATATTGTTTCCCACGACCCAGCCTTTTATACAACCACAGCAAATGTGATAACGGCGACAAACAAATAACAGGTCGACAACTAACTAATCCATCTATAAAATTAATTTTCGGATTGGTTAACATAATAACTAAATTGCACAACTGTGGAACATGGTAACTGAGGAACTGCACAAAAACTATTTACATTATATACAATCATCACCTTTGTCTGCAGACAAAAAAATGACATAAAATGAGTTGTGAGAAAAAGGGCTAGAAATGATGTCTAAGATAATAAACTGAGAGAAGTTCAACATTTTGAAACAAATTAATCTGGATGAAATAAAAAATTGTCATATAAATTAATTAGTGTATGATATACATTACAATATAGTTAAGAACAAGCTTGACAATGAAAATTCTAGTTAATTTACAATATTTAGGTATAAACGATTAATTTTTTGTTGGGAGTTAACCATTATTAACATTAATAAAGACCTTTTAGCATTTTCCTCACAAACTCAATATTTACAACGATATAAGAATAGGATGGTCCCTAGCCTAGGTAATGAATGATACAACGGTTCAACACTGTTCACCTTAGTAACAATTCAGTTTACAGCACATCTGGCGGACATTTGTTAAAGTGTCGAAATTACTATACATACATAAATCCATTTTCATAAATATTAAGTACGGTACAAGCAGGTACAGATTCTTGGATTTCAATTCCTCTTTATAACATGTAAAATGATTATCATCTTACTACAAAACCCAACTTAATGTCATAAAAATAAAACAACAAATTTAGTACAGTAAATTGTGTTAGTAAAGAAATTCCAATAATGATGCATTTTGAAACTTGTTTCATATTTGACATAGAGTTGTGTCTTTTAGTTATTTAAACCTCTTTACAGGAAATACTGATTGAAAAACTTAACTGAAGAAATGTAAAAACTATAGACATTTGTGATTAGGGTTTCAACAATTTATCCACTCCTGTATTTGTATTTCATTAAAAAATATATAATTATAAAAGTTTGAAGCTAGCCCAGATAAATATTTATATGGTTGGAATAAGATAGGTAGTAAACTATTTTTTATAACCACTTTAATAAGTTGTTTTCGGCAAATAATAAAAAGGTACAAGACATCCCAAAATAGCACCCCTTTAAAACAAAAGCCTACTAGTCAGACTGTGAATGATTACTTTTTACTGTCTTTTTACCGTAATATACCTCGGTGAAAATTTTGTCTTACACTTCAAGTATGATAGAAAAACAGATGGGCAGACGTTTTTGTTTATGTTTATCTATTTTTAGTTTAAACGTGGTATTGCACACTTGCGACAGCTTAAAATTATCTTTGTTGAAGGGCAGTATATCTGCTGCATCGCCATTGTTGATGAAACTTAAATGACAAATACTGCTCTCCCTTTATATCCTGCTTAAGACTTAAGCATTAATTAATACCATAAAAACCTTAAAAGGTACAGTTCAAGTGGTAGGAACTGTCCAAACTATATTCTCTTCCTCTTTCTTCCTCGGTTTTCTCCTCATTCTCGGTCTATACACTCCTTTCTCTTGGCCGCTCTTCAACCAATTCTCTCTTTCCACCTCTTCATTTTCATTTCCCTCCCCTTGTTTTCTCGTATTTCTCGGCGATTCGTCTCCAAACTTTCTCTTGTCTTTTGGTGAGTCTTCTGCAAACTTTCTTCTATCTTTTGGTGAAGAGTTGTCATTCAAATCGCTCCCTCTGCGTAGGTGTCTTGGTGATTTACTCGGCTGTTTTTTCGGTTCGAGAAGTTCCTGAACCTTCTCTTCATACCACGGAGGCAGTGTGCTGTCTGTGGGTGGTGGGGGAAATGTGTAGTTGCCTTGGTAGTAAGAGACAAACAACGGTTCTTGCCTCACACACTGCATGGCCACCCAACTGTGAGGTAGGAGGAGGGGGAACCTACAACCAAGAGGAACAGAGAGCTTGTAACAGTTCAAACAAAATGGTATAGAGAAGAATCATGTTTGCTTTTAAGTTTAACAGTTAAACATTTAAATTTAGAGATAAAATGTTTTCTAAATTTTTGTTGCTACAGTAGTGTTTTGATAATCTGATCATTCTTAACGTCGGTTCCAAAAGAGGAAAAACCAAATCAAATGGTGCAACAATCACTAGTTTAACAAGGGACCACTACACGGATAATGTTCTGTAATATCAAGATAAGAACACTGGTGTTGTAATGACCGCAATAAACACTCACAGATGTTGCAACAATCTTGAGAGACAATAACCGTTACCGCTGAAACTTCAAGATAAGTCACAGATGATACAGCACATGGGTATGTGCTGTGATAGGTATGTCACAGATAGTACTTAAAGCAATACTCGACATGCTTCCACTAGAGTTGGAATCAAGAAACGTGCAGCCACTGCCACCCTCAAAATTGGAAGCAGAGGCGAGATAAAGCTTCAGAGGGAGACTGGTCACCTGTCCATAATAAGGGACTTCCCAAGTATGGACATAGAACTAAAATTGCCAGATCTCATGACTAAGGAGTACGACTTCGAGATTCCTTTCCAATTGGCCATAGGAGAAAGGAATGACTGGCAACAGAGCAACCTTATGATGGGCAGAGCATGCTTGGTATATTACACAGATGGAAGTCGGAAGGATGAGAATTCAGGGGTTAGAGGTGTATGGCAACAAAACCAATACCTCTCTAGCCCTGGGCGGCACAGTGACAGTTTTTCAATCGGAGATCCTGGCGATTGGGTGCTGTGCGAATACCATCCTGAACAAGAACCTGAGAAAGAGGATAATGCTGATCCTCTCAGACAGCCAAGCTGCAATAAAGGTGCTGGGGTCTTGTGTGACAGAATCACAAACAGGAAAGGGGTGTAAAAACACCCTCAAAACGCTAGCTATGCGGAATAGAGTCAATATAGCTTGGGTCCCTGGACACTTGGGGAATGAGAAAATTGATGCATTGACCAGGAGGGGTGCAGAAGAACAGCTGACAGGGCCAGAACCCTACTGCGGTACCCCAATTAGATCAGGTGTAATCAAAGTCTGAGACTGAGTTAAGTTTCAGAAGGCAGAGGCTTCAAAGACCAACCCAGGGCTAAGGACTTCAACAAAACTAATAGACCCCTCAATGAAATACTGAAAAGGCGCATTGAGCCTAAAATATGGGGACATCAGATTTCTAGTAGGGATGCTAACTGGGTACGGACCTACTAGGAAACACCTTAGAACAATAGGGAGGTCACAGACAGACCAATGCAGGTTCTGCGAAAATGAGGTGGAAACCTCTGAACACTTATAGCTGAACTGTCCGGCGTTAGCCCAAAAAAGGTCGCAATTGGAACCTACAGAGGTGAGGAAACTGGGCGTCCCGCAGCTCCTAAACTATACGAGAAGCCTAGAGTTGTCAGACTGAATTGAGGGGTGCTACAATAGGTCAACAGGCTGAAATAGCTAGGGGTAGATGAATACCCCAACCACCCCAACAAAAAACCCCGTGGTTTTCAGTTAACCATTGTCTTACTAACTTCTCCTATCTAGAACATACAAACAAAGTTACCTTGAGAGCCAGTATGATGTAAAGCTGTCCGCTGTAGACCCTAGGAGCTCTTGAGCAGAGGGCGAAAGTTCCCTGAAGTGATGTCTCTGCAACAAAAATTAAAAATATCAAATATTCTTTATTTTATTTTTTTATTTACGTTTATTAAAATTAAGGCATTTTTATGCAGGAATATAGATACCCATGTAACATGGTATGGGTGATAATTTGTCTCAGAGGTATTTAAACGATTTTTTGCTAGAATAATTGCCTTGCCATGACTATACTGACCATACACTGTTAAATTTTTCAGTTCTTTGAATTTATTGTTGTTTTGTTCTACCTTCCAACTGAACTAGCCTGAACTAAATGTGGTAGCAGTTTGCCAAACCAAGCAAACTAACTGTTACAAATATTACAATCATGACAAGAAACTGTTTACCTACACAGAGAAATATGTTATGTCTTTAATTTCTCCTGTATGATATATGGAGAAAGTATTGTTTTTAAGTAAACTGTTGCAGTTTGATTTTTTATAGCTACGAGTTTGATCAAACTGTTAAATACAAATTTATTAACCAACCTTGTTACGTAGTGCTCTCAACAAGTCGCGCACACTGTCACCACGGTAGCTCCGATATTTGCGCAAATCTGCCGTCACTTCGTCGTCCACAGCTGACCGCCAGTCTCTAACACACACAGATGATGCTCCTGTTTCCAGGGTTGCCAACACAGGCCCTGTTACATCCTCTTTCTCCACACGGTCGCTGCAGTCCTGCCAACACAACATGGTGGTTTTATTGCAAGATATTTTCTACAAAAAGTCCTGATATTGCACAGCAAAGATTACAGTATACCATACTTAAGTCTTTAATCTAGTTATACAATAATTTAATTTGTGTTTTATGGAGGGATGAGTCTTGTTCTGTCTTCAATATAAATCATATGATTATATAAAACCTCATGTTATATTAGGGAGTGTTTGTAAACAATGAGTATTGAAGTTGAATGTTGTAATCTATTGACACAATAAATACATTTTTAATTATCACTGTATTGATCTCGGGAATAACTCACTAACAACATCAACCATCACCAACAATAAAGTTTAATCAAAGGATATCTTAAGTGATTTAGGCTAAAAAAGACATGTGGATGTAATTTTCTTTAATAAAAACAGAAAATAAACTGAATTTGACAATTCATAAAAAAAGAACCGTACCAATAAAAATTACAGCCTCCACATAACTAACGGTCTGAGTAGGCTATAGTAATTACAACATAAATGTTATGATCGTACCTGGAGGAAGGTCAGTGCTCTTGAACTGTCCCAGAGAGCTGGATGATGCAGAACCACATCAGCTGGTGGTCTGTGGTGTGGTTCACAGCTGATCATCAGTTCTACCAACCCCTGCCAGAGCACACTCAGGCCTGCCAACCTAGTCAAACAAACCATCTTCAATTATAATTTTATGAGCGAATTCCCAATACACAAAATCTACATTTTAATATTACACTTCCAATTAAGATTTCCATGGATAATTCAAGACCAAAAGAAAAATTTTGTTTTGGATATTGAAGCTCTAACATATTCTTATGAAGATTACACAATCCATAAATTAACTGAAGTATCCCAAAGATAAATGTGAGAAATATTGGGTATATCAATCTAATAAAAAATACATGCTGATATTCGACTACAGTAGATACATCTTCATATCAGACTGAGGGCAAATCTTGCTGTGATCAGAGGCGGGCCTATAAATACAAAGGCGAACAAGGCGGTGCCTGAAGCCCTGTGCTTATCTGCTTTTCAGGGCCCCGCAACTTCGCCTTGGGCCCCGCAATCTCTAGGGCCACCACTGGCTATTGTCAATGGTCATTATGGTCAACAAATTCTGAATAACCACAGTAAAATCGTTAACAAGTTAACTCATTTACAGAACGGCAAACTGATTATACTAACCAATATCATAACACAGAGTAAATATTTTAAATGGAAATACAGAGAACCCAGTAATTGTGTTTTGTTCTGACTACATATCTAGGTTATGTATCAAGTAACCCTTACTTGTAAGAGTTGGACAGGATGTTGGCTTGACGATGCAGAGTGTCACCAAACGGATGTCTCCCTTGACTCAACACGTAGTAGAACACACATCCGAGGGAGAATATATCCACCTGGCACATCTGTAGTACATATACAAAGATTGGAAAACTGTCAATCCTACTTGCAACATTACAAGTCTGATAGCACAAACAACCTCGACTGTTCGAGCTGAAGTGTTGCATACACATAGTCGTACTTCAGATTAACTCTGTTTTTTCATCGATAGGTTTTACAGTACGCTTCACTTACTGACTAAAATAGTTGAAGGTACAAAAAATCACAATACATAGATTTTTTGGAACTAATAGATTCTGAAATGTACAGTCTTACCTTACCCCCATGTTTTTGTAAAGTCGAAGTGTAATATATTGTGTTTGATTAATACTTCTGCGCAACAGGTATTATTAATTGATACAAATACATGTTTTTAGACACACACAGTAAGGATTTGTAAAATGGCTGATCTCAGCCAACTAAACACCCATCCCAACCACTTCCACCAGAGCCAACCCAGTTCGAAACTAACCAGTTGAACCACTACACTGCAATATAGATGAGTTATCCAAGATGAAATTGAATGCAATAAACACTAACCGTTCTACTGTTTCCAAGAATGATTTCTGGTGCAATCCATCCATCAGTCCCTGTTACACCTGAACGACGGGAGAATGAAGTTCGTCCATTCTGCAACTTTTTGCAGAGGCCGAAGTCTGAGATCATTGCACGGACCTGTCCTCCAATGGTGGGCATCGACAGAAGCACATTGTGTGGCTTAATATCTCGATGAACTGCAAAAATTAAAAACCTTGGGTTTAAGTTGAGGTGTAAAAAAAGAGTTGGAAGTTATGTTCTTGAAGGTAAAACTATATAATTATACAGTAAACCCCCGTTATTCTTAAGATGAGAAAATCACTGGAATATTTAAAAGTGTTTGAATATTGCTATGCTTCCATGTGATTAGGTCATTAGCCGATGTTGATAATACTATGACATTTTAAGTTTAATACGGAAATTCTTACAAAGCAGCGCATTAATAATTATTACAATTTGACAATATTATTGAAAAAATTTTAAGCTGCTGTGGGAAGTAAAAAGACATTTGAAAATTTTGCATCAACAGTTGAATAGCTTAACTTACCTATATTTAAGGAATGTAAGTGAGACAATCCAGAGGTGGCTTGGCTGAGAACATCACGGTGGTTGAGGAACTCGTTGAAAACTTGCTTCTCAACATAGTCCTGAGGCAAATAACAATTATTTACTTCAGATTAATAATTATGTTATGAATAAAGCCAGCAGCTGGTTATCTTTTTACCATCAAATCCTTGAAATAAAAAGAAATTAAATTGTGGTTGTTGACAAATACAAGATTTTCTAATGAAATTTCATTCCAACATTTCTTTAGTTTTTTTTTTCACTTACCTGCAATGTTGCGGCACACAGCTCCAGGGCAATGTAACGAAACTGTGAGTCTTGTTCGGTGCAAAAGTAGCGAACAACGTTTGCATGAGCGTCTGACTCCCGAAGCAAACTGACCTGGAGGGAAAATACTAAAATGTCAGAAAATGATTTGTCACAGAAACATAAATAAATTATTGTTGAGGATAATTTGATAGCTTTAAACTTGAACTTTTATGAAAAAAAGACAAAAAGTATAAAGACTATTATTTTTGATGATAATTTTCTATTTACCTCTCGGTCCGCTACAGTGAAGCACTCGGGCAGAAGGCGCTTCACAGCAACAGCTCGGCTCTCAAACTGTCCCCTGGAAATTTGTTTGGGTTATAGATCAAGAAATTAAATATCCCCTAACAGCGTTTCCTGAGTTTATTTTTTTTAAGAAATTAAATATCCCTTAACAGCGTTGCCTGAGTTTATTTTTTTGAATTCAAATAATTTAGTACTTTTGTTTACGAAACTAGGACTTAAATCATCTGGACTATAAGTGTATTCAACTTAAAATTTGGGTTTTGCACTTGATCTAGATGGTAAAAGTATCTACTGAGTAGGCGATTAAATTGTTCTATATAGAGTAGATCACCTCTTATCCGACCTTACATTAACCGATAAACGGATTATCCGCCCTCACTCGTAAAATCTTACAGTTTGTTTTATCCGACCTCGTTTTGAGAGCAGTTCGGTATCTGCATTTTGGCTCTCACGCTCGGCGATGGGAACAATACGCTAAACTCTGCAGAATGTTCAAAACTTTCTGTTACAGTTTACAGAGCTAATACATCTGTATAAATAAATATCCTGTCTCACAACGGAATGGTTGCTTGCATCTTTAATTTCGACACTAAGTTCTGTCCTGTATTACGATAGATTGGGAAAACGTAATTATTGACTATTGTATACGATTAACATTTATTGCACTGAAAGTATTTAACTTAGGCATAATCGTGTTTTGGGTTAATATTTGACTTTTTTACATGAATACGAAAAAAAGGAGATAAGTGTAGTTTATTTTGTAAATAGTGCACGCATAACTTCAGAATAAGGATTATATAGGTAATTCCAAATTAATAGTACTTCATTTTTTTAGGTATTGCCCGGTTTAACCGACCTTTCGAGTAATCCGACCTAGGTCCGGTCCTATTAGGAACAGTAAGGGGGGGGGGGCTACTGTAGTATGCTATGTTAGGTTAGGTTAAACCCTATAAAATATAATATATATATATATATCACCTGAACACAAATGTCCCTTCACAGCCTTTCCCAAGGACTTGTGTGGTGTCGAAGTTGATCTTGCCAACACGTACGGTACCGTCTGACATAACCTCTGAGGCAGCAGTTACTGCAGATCCCCACGAATCTCGGGACGATCCTCGTGAACTGTGCTGCGACTGCTGCAGGGCCTGTACCTATTGTCAGTGAAATGTCAGAATGTTAAAGTAGACATTTCCAAGTTAAGGTTGCAGTGAGTAAAAATGAACAGAGTGTCAATTATTAATTCCTATTGAATACCTATGCAAAGATATAAACTGAGCCAAATTGAAAGTGCAACTTATTCGGAAACTAGGCCTATAGCATATTTTATGTTATTTCATTTTAAAAAAATTGAAAATCAAATGGTGACATGTTATTTTCTATCTATTTTTTTTTTTTACAATAGCTGGTTAATGTAGATGAGATGTTTACTTTAGTATGTAAAGTTCGATGGTCCAGTACATACAATTTGAAGAAACATTATCCTGTCTTCAAAAAGCAAAATATAGCTTTATACCCCAATTTAGTGACGTTTCATCTTGGTTCGAGGTTGTGGAGTCAATTTAAACTACCTGGCAATGCACATAAAAGGCAATAATTTACTACATGACTGATATACTGGGACGGGCGTCGTCGTCCTGTAATCCAGCTACTAGGAGGTTACGAATTGTGGATATTTATAGGCATGCACTGTGGATGCGATACTCCCTGGTGTGGATTAACGTCCGTACGAGTGAGTACTACGACTATCCGCAGTACTATCCTGAAAATTAGACCAATTTGTATATACCAAGGCAAAAATGTGGTCCGGATTCCACTATAAACTACCTTAGTTGCCATTAGCTTAAGGGATATTAACTAACAGCTGTGTCTAAGGAATAAGTCGGCCTTAGTCACTAACAAGACTACAAGATCGTGCCAATCATCCTACACTCATCTCCATTCATACTTGGCTTAAAATACCTACTTAGTATGGTCGCCATTTCATTGAAAAGTAAAAGTATTAAAGCATTGTCTGAGTTTGAGCCCCAAAACCAAGTTACCAATCTGGAACCCACATCACTTAGATTTCTACAAGTTTAACCTACCCAACTGTGTAAATTCTGTTTATTAAGAGAACTCACATCTTAGAGCAAGTGGCATACCATGTAACTATTATTTCGTTGAAGACTAGCGATATTGCATTGAACTAATGCAAACTGACTATAATTTTTTAGAAAAAAAAATTATCACGCTCAAATAATACTGTTGCTTAACATTGTAAGGTTCTAAACATACTTTGCAATCTGTTGAAGCAAGCAAAGTTTGCAGTATACGTATTACCAGTAAAACAATCTACTAACCTGGGCCTGAACATAGAAGAACAATGCTGCCATACTGACGATCAGCAAAAACACAAAGAAGTACAGTGGCTTGTGCTCCAATGCCACAAACCACTCTACAACTGCGGGGGTGTTTTGGGGGGTTCTTGCGGGTGCAGTGGGGACCCCCCCACCCACCTTGGAGCCGTTGAAGCCCCCCATCACCGGGGGGATGATGACATCGGACCTGCCCGCGATTTGTAGCCTTGTAGTGCTGTAGTCCGGAACTGGGTAGTGGCCTGGACAAAGATAGGATAGATAACCATAAGCCTTTAAAACTAGTAATAAATATAACATTATAACATATTTTTACCAGAAATGACCGAATCGGTCGATGGCCACATCCCACTCAGCCATAATTCAAAGGATACAGTCCGTTGGCCACTTGGAGGGTTAATTACAATACAAGAAATGTTGAACCACCCCAAACATAGAACCATTAGGACTGTGGTTTAAAATTTTGCTAGGCCTACCTATAAAATTTTTTTTTTTATTCCAGCAACAACGGTTTGAAAACCAAAATCAAGGAAACTCTTTCAATTCATCTAGAAAATAATTCTTGAATGAAAAAAACTTAAAATGAATAATAATCTGGTGACTTTTTCTTTCAGGCTAGATGAAGTAGATAAGTCATAATGTCTATATAAATCTAACATAAGCCAACAATAATAAGGCACCTGTTACTGCTTATAGCAATTTGTGTTTAGTAAACTAATTTAATATTAGGCCTACATCTAATACAAATTTGGAGAGGAAAATTTTAATCAAAATCTTACCGAGGAGAGAGTTGGGTGTGTCAGTGGTGTTAGGTCCTTCGATCAACAGTACAGCCTGCGTAGGCAGTATCAGAGAGGAATGTTGTCCTACGAGAGTCGGCAATGCGTAAAAGCCGTGACGGTGCTCGCCCACATATAGACTGGGACTGTGTGCAGAGTAATTTGTTTAATCATTTTTAATATTGATTACCATGCATGTATCAGTAATCTGTTTGTCTAATCCTAAACTAGATGTATAATACCCTTGCAGCAGAAAACCTGCAGACTAAGCGAATTTCCATTTGCCTGATTGGATTTAACATAAAAATGTCTCATTAAAAATATCACAGAAGATGAGTGAAGGATTAGTGTTGAATGAGATGACAGCTTTGGTTCTAAACCAGATCAGCTGGTTTTTAGCCAGGAAATGTATTAACAGTCCAATTATCAAGGACAACAGTACGAATCATTAAACAAAATGTGACTTTTCCTAGGATTCAACCAGAAAACTACTGATTACCAGTTATAAATTAAAATAGGGAAATCAGTTTGGAGTCAAAATTTATTGTTTAGTTTTTGTCAAATAGTTTCAAAGTTACCTACCTGTAAGAAAGATCAATGTGATCCTTAAGATCGCCTCAGTAAAAAAGTGTTTTAATTGATTCACAGAATTACAAAACACCCGCACATATACTGGACAGAAACCCATCTTAAAATTGCCTTCAGAAAGTGTATTATGGAAAATCCAAAGGGGTCAATGAAACATACCAGAAAATTTTCTTCATAAAGATAATAAATCTATTAGGGACTATGTCAAGATTTGTCGTTATGAAATTTCTAATGATTTTTAAAATTCTTTATCCCACCTTCACTTCCTAGAACGACAGGCTCTAGCTGTGGAACTGTTATGCACATTACTTCAGGCTAGTCCTAGAGGGTTGTGGCATTATAACTTGTATAAATCCATTGGTGATAGGCAGGATTTGAACCCGCAAACAGGACTGAAGCCCCGCGCTCTTCCACTAGACCAACCTCCAGATTGACTATAATGACAGATATATGAGAGAGTAGGTTACTCACTACAACTGATCCCGGTCATGACTCAGCGCCAGTCTGTCCAGGGTCTTGTCCTCGACTGAAGTGAAGGGAACCGAGGTAACATCCTGATCCTGCCTCAGGAATACTCCGACCAGAGGAGAGCCAAAGTCTCTGTCCCACAGCAGACGACCACTCGACCTGTCGTACGTAGACACTCGGCCACTAGACGAGGCACCGAAGTGAACAAACCCTGGACAATAACAACACGTGATGACTCTGGGTCGTTAAAATAAGCAAACTTTTGATGCCAGAACATATTTGACCATGTTAGTATTACGGCTTCCATTTCTGACAGCTGTCAATTTTTACCAGATCACTCACATCTGGTCATACTTTAACTTTCGATTTGGCCTAATAGTAGTCTGAAATATTATGTACTTATCTACAAAAGGTATATATGCTTTTAGCCTCAATGTGACTTAATAATTATGTGTCATAATGAATGTAGCTTACCATAGTTAGTCACGTCCTCAGAGCTCATGGTCTGGGTGGAGTAATCGAAAAACGTAACATTCCATTGTCTGTTCTTGTTCTTGCTGTCGTACATCAAGATGTTATACTCTGAAAACGTATAAAATTGAAGCATGAGAATTTGGTGTAGTAATAGTGTTGTTCATGTGTTTTCTTTGTTCAAAGTAGTTCCATCAACGACTAATGACCACTCTTATGCTAGATCTTGGGTTTAAGCACCTCACAAAGTAATAAAGAAAAGGTGAGCCAACCTGTCCTCCCGATGAAAATGTCATCCAAGGCAGGCACAGGGCAAGACTTTTCCAGCTGGTCAAAGCTCAAAACTGGTGTCTTCTTCCCCGTTTTCCAATTCACTGAGAACCATGAGTCTATTTTCCGTCCTAGAAATATGAAATTCCACATGGAAAACAAACTTAACAAAGTGGGAAACTCCTGTGAGTGTAATGGCTACTAAAATAACAGTTGTTTGCTTCAATTATAAACTATTAAAATAATTTTGTGAGTAATCAAATTCTCCTTCAACAAACTCTCTAGATCGGTACCACCGGTAAATATACATGAAGCAGCAAAATGATCTGACGGTTTTCTTTGCCACCCTGTCGAGTGAGTGGTGGAGGGTGGTGGAAATAGGGGCGTTCCAGAGCCTATGTAGCTCCATGGCTAATAAAAATGTCCGCACATAGGCTTTGGAACGCCCCTATTCCCAACACCATGCACCACTCACTCGCTCGACAGGGCGGCAAAGAAAACCTTCAGATGATTTTGCTGCTCCCTGTATGACTTTCATTTACAAAACCATATTTTAAGTAAATTGCAATTGCAATAAAGAATGTGAATGCAGAAAACGAGGCATGGATGAAAATACGGGAGCACAGCTAAAACTGGTAGAACACTTTTGAAATACCTGTAATTTCTTCAGTTGTATGCAATTTAGTTGCACCATATATAAGCTCCATAACAGCTAATGACTCAATGACCAACAAGCTGCATAAGCCTAAAATTAAATTACAGCCAGCTTCATGGAGTCAAACTTGACTGAAGCATTTTCATTTATCGAACAAAAGTCATGCAGAATGGTAGGCTTTATTTGCGAGGAAACAAGAAGTCAAAGCAATGTATAGATGACGCCTTATAATTGTTTACAAACCTGTGTAGAACATTCCGTCGCTGCCCCGGCAAGGTGAGGAAGCCACCAGTTGTTGGATGGTGAACGGAAGCTTCTTGAGTGTCGACATCCTGCCGGTGGTCGGCCCTGAGGCCAGCATGTACAACGAACCATCCTTGGGGTCGGGGAGAAACACTGGTCTGGAATACCAGGAAGATCAGGAATGGTGAATGTTAAAGTACACCTAAGATGATAGCTCACATAGTTCTTTTTCTTTTGTACAAGAAGGCAGAGGAATGATAAGAATAGGAATTTATTTACTCTATATTACGATAGACTACAGCAATTTCTAAGGTCTGATCAAGTTAATTTACACTTTCTATAGTTGAATAAATACTTGTTCAAACCAGGTGGGATGCGTCAAAGCAATATGACTTTCATTGGAAAACATAATAAAATTACTTGTAGGTAGTCATCAGGACCATTTACAGGGTGCGGCAGAACAAAGCAGTACAACTTGTGTAGTATTCTGGCTTTGACAAGGGCTTCTCATCAGCATTTTTGTATCCTGAGCAACAATGCTTTTCCTAACGTAAACAACCTTGTCCAGTGTTCTCACTTACCTGCATTTGCTGGGTTTTGATTTTAAGAGTGCTGCTACTGTTCCTAATTTAACCTACAATTGTGTAGAAAAAATAGCCGTTGAAAAGAAGAATGCACTGCAACCACAGGCTTCTAGATTTTTTTAAAATTTGCACACTGCAAAACCTTGACCTTGAGCCAGTCCTAACTATGATAGTGACTGAAACGGTAAGAGTTGCTGATGCAGGACAAACGGTGTCCGCCTCTCTTCACAGCCACAGCACTACCACACACTACAGCCACAGCACTACGCAAGTGAAACTGCCAATAATCAATCAATCAATTATTAAAGATGGGGACGCACTATAAGAACTCAACAACCCAGCTATTGGGTGTATACAAAATCGACTGTGTACTTCCTTTAAATAAAATATACAATCACAACTTTTACAATTCAGACACGAAACAGTTTTAAAATAAGAAAAAAAACTATAGAAGGGCCTACAATGGTTTTGGTATACTTTAATTTCATGAAACAATTTTTGATGCATTTCAAAACATATAACTATGAAAATGAACGGTGTCAGCAAACTGAGACATATTTTCTCCCAGCTTGTCAACAATTATAGTGAGTAAGCGGTGGGAGTAGCTATGATAGATATTTTATGGAAATCACAAAGGTTGCAACTGTAACTTCTTTACTGTTTATTTTTACAACAGCAGTGTAGGTTGTACCAGTTTGTTAAAAGTTATAGAGCCCATAGCAAACTTAATTTGATTCCAAATCGTTGTATTTGTAAAACTGATACGTTTCTTTTATTTTAACAGGTTTAATTCAATATATATATACAGTATAAAAAAGGAATTCCAACAAAATCGGACCGCAGGTTTAGTCTGTAGCTCTGTACTCATCCACACACAGACACATTCAGACATCACTTGGAAAACCACTTTTTCGGGTTCAGGGAGTCCAAAACTCAGCCTCAAAAATGTTGACAAAAATTATACTTTCTCCATAGGCTATGCATTGTAGTAGAAAGTAAAAATATTCTTTCTCATTCTCCACGCAACATTCAAGCTAGTTTTAGTCCTTATCACTGTGAAAGTCAGATGCCGTAATAAATCATTAATAAGTTCAACTTCCACAATAAAAAATAAAAAAACTTTAAAAAATGTCTACTTTTTATCATAAAAATTATCCAAAAACAGATGAAAATAGACAAGGAACATACAAATAAATATTTGATCAGATGAATCATGAGTTGTTGACCTTGAACAACTGATACAGACAGGTTGGTATTGGAGCTGATAAGGTTGGGACCAGTAAACACTAATAGGAACAACAGTTATCAGACATGTTTATGTTATCACTAAAGTCTGTCTGCTGCATAAACGCCCCTTAGATAACTAGTCCCAGAACTGTGTGGATGCAGTGCAGAGAACAAAGCACTATACGTTTGAGTTTTTGTGTTGGTAATTTCCTACAATCCAACAACAAAATTAAAATGGATTTTTTACACTTGGATGTAGTGGAGAAAACCTAACTGTTTGAATTCTTGTGTTGGTACCTAATTTTACTGATAACAAAAAAAAGGCAACACACCTTTTTACTAGACAGAAAATGGTAGGTAAGAATTGGAAAATCTGTTTAAAATACAAATACCCCCGCCGCAGCAAACCTGTAGACTAAGCGAATTTCCATTTGACTGATTGGATTTACACTGAAATGTCTACTTTAAAATATAACATTTATTCTTGATTTAAATAGAATTAGTTTAACAAGTACTTAGGTTTGCTGCATCAGGGAGGGTAAAACTTTTTTTTGTAAAATGTGAATTGTTAGTAAGAAATAAAAACATTTTCCAAATTTGATCAAAATATGTTCACAAACAAGCAAACTACAACAGTTTACTTATTCTCCATAAGAATAACATAAGAATTTTAAATTTACAATTTTTTGGAATTTTCTCCGTAACCATTAGGCGGATAATAACGCTTCAATATACTAAATTATTTGTTTTTTTAAGCTCTACAAAATGGTTTGGAAAAAAATTGCTAAATTTTATGTTTTTTGGGTCAAAAATGGGAAAAACCTATTTTTACCCCATAAAACCCCCCGTAAACCCCCGTTCCCATGGTCCGATCATGCTGGATCGCAAACTCGTTCGAATAAACGTACGTTTGCACGTTTGTACCAAATTTCATCAAAATCGGATCATTTTTGCTCGAGTTATCTTGCTGACGGACACATATATATATAAATACTAGCAGAGTACCCGTCCTTCGTACGGGGTTGGCATATAAGTATCAAATGCTTATAGCAGTTATGAGTGAGGACATGGTTTAAGAAATTTCGGTTCTTTTTGAAGTTCGTTCGCTACGCTCACTCACCTTTAGGTTGGAGCTCGTTCGCTGCGCTCACTTTCCTTCAGGTTAGCTCGTTCGCTACGCTCACTCACCTTAGCTGTTGTCATAAATGTAAAAGAAATAATAGTGCTAGTGCTGCACCCTGTTGGTAATCCTTGTAACTTTAATGCTATTGAACATCACAGAACAGAACCAACTTGTTTAATTGAAACAGCTGTTAAGATTCAATAATTTCATTTCTCATAAGGTTAACATGGGAAACTCCAGAGCCACTGGGGCGGAGCCCGAAAGGATTTTTGGGATAAAAATATGCCTATATGTTAATCGGGAATGTGAGCTATCATCATGCCAAATTTCAGCCCGATCCGACCAGTAGTTTTCGCGTTTACTTTTCCCATACACACACACAGACACCACCTCTTTTTTATAATAGTATAGATATAATTTTAATAAATAATTTTACTTGGGTACTAAGTTTATTAATGTTTAATCTTTATAAATATATAAATATATATATATATATGAATTTGAACGGATGGTGTTTTTGGCCTCTAGGGACCTCAAAACGAAAAAAAAAATTGGTCCCGCGTCCAGGTCTTACCATGAGTACTACGGTAATAGCTTATTCCCTATATGGGAAATTTGCTAAAACTGATTTTTGGTGGACATGAGCCTAAATTTGTATTAAAACTAAGATAGCAAACTTGGGAATTTGATAAATATGAGGGATACACTAGGCCTAGGCTATTTAAAATATTTTTGATTTTGATAACTTTTTATATTTTGATAACCGGTATTAAAAACAAAAGTCTTACTAAACACTCCAAAATATTCTAACATTGGCAACAATTTGTTGAATAACCAACAGTGTATTTCACATATCTGGGTTTCTTCCAAGGCCACTGGTATCACACTGTCGAACAGCTGAGCAAACTAATCTTGATCGATTTAAGCAGTTTGTCAAATTTTGTCTGTTTCACTTAAAACAGGTACAAACACATGCCTACGACAGTATCTATTTCAATTTTAAGGGTAGACAATTTAAGTTAAAATTCAAATTTTTGCTTATCTTACAATATATCAGCAAACAACAACTGTAAATACACTGTGTCTAAAAAAAAAATGAATAAAATCTACAACTACTTGTTACCAAGAGGCATAGAAAATTTAGTCAACTCTATGGCTAATTTTAAAGCTACAATCTTTAGGTTTTACTTAGCAACCTTTACAGTAATCAGCTATTCCATTGTTGTTAGCACATTTGCATTTTTCAACAGCTGCAATATGGAGGTGTAGCTGAAAGCACAGTGTATTGAATGGTTTAGAGAGATTATATCTGTTGTGGGATTTTTTGTCTGGAGATTGTGGAAGATCAAGTGGATCGCTCACCGATCTCAAACACAGATGAACTAAATCAAAGATAAGGAAAGCCTTTGGAAAAATATCTATTAAAATGTGCCACAATGTGTGGCCAGATCTGGAACACCGATTTGAATTTCTTCGAGGAAATAACAGTTAACATGAGGGGGTAGGTGGTGAATCATGTTCGGAAAAAGCTAAGGAAAATATTGTATAAAATGTTATCTTTTATCCTTAATATTAAAGTGTTTATGCCAGTTTACTTTTGATCCATTCTTTTTGGGATACAAGGTATAATATGTATTTACAAAATGCTTCTTGGATCCTACAATATTTTAATCAACATTTATGTAAAGTATTAAATTATGGCTTTTTTGTCCTAAGACACTAGGCACGAGCCCAGGTTTGTTTTTCACATTACTTCAGGCTAGATCTAGGGGTTGTGGCATTTTCGCTTGGATAAAATCCATTGGTGATTTGGCGGGATTTGAACCCTGGACCTCAGGGACCAAAGTCCTGCACTCTAAACACTAAGTTAAGGCATTAGACAACCCTATTATAAATGTAAATAAATTATTATAACCTGCCAACATTAAGCTTAAATTGTACTCACTCTAAAGCACTTTTGGAGCCTGGAGGTACTTTCACAACTGGATCTGGAAACAAAGCAATCATTGTAAACACCACAACATTGTTCAAATATAACGTGGCTAATAATGGTATTCTTTCATGAAAAATAAATAGAAAAAGTAAACTTATTGAAAGCTTGATATGGTTGTAAAATGTGGTTTGAGGTATATTCTTTCTTAAGTTAACATTCATATTACAGTAGACCCCATCCTAAATAATCCTAACAGGGCCATGGACCTAGGTCGATGGATAGCTCAAAAGGTCAATTAAAACGACAATCCCTAAAACAAAACAAAAATAAAGTGATTCATTTGGAATTTTATATAATTATTATTCTGAAGTTGTGCATACATTATTCACAAAACAAACTGCACTTATCTCCTTTTTCCCTTAAATATTGACGATAGAAAAGGCACAAATAAACCCAAAACACAGTAAAGTCAAATACTTTCAAGGGAATAAATTATTGTTGTAGGCAAAGAGTCAATAAAAATCTTTATATTTAATACCTTAAGTATAATTGATGCTTTCCAAATCCATTGTAATACAGTACAGACCTTATTGAGCACCCATTATGTTTTGTGACAAGATATTTATTAAGGATAAATACAAAATAATTTATTCTTAGCAGCATCCTGTAGAGTTTAGCATATTGTATTGTTCCCATCGCCGAGCGTGGGAGCGGAAATACCAGATTCCTAGAACGCAGCTGTTAAATTGAACTGCTCTCAAAACAAGTTGGTTAAAACAAACTGTAATATTTTATGAGTGAGGATGGATAATCCGATTATCGGTTAATGCGAGGTCGGTTAAGAGGGGATCTACTATGTACTTACTTAGGTAAGCATTAGAATATTTATGGACAGTTAAACTACACAAACCTACTTAAATTTGTTTCAAATGTACAAAAATGTTTCATTTCAAAATATGCTTCATGATACTTGGTTTTAGTACAATTGTTTTGATTTATCTTCACAAACTATCAGAACTTGTAAAAGAATGGTTGAGCGATTCACAATTGAAATATCTTTAGGGCAGAGACAGGCATTAGCCTATTGTACACCATGAGGCAAGGGCCAATGACTTTTGTCATAACAAGAACAGTTTTGTAATCCACTTAAGTATTCCAAGTCACACACTGAAATACTAAGCCTACCAACAAATCTTAACCATTGAGATGAATAGATTATAACTGGAGTCATTACTCTCTAGTTGCACATTAGAGAAAAGAGTGCCATCAAGATGACCACTTATTACCGTGTTTTGTTGGTCACACTGTCTCGGGTGGTTGTCAAAAATAACCCCATCTGATTGGTTAGAATTTGACACCTATCCAACCAACTGATCATATACCAAATTAACAACATGAAAAACTGAAAAAACCAGCAAAAACAGTGGCACGCTTTTTAAACACAGAGTGGTGACTCCAGTTATAATAGCTTAGTGATCTTAACAGCTGAAATATATGAACAAGCCTGATACATGTAGAAGGGTTTGCACTCTCTTTAAGTTTTATACCTACATATGTTGTTTAGTTTCGGAGGTATTTTTAGTAAAAATTTAAACAATACTAGAGGACCCATCCTGCTCCGCGGCGTTGAAATAAATATCATATCCGAGAAATATAAAAATTTATGATTTTTGATTGAGTAATACAGTACGGTATCTTGAACTAAACTGATTCAAACGATCAATAGCTCAAATTAAAGCTTATAATTTACTGATTATTATGAGTCTAAAACGTATAAAAAAAAACATAACAATACTGGAGCTATTGACTTTTAATCATAGAAAAAACCTTATAAAAATCATTTTTATGTTGGTTTTTCACCTTATGTTTGCTTGAAACTTGTCCGATTTGAATAAAATAGCTAATGAAAGCCGGTATTTCACTGAAGGTTCTTTGACCAAAATATATAGGATTATATAATTATAACTGGTGAAATACATCTTAAATTGAAGTAAGAATTAAAACATTAATCAAATATATGTTTTTTGGTCGAGTAATACTGTAGGCCTAGATAAATATATGCCGATGCTTGATGTGAAATCAGTGCTTGCATACCTTCAATTTGAGACCTCAATCATGAACATCGGTCAAGTAGAAGAGCCAAACGAACTTGGAAAAGAAAAATCAAATTTAACTCCCATAAGAAATACATGGCGAGCAAATTTTGTTGCATATATGACGAGTGCGACTGTAGATAAATATATTTAGTTGTTTGATGTGAAATCTGTATGTGCATACTTTCAATTTGAGACCTCAATCATGAAAATCGGTCAGGTAGAAAAGGCAAACGAACTCGAACAAGAAAGAGACCCATGTTACAAAAATTGTTCGCTACAACTTCAAGGGCGAGTTGTGTCTACTTGAATATATTGCTCACCATTGTGCAGCCGCCAACGTACAAGTCCTGTAAGGTGGTCAACGCCGATGAGCGAGCCGTCAAGCATGGATAGTACCAGGAGGGAGTCCGCATCCTTGATAAGACCTGTGGACTGCCGGTGGACATCCTAAGGACATTTACAACTTGTGGAAACATTTTTATAACTAAATAAAAAAATTCTGCTAATAATAAGAATTTACTAGGCATTTACTCAACACTAATCCTTTACTTATGCATCCTCTTGTGTCAGTACTGTTTAATCTTAACTGTCAAAACTATTGTAGGCCTACTATTTTAAATAATGTCATACAAAATCGGCCAATATCGGGTATTCAAGTCAAATTGAATTCAATGCAGAGATGATTCACTAAAAGAGATTTCTCACATTTGGCAGAAATCCCCTGGAGCTAAATTTTAAACGTAAAAAATCCGGTTAACTCCGGGTAAATCCGGGGATAGGCCTATGGCAACCCTATGTGTAACCTGTGTAACTTACTTTCTCATTTTTTCTGCTCATATTCAAGGGGTACTTAGGCCTAATATGCACAGAATGCCACTTTAACTAGATTAAGGTTTGACATAAAAAAGTAGGACTATATCTAAGTTAAGCGAAGTTAAGTTACTTTTTACTTTTCAGTAAACTTAGGCTAGGCTACCTACTTTTTTCTTCAAATTCATCATTTTGTGCCCCCACCCCCCTAAATTCACCGCGTCGAAAGTGACCGGTATTATAAGACTTAAAGTATTTTTGTATTAATTGATGAGACTAACCTTTTCCTGTAGGTGTTCAGAGGTTGTGCTCCCAAGAACCAAGCATTTTGTTCTCAAGAGTAATGAAATCAACAAGAGGAAGGTGAAATGTATGATACAAAAGTGTTTAAACAGTCCCATCTTTTATTCCTCTTTCGATTATTTTTTGTGCGATAAAAAATTAGTCTATTAATGCACATAATTCCTCACTATTGCGTATTACAAATTATTAAAAGTGCACAACTGTCATAACTCACACATTGAAAAATATGAATAAGAATATTAATAATTGAGGCTTTAAATAGTGTACCTAACCCTAAACAAAATTATTTTCAATAGCCTAACAGAAAAACAAATTCAAGGAAATTATACTACAAACAAAACAGAAACAGCAGCACAAGCTCACAAGCACACTGACATTGACATTTCAGATTTCAGGGGTTAGGATAGAAATGAAAATGACAGCACTGACTGACAGACAGACAACGTCAACACCAACAACAGACGGGTTCCTGAAAGGTTTGTAGGAGCCATCCGTGACGTCATTTTGATGGTCCGTTTCCCATATTTCCAACTTTCCAAGATTACTTCAGATCATCGGCATTGTCCGTGACAGTGACGTAATTGCACTTACACCTTTAACTCCAGGCCGCGGCCTTCGAAGTGGCGTGGCAAGGTCGCAAGTAGTTTTGTATGTAACAGCTGTTTCGTTTGGAGGCAGGTAATGGTACAGTTCGGCCAAAACTTCTGAGCACGCGGACGGGTCGCTACTAGGCCTAGCACCTACTAGCCGAACTAAAACATACGGGTGCCGATTTTCGGCAGTGCTGGAGGTATAGGGGTGAGTGAGTAGTAAGACACAAACAGTTTTTATTTATTTATTTAATTTTACATATCAACGGTCATCTTCAATTTTATAGACTATACATAAACGCATTTTTCTCAAATACTGTACATAAAAAACAAATACATTTTTACAATAAATAAATATATATATATATATATATATAATTTTCTTGCATGTTTAGGGCTACTAATATAATAAAAATCAAAAACATAGTTAACAAAGTACTCTTTTTAAAAATAAAATAATTATTTAAAAAGGGTAGGTACTTTATTAACTATGTTTTTGATTTTTTTAAATATATATGTATTCAAATTAATATATAGATTTAAAGTCAATAACAATAGGTTCAGTCGGTCCTGCATGAAGACCAACTACCCCTCCTGAGAGCCGCAACACTGTCACTGTCGCAGAAGAAAGTCAACAGATTCAGCAACGCTGTTGCCAGATCTTTGAAGGCGAGACATCGTATTATTTGCTGCATAGTTGGTGCGGTTGTATTGCCTCACGAACAGGTTGCTGGATCGGGTGGATGATGGTGACTTGAACAAGACCAGGCGCCGGATGTCAGGACAGTCAACCTTACCATTGAGGCTCTTGTGTAGCAGCACAATATCGGCTAAAATTAACGGCTTGCAAAGATACTTGAGCCTCAGATTCCGAAAAATGTCTTCAATTGAAACGTGTCGATGAGTAGGTCTGTTCCTAACACCAACCATTCTTGCAAATCTTCTTTGAGTGCTCTCCAGTTCTTCAATTAGATATTTTTGGTGAGGGTTCCACACTGGCGAGGCATACTCTAGAATCTGGTGCACCAATGCACAGTACAAGGTCTTCAGAGCCATCATATCACTAAAATGTCTCGAATAGCGGAAGACAAAGCAAAGCATTCTATTTGCTCTTCTGCAGATGCGAGTTAAGCGGGACTCCAGGGCTTAGTGAGGGTGTCAAAAGGACACCTAGGTCCCTTACCTCCTGAACTTGAGTTTTGGGTTCACCCTTTACTGTGTAGTCAAACGTTATAGGAGAATGACAACGGTGGAAGGTTATTACTTGACACTTCTTGAGGTTCCAGTTTCATCCTGTTCCTGTTGGTCTGGCACCAGTGATCAACTATGCGGAGATCTTCGTGTATCCGGATGCAGTCGTCTTCTGAAGATTTTCAGAGAAGATATGACAGAAAAGATTTTTACATCATCAGCGAAAAGTAGAGAGTGAAAAGTAGTTTCCTGTATTCACAAAAGTACCCCCGCGTAGACCTGACCAGATATGATCGTGTGCACAGACACTTTGGCCGAACTGTATTTGTGTATTTAAATACGAAAGCTTTGGCTACTGGGCTATGAAAATATTGACTCCTTTTTAAAAGTACAGACATAGATTTTCAATTTATACTGTTTCAGTTTTCAAATCTATATGTTTTATTTTCAATCTTTTAATCAATTTATGTACATAAAACTAAATTTAAATGAATAATCCCCGAACTAATGATCTGGTTTCACCTGTCTGTCATGTTATCTTATGGGATGTCTAGCGCTGAACAACACTACTCGCGACGTTGCCAATTCTAACGTTACCAATTCAGGCTGCGGCTTGGAGTTAAGGATGTCCATGCGTAGTTGTCACTGCATCTGTAGCTGTCAAATGACCAAAACTGATTATTAGTTATTGTAAAAAAAATGTAATAAATTGTATAATACACCCGAGTCTAGTAATTCTGCTGTATCTAGAACAAATATTTTAAGCGACTATGGCTCTTAAATATTACATGTTAAGCAGCAGACTATTATAAATGCATTTATTTTCTTAATCAGTTCAATAAAATTCAATAAAAGTTATATAACTTCAAAATGTTTCACTATCAAATACAATAAAGATATACCATAAGCATTACCTACCTTATTGCTAGAGAATATAGATTCCTCTGTTCATTCAAAATTAAAACAAAATAACTTATTTAATTTTTATTCAAGATAAAATTTATCCTTAGATGTTTTTACAGAGTTAAAAAGAAATATGATAAAATTACATGCTCTGATGATTTATATCTTACATAAATACAGTAAAACCAATGACCAAGCTAACTTTATAATTAAGGTTCAAGAATTATTATTAATTTATCTTTTAATATATCAGTATTTACCAGCTGTTCATTTATTATTTTAATTTTCAACAAAGGAAAGTTAGTTGTCTTAAAAATTGTTATATTACAAGTTTGATTCATCAAGAATTTTTTTATTAACAGAGAAATCTTAGTGATGCTATTTTGTAAGTTACCTTTTCCATTAAATTAGAACTTGTTTCTAAGGAGATTTAACATATCCCAGATCAACTTTATTCCATTCCATATCATTCCAAATTACCATGAGTCTAAGTAAATTTGGCAGTCTTCTACCTAAATTAATATTGCCATTCCGTTTTAATGCTTACAACAGGTATTTGTCTACTACTCATGTAACTTTCCAAAATAAAAACTCTGAAAAGCCAGTCCAAAAAGGATTATTGCTTGGGGCCTTCACAGGATGTGAAAAAACTGATGTTACTTTGACCCCAATAGCACAGAGGTATGCAAGCGAAATCAACTATGATTTCAAGTCAGCTTTGACATCTCAATTGGGATTGGGACCAGGGGAAGTTAGAGTATTTGATAATCTAAATGAAGACTATAGGGCAGTTGCAGTCGTGGGACTGGGACCAGAACCTCCGGAAGATGTAGAAAAAGATAAAAATGTCTTTCAGAGGAGGGAGTATGTCAGAAATGCAGCCGGAGCCGGAGCCCAAAAATTACAAGAAAGAGGAATTGATGAAATCTTTGTGGAACATATGTTAGATGGTGAGGCTGCAGCAGAAGGAGCAACTCTTGGAGTTTGGTTAGAACAACAGTTCAAGAACTATGAAGATCAGCTCACAGAATCGAAGGTGTTTCTTTATGAGAAGGGAGATGAGGGCAAACACAAAGAAATGTGGGACATTGGATTTGAAAAAGCCAAAGGACAAAATCTGGCCAGGTATTTGACTGCACTCCCTGCAAACGTAATGACTCCTGAGATCTTCGGTGAACATTGTGCCGAGGAACTGTGCCCCTGTGGAGTATCAGTTGAAGTCCACGATCACAACTGGATCAAATCTAAAGGTATGGAGGCATTTTTAGCTATTGCTCAAGGCTCATGTACACCACCTGTTCTAGTGGAGATGAAATATTCTGGCGGAGGAAGTGCGGATCCAATTGTAATGGTCGGGAAGGGCTGCACCTTTGATTCCGGTGGCATCTGCTTGACTCCCTGCAAGACAATGATGTACCAACATGCGGACATGGCAGGAGCTGCTGTAATTGCTGGAGTGTTCAAAGCTTTGTGTAAGTTAAAGACTAAAATAAATCTCACAGCTTTGTTGCCGATGTACGAAAACATGCCAAGTGAAAATGCTGTCAAAACAGGATCAGTTTTGAGATCCCTGAATGAGCGAACCATCCGAGTTCTACATCCAGTACATGATGGACGAGTCGTGCTATCTGATGTTCTAAGTTATGCAGCCTGTCTTAATCCTGGTAACATCATCAATATCGCTACGCTCTCCAAAAGTATGATGACTGCAATGGGAACAGGAGCTTCTGGGATTTTTGCTACAAATGAGACACATTACCGACTGCTTCACCTAAGTGGTGAAGATGCTGGAGATCGTGTATGGCCCTTCCCCTTCTACGATGACATAAATCTTGCAAATGCTAAAGCTGCAGATTTTGGAAACAGGAACATGGTGAAGGGCGGAAGTACTCTATTCGGTGCATCTTTCTTAAAAGAGTTTGTTCCTCCTCCGCCAGTGGATTTCATGCACATTGATATCACTGGAACCACAATAAGTAACAAACTGTTCCCGAGTACTTATTTGAGAGATGGATATGCCACAGGACGCCCTACAAGATCTTTGGTGGATTTCTTGACTAAATTGGGCCAAGCAGAAGATAAAGAATGAAACTGATGACCTTTTAAGATTGTCCTGTTATGGAACCTCTTGTCACTAAATCTATATATATTTATACACAATTCATGTTAATAAAAATTGAAATTCGTAAAATTGATTCTAGAGCCTTATTTACACTCTGGGGATAAGGTAGATTTAACAAGGTTGGTTTAGATATGTTAAGGCCTCAATAGGTTTTTAATGTATATTTTATGGTATATAGTTTCTCTGTTTACTGAATAGAAATGTAATAAATTGGTTCAGCAAAGGAAGGTAAAATAAATATTAGATGGATAATTTTATTAAAATGTAATTCAAAAATACATAGTTCTTCAACTGTTAATACAAAAAAGTTAAATTATCATTTTGTTTTTAAATGAGTTATTGGTCATCAAAATCTTTAAAAATGTTGTGTTACACAATAACTCTGAAGTTTTTATATTGCAGAGAACAAACTTGTATATTGAACGAAGATTATAAAATTAATGTAAATATAATTGGTATATCTCTAACTATTTAACACGCTACATCTTAATTCTTCCCAATAAGATTTTTATAAGACTTACTCCTTCATGTACATTAAAAAAATATGTCTAGGTATTTATTTAAAAACAAAATCAAGGTCTAAATTCCTACAAATGCAGCCAAAACCAGGGTGTCCAACCAACCGGAAGAATCAAGAATTGTACTTGAATTATGATGACTTGGAAAAAGTTAGTGATTTATGCATTTATTTTGTATAAGACCATAAACATGTATAACTTTTTATAGAATACACCACAAATTGCTGCCTGTCCTCTCTTCCTTATCATGTCATGTCCTTGATCGCGAGAGATGATCATGACACTCATAATCTATAACTGCGGGAGACGATCACGTCATTGCTGCTGTGATCATGTAAGACTGATGTTGCTGAGTTTAGGGGAGATAATCCGTCGTCGGGTGATTACGAGATCAATGAATATGATGATCATGATGATACTGACATTTCCATGATCATAGAGGATAATCTAACACTGAAATCCGAAATATGCTACTTTTCCATTGAACTTAAATGCAATGACACACCCAGGAACTGCATATGTGCTGCTTTCTATAGTTTTTCCTAACACACTCATATAGCGTTGCAGCTCTGACAACTAGAAGCATCTGTCCACCCACTGCTAAGATCATTAAATTATCAACCTTGAATGGAAAATAAAAATTATGTTTGCTCTCTTTGCAATAGACAATTTGAGTCAGTCTTTCACTTCGTACTATAGTGTTCCCAATTCTAAAAAATATAAGATATTTTTGAGTAAGAGCACATTCTTTGAGCGAAGCTGAATAGTTAAATTATTTAAAGGAATGGGATTGGCGGGCTTTGGATAGTTTCTTAAAAAATGCTTGGAGCGCAAGGTGGAATTTAATATAAGAGTTTAATTTTTTGACAGCAGTATTAATGTAAATAAGGTTACTGACCTGTCGTCAATCAATCCTATATTTTCTAATGGATGACTATTGCTTTAAAAATAGTAAATTATATTTTGATCAAATAAATGTGTGCTTGAATAGGCCTAATCATTATTTTAAAATAATTGGAAATGATTATTCAAGCACACATTTATTATGTAGTAGCACCCAAAATAATAAATGTAACCAGACGTACAGCTAGATGCAGCTACAATAAGAGAATTTAAAGAGTCGTTCTCAGAGCTTAGACAGCCTCTTTTGCTCCTCCTCGGCTCACAACCCTATTTGTCCTCAAATTTCCTTATCCCCAATTTTCTTGTCTTCCTCATTACGGACACCAGGTGAAAAGGCTGCAAAACCACTTATATATTATTTATGAGTGGCCCAATTTCAAAGGGTTGTAGAATCTTAAAAATCTATAGAGGCTCCAACAAGAAATGTGACGTTTCTTTTGATTCCCAAAAAGGGCGGTTGCTTCTTTAGGGGAACAAATTTTTAATTGAGACCAAAGGGCACCAATTTGGAAAGGATGATGCCATATAGCGACATAAGTGGACGTGTATGATCTTAAAAATATGCATAAAAAACATGGCATTTCTTTTAATCCTCAAAAAACAGTCTCGTTTTTAGGGGGCGTGTAATTCTCCCTCAAACCAAAGGGCACAGACTCTGAAAAGATGACAACCTATAGCAACTACTATATTCTTTGTTCACAAAATTTAAGCGGTTTTAGGGGATGAAATCTATCTCCTCCATTTGAGCATATACTTGTAAAACAATAGCTTGACAGCTGAGGTTTGCCAAAACCTAAATAAGCTGCAACATAAAAACTAAGCAAAAAAAGTAGTAGGGGAACTTCCCCTCAAACCGTCTAAATTTTGTGAACCTAAAGGCAGTGTTGCCTTAAAAGGAGCTTTAGAGAGAAATATAGGCTTTTTCTTAATATCTTAAAAAGGGGATTGTTACAAACATTTTTGTCACAAAAGATGTTTAAACAAGATGTTTTGACATATTTTATTTGACACCATGGAGTCATAGACACTTTACCATCCTCTCCTTGCAATTCCCCAGTCGGCTGTATGTTCCACATGGTCCTGAAATACCAGTAATTCTGAATGAAGGAGAAGGGTAGGTATGTCACTTATGATACCATACTGGTATTCTCCAGAGGCTTTGCCCAAGTGGGGGTAGGAGGGAAACCCTCCCACCCCAATAATCTTTTTTGGGTGTTTAAAGTGATGGTATTTTGGGATTTGGAAGTTTGAAACTGTCGACTTAAAGGTTTATTTTTAAACTAAGCAGACCTACTCTTGTGTATTGATGAATGTTTCATCATGTTGACTGTTGAGTAACTATATAGTGCGCTACGTAACGTGTAGTACACAGTAATTCGTTCAAGGCTATTTAGGGAAATTTCTTTCTTAGCTGCATGTGGAGAGCTGTATCCACTGAGTGTTTATTAAAAAAAAGATTTTAAGAGGCTGCAATCTTAATTTATTATTTATATGTACAGTGTGGACATTTCTTTAGTAACCTTCTTTTATTGTCATTTGTTTCTATCAGCTATAAGAGGCTTTAAAGATAAAATTTCCTTCTCTTCTGTTAAAACTTAATATTAATTAGTTGGGAAATCTGAGTAATATTGTTGGGACATTAGAGTAACAAAGTTGGAAAATACTTGTAATATAGTTGGGGAATTCAAAATGTCTCCCCCAATATTTTTTCATGCAAGGCTTATACTGTACTACCAAAAAATGCTATAGAGTTAAATGCTTACAAAGATACCTTTATATAGACTACTAGCTGTTGTATAAAATTATAATACCATGAAAGACAATTATTTAATTTATACCACAGTATATATGAGTAATCTTAATGTAACTAGTGATTATAAAGTGATTACTAAGAAGGCCAAACTGATTCTTGAATTGCACTTTAAGTCTTCTTAACTATATTAAAAGTAATTTTTTTTAAATTATTATTAACAATTAAATTGAAATGTTCTCAATGTTCTGTTATAAATAATGTACTGGTAGTTCAACAAACAGTAGTCTCATCTGATATGTGATGATAACTCATTTGGAATTATTAATAAAGTATTTGAAACCTTAATCTTACTGCAAACTTCTCCTCAGTTCTCTGAAAACATCTCAGAATTTAAAACTGCCTTCTCTACTTGAAATTGTATTCCTGTTTTATATTTTTTTGATCTTGGTAAGTTAGATATTTTGCCCTTGAATCTTCTATAAATTTGATTTCTAGATGAATTATTGTATTCTACAATTTCTATTTCAGATTTTCTGCGAATAGCATAACTTCTCAAGTTTAGAACATGATGTTTTGGATTCAATCTAATAACTAAAGTGTTTTTAATATTGTTTGGATTCAATAGATTAGTTAATACAAATGGTTTTTGGGTTTTATTATTGTAAGTGTCTTCCCAATCAAAAATATTTGTTGACAGTTTCTCGTTTATAAGTAGGTTTTGAAGATCATTCTCAGTGTTACAATTCTGAATCCCTCCTTTCTCAAAATAAGTTGTTTCTGAATTATTATTACTAGCAATATCGTTGTCATTCTTGAGATTTTTATTTTCAGTATTCTCATTTAACATTTGAGAGTTTTTATGGGTGTACACACATTTTGAAGTACTAATATCACTTCCACAATAGTGGTTATTTGAAGGAAGACGTTTAGCATTATTCAATATAAATTCTTTTGTTGTTTCTTCACCTAACACTCCAGCTCTCCAATTTGCATTTAAGTTACTCGGTGTTTTGAATTTTTTCTTTTTAAAATTCATACTCTTTGAGGAAATTTGATTTGGGAGTTTTTTTATACATAATGGGCTTGAATTACTTACTGAACTTGCATTTAAAGAAGACTGAAAATTTTGATTTGAAGATAAATATATAACATCAAGCATTAACATTTCGTCGATTGGTCTCATGCCGCAATTCTCATTAAATCCCTTTAAATAATTTTCTGGTAGTAAATTGCCAGCTTTCTTGAAATCGTTAAAATGTGTTTTAGTTGAATAACGACTTAAGTTTGGAAAAGTACAATTAATAAGTTCTTTATCAACTTCCTCAATATTTTGATAACTACATGTCTGATAGTCAAGCTCTGAAAGTCTTTCTGCATATATTCCTTTAGATTCATTACATGAACGTGATTTCCCTTTCTTACTTACATCACCAGATATTTTCATTCCATTTAACACATTCGGATATTCCACTGTAACATATCTCAGCTCGGTTGATTTGGTTGATTTTGTCGTTCCGCTTTTATTTCCATCTTTCCTATTTCCATATTTATTTATAGACTGAGAGCTTCCCCTGGACTTAACTTCTTCCTCTTCTGTAATAGTTGGTAGATTTGGAATTTCTTTTGAACTAATGTTTTTTGTTATCCTTTTTATAGTAACTGGTTTATTAGTTTGTAAATCAATACAAATGTTTGATGAAATGTCTTTAGCTGTAAATGCACTATGCCATTCAGATATATCTTCTTTTTCTAACTCATTTCTATACTTCATTTTCCACTCATTAGTACAATCACAATCAGAGTGCAATACATTATCTTCAGATGATTTCAGATTTTCAACTGTTTTCTTAATTTTGTCAACATCATTTTGATCTAAAGGAAGAGAATCTAAACTCGCACTGTAAGGAAGATCTGAAATAAATTTAAAATTGTTAATAGATTTATTGTTTTTGCAACATTCTGCCGGTAAACTTACTGACAATAGATTTTCAGCTCCCAAATCAAAGAGTATTTCACTTATTTGTTGTTTGTTCAATTTGGTGGATGACTTTTTATCCAGGGTCGGTACTATTGGCTTTGTAGGTAGAGTTTTCTTTATTTCAAACTCATTCTGGGTTGCTTGGAGTGAAGATTTTTCAACGCTTGTGCTCTGTTTCAGCTCCTTAGGGATTTTTGATTTTTCTAAAAGAGAGTATTTGTTTTTTACCAACACAACAGAGTCAACAGCTGATATTGCTGATTTGCGTGATCCGTCAATTTTCAAGCTACTACTCACGGTAGGAATTGATGGTAATGGTTCATGATTGTGTGGCTTTCGAAATATAGACTGTGGTTGGATTTCTTCGGTTTGAAATATAGAATGGGTCGTCCCTCCCATATAGAATATTTGACTTTTACTTCCATCTGGGTTAAATGAAACTTGTTTCTGTCTTTTCACTCGAGTAAAAGAATCATTCGATCCTGAGTCTACTATACTTATCAAAGTTTCTACTGAATTTTCAGAGTCGGTTTTCTCAACTTTAGGGTTTTTTGAATGTATCATTTCATTTTCCTTTTGTTTTATATCAGAAAGATTTGTTGGTTTTTGTGAACTGTCGTCTTTGTCCTTATTCTCCTCTACAGAGGTACTTACCAAAGTTTCTACTGTATTTTCGGAGTCGGTTTTCTCAACTTTAGGGTTTTTTGAATGTATCATTTCATTTTCCTTTTGTTTTATATCAGAAAGATTTGTTGGTTTTTGTGAACTGTCGTCTTTGTCCTTATTCTCCTCTACAGAGGTACTTACCAAAGTTTCTACTGTATTTTCGGAGTCGGTTTTCTCAACTTTAGGGTTTTTTGAATGTATCATTTCATTTTCCTTTTGTTTTATATCAGAGAGATTTGTTGGTTTTTGTGAACTGTCGTCTTTGTCCTTATTCTCCTCTACAGAGGTACTTACCAAAGTTTCTACTGTATTTTCGGAGTCGGTTTTCTCAACTTTAGGGTTTTTTGAATGTATCATTTCATTTTCCTTTTGTTTTATATCAGAAAGATTTGTTGGTTTTTGTGAACTGTCGTCTTTGTCCTTAATCTCCTCTACAGAGGTACTTACCAAAGTTTCTACTGTATTTTCGGAGTCGGTTTTCTCAACTTTAGGGTTTTTTGAATGTATCATTTCATTTTCCTTTTGTATTGTATCAGAAAGATTTGTTGGTTTTTGTGAACTGTCGTCTTTGTCCTTATTCTGCTCTACAGAGGAAGGTTTTGATTGCTGTAAATTTGTTTCGTCATATTTAGTTTGATCTTTCATCAACTTTTTACCAACTTCATCAAAATTGCACCCACAAAACATTTCGGACTTTGATAAATCATTACTTTTGGTTTTAGACTCAGAAGATTTTATTGTGGAGGTGGAAGAAAGAACTGAAGACTTACTTTTGGTTTTGGATAATTTTGTACTCGATAGTGAATTTTCTTTAGACAAATCATCCAACACTCCACTCTGTGTTAATTTAGTATCATATTTGTCTGATGATCTACTTTTAGGTACTTCTGGATTTGGTTGGGAATCATCCTTTTCTGAAGCATTTGATAAACTCCTTGAATGTTTGGATACAGAATTATGTTTTTCGGAGGATCTGCTTCTGGATGTTTTGAAACCAGGTTGGGAATCTTTATTTTTTGAAGAATTAGATCCAATCTGTGATGATTTTGATACAGAATCTTCTGAGGATATATTCGGTAACATCTTTGGAGCCTCATCTTCCTTTAGTGAATCGTTTGCTATTCCATTTGATAATTTAGATGCAGATGACTGCTCTTCTTCTAATGTTTTTGGGTCCAAATTCACGTTTTCCAAAGACTTAACAGATATGGTACTAAAACGTTTTGTATTTCTTAGATTTCCATCTAAATATTTGTCAAGACAGGATATTTTTTTTGGTTCTTCTTCTTGAATAGAAGATTTTTCTTCCAAGGGCTCACTAAACTCTTCAGTTTCCTTGGGTTGGAAATACTCAGGCCATTCATCATAAGGACAAGGATTTACAATATCATCTTCTTTACTCTTTGTAGCAGGTTTATTTAAATCACATTTGCTGGATTTCAAAGGGTCTTCAGATGGAATTTGGAATTTCAACACAACATGTTTATCTTGTACAATAGCATGAACATGAGGATATGTTCTTGAACAACATTTACCATTCCCGACAAAATCATTCCGCATAGAAAGTTTAAGTTTATGCCCAGTTTTAAGCATATTCTGTAGCATTTCTGTACACTCAGTCATTTCCTCCTTAATGCAAGCTACACAAACATCATGCATTCTTTTCTGATTTACTGGTCGGCCAAGGAGCTGGATAACATAGTTCTTCATAGTTATGTATTCAAACTTCAACTGCTCAAGGACTCTCACTGATACATCATACTTTTTACATTTATCACCTTCAGATGTATTTTTTAATTTGCAGAAACACATTTGTAATAACACATCCCCGATAACTGTTTGTAACTTTACGACCACACATTTTAAGTTGTGTTCAATATCTTTTTGACAAAATACTTCAAACCGCAAAGATACTTTAGTTCTTTCTTTTTTCTCAGTAGAAAAATTGGGATTTGATTTCTCTGCATCGTCAAGCATTTCTTTTTGTACTTTACTTATCACATCATCTACAATAAGTTCTATTACCTTAACAGACTGCAACATTGATCTGTAAGTTTCTTTATCCAAACAACAAGTTTCACAGTTATTTTTTCCCTTTCCATAAGCACATGGTGATTGTACAGCCTTTGACAAACAAGGAGTAGTCCTCAAAAGCTTTTTCAAAATATGTTTAACTTGATGCTTGTTACTCTCCTTATCATCTTTCTTTCTCTTTTCATGTGAGTAGACATTATTTCCCTTTTGTTCTGTTGTTGACCATGAACACTCATTTTTATCTTTATAATCTCTCCGAGAACATATTTGACACAGTTTTTTGCCTATAGTGGAACATAGACTCTTTTGACTAGCCGGTTTTTGCTCTGTATTTATTTTTGACTTGTACATTTTTATTTGAACAACCTATAATCTAATTTTGAGACATTTAAAGGTTCTAATTATTTAATACATTGTTTGTGTCCACTAACAATTTTGCGGGGATTTTTTTTTAATTTGCTTTCAATTCATGATTGTAAAAGAGTGGTTATAGGTGTAAGTGAATGTGTGTGTACACAGTGTTGATTGACAGTTAAATTGATACAGGTGATAAAGTTTGTTTTGGCTTTATAAAAGTCAAACACAGTTGACAACTACAAAAATTAAATACTCTTATGATACTTTTCATCCTTATCTAAAGACAATATATAAAAACAGTATGATTTAGTTCAGCAATTTTTGGGTTTATTTATTTATTTATTATTATTATTATACATACCAATGGCAGAGCCATTTGAAAAAAAGCAACAAACAGTTTCCAACTTATTACACAAAATCAATGTGACAATTGATATTATGGTTATTATGGGGGTTAGGGTATATATTATTAGGGTTATTATGTATTTAAATTATTACAGCTACAAATTAGTACAACAAAAGAAAATATACAATATATTTGTAAAGTTCCAGTAGAGTAACTCGGGGCAAGAGTAAGCACTAGCACGGGGTAAGTGTACGCAGAGCGGAAGTTTTTACTTTACGCATGAGCTAGTTAGTACCACTAAGTCTCATCGAGTAGAAGACAGTACCCTCGCCATTTCTCCGTAGTTTGATGGTTACTCTTGTTTATTTATCTCACAATGAGGTAAGATGTTTTTACCGTTATTTTGATCTAATGTTAAGTATTTGGGAATGGGTATAGGTTATTCCAATAACTAATTAAATCGTTTCAATCCTATAGTTAAAATGGTCACATAATGCTATACCGTACTTGTAGCCATGTTAGTTTAGTTCCATTAATGGCCATAGCGAGCAGCAGCTCATTACATGTAAAAACTTTGAATATGGGGTAGGTAAGAGTTTCGCATTGATGTTGGGGCAAGAGTTTGCATGCCCCAAACATGATATTTCAGTGTTCACACCTCGTTGAAGAAATCCAAAGGTAAAAGAACAATTCAACAACCAAGGAAATCAAGTATCACAATTATCTGTCCAGAGGAACCACCAAAGGTGGATTCAATCCACTTCATGCAAGTCCATGACTCTTGTTTAAATTATGAGGATGGAAGCAAATTCACTTGTGATTACTGCTAAAAGAACTCATTTTCACTAAGAACGTGCTAAGCTTAAGTTGTTTTGTAGTATTTAAGAGAACGAGTATTTTTACTAATAAAATCTGCTTAAGTAAGTCTTGCATGCTTTTTTAAACAATGTGCGTCCTTTTGCCCCATTACGTGCAAACTTGACTTGCCCCACCCACGGGGCATGTGTTTGCAAATGTAACTTTAAATGTAATTGTAAAAATAAAATGTAGTTTATCAACTTACATACGATTGTTTACTATTAGTTTTGTTTCAATTGTTGAAACATTTGAACTACCATTTGTTGGGGGGTTAAACTTTAAGTGCACACTCTTGCCCCAAAAGCTCCTATACTGCTTGTTTTCTAATAATTTAGTATATAAATAAAATCGTATAGCACTCAATTCATATTAAATTTGAATTCTTACATCATAGAAACAAATAATTAAATAGGCTATAGACCGACAACAGTGCTGCGGTTAACACAAGTCCTGACGTCCACCGATAGTAGTGCCATGTAGTTTACAGCGCACACCGCTGCAGTGTCTGCTGGTAGCATACGGTGAAGAATTGGACGACGGTAGCTAGTTGAACACTGAGCACTCTAGCAGCACATTGCAGAACCTTCCTTTGACAGTCCTATATATCTATTTGTCTATGCTTACATTGTAGTTGTAGGACTGAAACACATTTCAACCATATTAGATAGTAACCTCCTAGACATTCCATCCCCATGTTAAATTTGTAGCCTGATTTTTTTATAAAAATTGTCGTAGTTCATGTGAGCCACCTACAGATTGCGCTGATCTAAATTATAGTACTAAATTCTGTCAAATACACAAACTTTTTTACCAAGTCAGTCTTAGAGAATGACTTATGATGAGTTAGCAACTGTTATGACCCATAAACCTGGTCAGCAACTAAAAATAAGGTATAAATTAGAATTTTAGACAATATAGCACATTCTGTGACTGGCTCACACAACTACGTTCTTTTAGCTAATTTACCTATAGTAGCTATTACCGTAGGTGGCACGGTAAGACCTAGGCCCGGGACCGATTTACTTTTTAATTTTTATGTCCCCAGAGGCCAAAACAACATTCGTTCAAATTTTTATATATGTAGATATAGAGAGATTTATATATATATATATATATATATATATATATATCATAATATATATATATATGATCGTTTGATCATAATATATCTATTAACAAGCAAACTACAACATTTTATAATATTCTCCATAAGAATAACATGGGAATTTAAAATTTACAAATTTTGAATTTTCTCCGTTACCTATAATTGTACGAAAAACACTTTGAATTATTTGTTTTTTAAGCTCTTTAAAAAGTTCTAGAGAGAAATTGTGAAATTTTGTGTTTTGAGGGTCAAAAATTAGAAAAACCAATTTTTACCCCATAAAAACCCCAGTAAAACCTGTTCCCATGGTCCGATCATGCTGGCTCGCGTACTCATTCAAGTTTATCCTGCCTTAGACCTTTAAACCAAATTTCATCAAAATCGGATAAAGATCACGTTCAAGATGTGTGTCATGGAGAAGTTATCATGTTCACGGACGTATATATATATATATATATATATATATATGGAGAAGTTATCATGTTCACGGACGTATATATATATATATCTTACTAATATTATATATATATATATATATATACGTCCGTGAACATGATAACTTCTCCATGACACACATCTTGAACGTGATCTTTATCCGATTTTGATGAAATTTGGTTTAAAGGTCTAAGGCAGGATGAACTTGAATGAGTACGCGAGCCAGCATGATCGGACCATGGGAACAGGTTTTACGGGGATTTTATGGGGTAAAAATTGGTTTTTCTAATTTTTGACCCTCAAAACACAAAATTTCACAATTTCTCTCTAGAACTTTTTTAAAGAGCTTAAAAAACAAATAATTCAAAGTGTTTTTCGTACAATTATAGGTAACGGAGAAAATTCAAAATTTGTAAATTTAAAATTCCCATGTTATTCTTATGGAGAATGTTATAAAATGTTGCAGTTTGCTTGTTAATAGATATATTTTGATCAAACGCGGCAAATTTGTTTATTTTATACTAAGCTATTATTTTACTAAAAAGATTAGAGAGTACTATCTTTGACTATTAATTCCAATAGTCAATGGTAAAGCTTTGACTACAACTAGACATTTCATCCCCATTTTAAAGTTGTCACTTAAAAAAAAATCCAATTCATCGTATTATATGTGAGCTCCCAATCTAAATTACTAATTTCTGTCGAATACACAAAGTTTTTACTAAGTCAAACTGATTGATCTACTTATTATGAGCTATAGCAGCTGTTATGACCAGTGACGTAGCCAGGGGGGAGCGGACCCCCCTTCCGGTCCTAAATTTTATATATTTTTTTTATTTAATTAAACGTTAAATTACATATATTTAATTCTAACTACAGTAATTAGATTATTAATTTAAAGCATTCATATTTTTAGCGCAATTAACTACTGCAGCCTGGGTGTGACGCAAATGAAAGAAACTTAAAAAACATCAATGCGATCCCTTAGTAGCTCACTTTAACTACGTCCATTTTGATAAAAATAGGCAACAATTAACACGGGGATGGAATGTCTACTAGTTCTAGTTCTATAAAATATTCAAAATGTTTAACACATAGCTGGAGGAGTTAAAGGTGGCCGTGGCTGGAGTCTCAAATGCAAATGGTTGACATTATACAAGGTCAATATCCCATAGTATCGACACTTCAAATCAAAGAATCAGAATCAGAATTATTTATTTGTCATTGGACATTACAAAAAATTCATCGACAATTGTCATGTATTAAATTAAATTAAATCAAATCGTTTATTGAGCCAGAATTAACAATGTATACAAGTTGTATTGGCTAGGTCATCAATGAAATAAAAGTTGGGTACACTTATTGTGCTTATTAATTATTTAGTATAGTATGCTAGATTGGCTAGAATGTTATTTTATCTACAGGGAAAATCTCCATGAATAAAAAAAAATGAAGGCGTGTCAATGACTCATGGCAGGAGAGCACAAGTTCACATGTACAGAAACCTTATACTGACGTCATAAATATCGAATGTATATATCGATTGTACCGGGTGGTTACGGGGTTTTCTTCGGAATGTAAGTATCGGTTGCACCGAATAAGTAAAGGTTTTTTTTGTAACACTTTATTTGACGAATTGAATACTCTCGGTAGGTTATCCATTATAAATCTAATAGTAGAAATACAATAATATTCGTTACAGGCTGGGAATAAAATAATTACTGATACCATAGATGAATATTACTTCATCTATGCTGATACTTTGGATTGAACATCCAAGATGTTTGCAATTGTTTTCGTATTTACCTGACTTATAAAATAAAAACTTGAGTTCACAGGACGTTGAATACTAAGAATTTATTTCATAGCATCCACAATAATACAATAACTGTAATTAAAGTAGACGAATTACAGGAATTATTATCGATTCTAGAAGAGAGTGAAATAATAATTGTAACTTTGACATGTTAACGTTATGTTAATGTTTGGGAATGATTTACTAACAGATATTGCCCATCAGTGTAAGGTGACAATTTAAGAAGCCCAAGAGGACTATTTTAGATATATTATTTTATGGAATTTACAGTCACGTAAAATAGGCCCTACAGTTTAACCATTGACTAAGTACTGTGAGTACATTAATCAATGGTTTAGGTTTACAGAAAAAGTAGAGCTTTTTTCTCATTTTCCCCTTTAGTACATCTTAATAAAACACCATAAGTTTTACCCAATTATATTATTCTGGCTCCATTTAATTCACAATAACGTTATACTTACTAAGCCTTATCTTGTTATTTATAAATGAAAGTACTGGGACTTTATTATTGTGGATGCCATGAAATAAATTCTTAGTATTCAACGTCCTGTGAAATCAAGTTTTTATTTTATAAGTCAGGTAAATACGAAAACAATTGCAAACATCTTGGATGTTCAATCCAAAGTATCAGTAATTATTTTATTCCCAGCCTGTAACAAATATTATTGTATTTCAACTATTTGATTTATAATGGATAAACTACCGAGAGTATTCAATTCGTCAAATAAAGTGTTACAAAAAAAAACCCTTTACTTATTCGGTGCAACCGATACTTACATTTCGAAGAAAAACCCGTAACCACCCGGTACAATCACTGAGCTAAAATTATCAATCGATATATACATTCGATATTTATGACGTCAGTATAAGGTTTCTGTACATGTGAACTTGTGCTCTCCGAGTCATACAAATGAATACAAACTGAACTCGAGAGAGAAGTGAAGTGAGAGTGAGAACAAGAACAACTGACAGACTGATTACTCACTTCACTCCCAGTGTTTCCATTCGCGGGATTATTATCCCGAAAACGGGATTTTTAGACCTTGAGCGGGATTAAAACGGGATGCGGGATAAAACGGGATTTTCGGCTGTGACGACTATTTTTATTTTTTTCTACTCAATTTTAGAGAAAAACTAACTCAAATTGTTTAAATACTGTAGAAAAATATAATAGTGATGTTTAAACAACTTATAAAAATGATACGTCAAGTTAAATACTAGGAATTGTACCAAAAAAATCATGCGGGATAAAACGGGATTTTTCACCGATTTAAAAGCGGGATAAAACGGGATTTCTCGACCCAGTAAGCGGGATTATTTTTTTGGTCGTGTGGAAACACTCAACGCCTAATTACGGTAATTTGATAATCTGTGTACAATTATTTTTAAATATAATTAAAGTAGGATATTCTGGTAAGAACGATTTGTTATTTTATTTAAAATTTGATTTAAAAATTAGTTTGTACATAAAACATTATTTGTCATGAAGAATCTTGTAGAATTAAATGTCAAAATCAATACACCCCCCGCTAGGATAGGTTATGGCTGGGTGTGATATTAGAAGTGACATGTTTTATTGGTAGTCACAAGCCGCTTCAAAATAATGAGTAGGCCCTACCTAGCCTAGTTAACTATGAATCATTTGATTTTGTCACAGTTGTTTTCCTCATTATTTGTATTGAAATTGATTTTTGCAGTGTTGCTGAATTGTTGACAAAGGGCATTTTGTTTATGAGTTATTTAGGTTTATGCCTGCAGCCTGATTTGCTTAAGTTAGGACCTGCAGTCTCCACCCTTAACTATTTATTCAAAATAACTGTTGGTCCGACTCAATCCTTGACCAAACACCAACGGACCTCAGATAGACAGTGTAACTTAGTGTTTACACCAATTAGCCTACCTAACCAAAACTAAAATCCCGCTCACCGGGTTAAAAAAGTCCTATAGCTTACTAAAGAAAAATCTTGCTTAATCCCGCAAGTTTTTAATGCACTATTTTGAATGAACCTTTTGGTGTAACTAAGGTAAGTTAGGCTTTTATCATGTTTTAAAGTAAACTAAATAGGCCTATGTACTTAGAGCTCTTTTAACCTTGGAATAATTGAATCAACGGTTTTTAAGTTGAGAGCTGTACTTAGGTACCGGTACCTATAATAAAGGAATAGGCTACTTGTCTCAGAGCAAAAAATCCCGTTGTATCTCATATCCTGTTTTATTCCCTAGGGGTAGCCTACATGTTCTGAAAATTCCCATTTCTTGAATAAAATTCTATTAATGTAAGTTTTCGAAACACTGAGACAGTGCAAACATTTTCAAAGTTAAGTTATTACTTTAGATCATGTTTAACCCACTAGCCTAGTCTTCAGTTATTTTTTTGTGCAAAAACACATAACTTATATATCCTAAATTATTTACTTATTCCCATGGCCACGCATATCTACTTAAGGAGTACAAGGGGGAGATCTGTCTGTTTGGTACTCGCTCCGACCGCAGGCTTCACTTTCAAGTGAGGCTTGAGGTTTGAAGAAAGTCGTTTTCTTATTTTGGCCCGCAGTTGTATAACTAAGCCTGTTTTGTTTTAACTCTACCCAGATTCTTTGTAAAAGAAATTTGATTTTCAAATTATATGCTAGGCCTACTTATGGATATTTAGTTGAGAAATAAGTAGTTTCTTTATATTTTATAGTAAACAATGTCTGGAGAAGGAGACCATCCAATTGAGACTCCCGATGACGGGATCGAGTCAAGCTACAAACCCCCTCCAGAGAAGACGATAGAGGAGATCCTTGAAGCTGACAAAGAGGACGAGAGTTTGCGGAAGTACAAGGAAACTCTGCTCGGAGAGGCCAAGGAAAAGAAGATTATTGTTGGTATGTAGGCCTACAATTAATTATCTATAAGGTTTAAATATATATTTTAAACATACCGGTACGGTTAAAAAAATATTCATATACCTAGCCTACATAAAGCGTTCTAGGTCTAAATCTGAGAATTTTAATAACTCAGATTGACTTGATTAAATATTTAGGCTCACCTCTTGTTATAATATTTTTTTTTTTTATTCTTTTTGTAATACTATCTTTATTTACCTTCAGTCAGTGGTATTATTTGTCTTAAAAGGGATTAGACTTAAATTGGCTTGTTAGTATTTTTTGTTGCTGCATTAATTATGCTTTTTAGGCCTACTTGAGCAAACGCTCTATTGCCACAAAATTCTTTGTGGAAGGACATAAAGACAGGAGTTTAAGAATACTCAATCCATTCAGACATAGGCCCCTACTTCATATTACTTACTTCATACTTCTTTCCCTTCATCTTTGACCAGTGATACTGGATAGATGGCGTCAGTAATAGGCCTACTTTTAAAACTAATATTTAGTAAAACTATAAAAAATTGTATTGGTATCGAGAATTAATACATTTTAGTATCGATACATCACTAGTAAAAACAAAAACAAAAATTATTATTTTTAGCACTATAAACTATTTTTAACATAATGGAATCAATGATTTAGCCCAAAGAATCGGAATCAAACATTTTTGGAATCGACCCATTATTAATTTATTTCATTATTAGACTCAAAACTATTAAATAACAATGTTACATTCATGTACGCTTTGTGTGTTGAATAAAGCTAATTTGCTTTGATTTTAATTTAGTAGATTAAGTTTTTATCAAGTGTTCAAAAAGTGATCATAATCCTCTAGATTTTAAAAATTCAGGTCGTAGGCTAGTAGGCTACTCTTTAAATTGGCCTAGTTGTTAACATAGGTGTATTGATTGGCAAGCTATTGACAGGACAAAGATTAAAATTAGAAAATGAAAAAGTCTCTCAATTTCTTATTACTTTATTACGTTGCAAATAGTTTTTTCAATATTGGTGTTAAATAAGAACTGTTGGATTACACTACACTAACTGTACGGTATTTTGTTTTCAAGGTAACAATTTAAAAATGCATTTCAGATGAAAGTGACGAGCGCAAGGTTATTGTAAAGCGTCTGGCGCTAGTGGTCGCTGACAGACCAGATGTTGAACTGGATTTGACGGGAGATCTTAGTGAGCTCAAGAAACAAGTGAGTGGACAAATATCTAATATTCCTTATTCTGCAGTCCTAGAATATTATAGGGCTATTCAAAATGTCAATAATGAATCATGTTTGTCATACATCATTGCTTTTGAGACTATCAACGATAGGCCTACTTACTTAAACTAAGCTGAATGAATGAAGGGTGAATGTAGAATTAAGTGAGATGATCTGTGTAGCTTGTTACTGATGAAGATAGGTTGGGTCTTTGGCCAGGATCATTTATTAAGATCGTACTCAATAAAAGCTACAAGTTTTTCTTAGGAGCCAACCGTTGACCTTTTACATGTTAGGCGAGCACCAAAACCTCTCAAGCTTCTCAGTTATATAGGTTTGAAATAAGAATGAACAAAAGAAAAACAAACTGACTAAATAGATATTGCAGTCAGACTCTTCGTACATTTTTCTACACGGTTGTCATTCAAAACTATGGAATCTATGTCATGCACTTATCATGTAAAAAAGTTGTGAGGTGTTTATGTCGGGTAGGGCACCTATCGTAAACTTACCTCCGATTTGCTCGGACAGCTCGAGATGTCCAGGGTCTCGCTACCGGTCCTCGTCGCTCGCTCACCGCTTCTCGATCATCGTAGATGTTACTGTTGCGCCGATCTGCTAGTACACAAGTACACCCTGTGTACCTCGGCACGTCGACACACCGTACACGAGTTGCTATTAAGGAATACACAAACTATAGTTACTCCTATAACTTGGTGTCTGCACAGCGACGCGCTGACAAGGCCAAGTCGAAGTTAACTACTAGGGCTGATAGATGAATAAGCGAAGATTAGGAAATAAAATAAATAACCAGCTCCTAGGCTTAACGAAAGGTCTCACTTCTCAAAATAAAACTAAAAATAATCTTCTCGGAATTAAAAGAAAACGACGCTAACTCGCGATAAGTAAATAATGAAATAAAATTAAACGTAGAAGGCGCATATGCCAATTCTTCTTGGCTTTAAGGAAAATAAATAAAAACTCTTGATTAAAATAAAACAACACCGCTTTGGATGACTAGAAGTAGGCGTAGGTGACTGCGACACTACACTCGCAGCGTCGGTCGTTAAACTACGATATTCTATAAACTACGATAAACGGCTTAGAATAGCCTAATAAATAATGTAATTTCCCTCACTAAAGTGGATACGAGTAGAGGTATAACGTATACGCTAGTTATAAACAGTGTACTTACGTATATACTTATGTTTCGCACGCCTTCGTCCAGATACTTTATGTTCGCTCGCACAGCCTAAGGAGGGTTGGTGTGCGCGAACCTAACGCTCGCCGCCGACTGATCTAAAACCTCTACACTGTCTCCGGAACTCGGCTCCTCCCCACCACCGCTACGGCAGCGCTTCAAGGTGACAGCGGCCAAGTCTCGAACTATGTAAGACGCTGACCTAGACCAAGTGGATCATTGTTACCGTCGTGGTGTAATCGCCGCGCTCGAATCGTTCGTCTATACTAAATAAAAAAATTTACCCCTAACAAAATTTGACCATTACAAAGTGTAATTTAAGGTTAAAATCAAATAGCTGAAAAATGCTAAATGAAATCGAAAACGATTAGTTGGCAAATATGATAACATGGAGGGCAAGAAATTCTACAAAAATTTTCTCTAGGTATTACCTTTAACAATTTCACCTTAAACAGGGTTTCAGCGGTGCAGGCAACCTGAAAACCGGGAATTTTCAATTTAGATGACCGGGAAGAAACCATCATAAGTTTTGCTGTGATTGCAAGATAATCACACGTGGCCTTGATCACGAAAAATAGTTACGTTTTTTCTTCATAGTACTACCAAACAGCTTTTTTCGGAATACAAATTTTTAAACTATTAACATACTTACTTTTTAACATAAAAAAATCTATATTTCGGCTCGAACTTTTTGTTCCTTAAGCCGAAATATAGAAAAATAGTGAAAGGTGTTGAAATAATCGCTGGAGATGATCGCAGATTTTGCCGCAATCAAGGGAAATCATCACGTGGCAATCACTGCATATTATGAGTTATTTCTGTGATTAAAAATAATTAAAGATGTCTACATGATCGCCGGGAAGATTAGGCCTACATGGTTGCCACAATGAAATCATCGTGCATTTTACTGCCATCGCAACTAATGATCTCTGTCGTTGCTGTGTTGCTGTAATCCCAGGAAATTATCACGGATGTTCGACATCGTTGGACATGATCACAGATGTTATAGCGATTGCGGGAAATAATCACGGATGTTGCTGCGATCGCAAGAAATACGGTAATCAGAAATTTTGCCGCGGTCGAAAGAAATGATCACGGATGTCCGACTTCATCATGAATTTTACAGGGATCGTAAGATATGACTAACAATTTGGCTGGGATCGTAGGAAATTATAAAAAAAAAATTTTCGCGGTCAAAATATATGATCACAGATGTCCAACATCATGACGGACGCTATCCCAACCGCAGCAATTCATTACATATTTTGCAGTGATCGAAAGTTATGATCACTGATGTGTCTGTGATCGCATCGCAGAAATTTTTTTTGTAGGATCGTGTGTGTGAGCATCATGCCATTCTAGCGTTTATAAGTTGAGAACCTATTGTTATTGTTAGTACCTGCAGTGATTTTTAAAAGTCAAGTAGGCCTAAACTAACAGCATTGCAAGAACCGATTTTACAGAAAGTTCTCTGTTGTATTTTATCATATTTGATCTTGTGTTCTTGGTTTGTGACTAAATTTTTAGGATTAGAGATTTTAAATCCTTGACTTTTACTAATATCTGTGGTTACTATGACCGAAAACAAAATCTGAATTATTATATGTATAAGATTGCAAACATTAGATAACAATAGCATTGTACTAGGCAAAACTTGTATATTTTTGTTATCAGATAGATTGGGCAGTTTAATTCTCATACTTGATGTCACCATTTAAATATTTTTATTATTTTTTTGGCGCCAGTATCCGAAGGATACATGTTTTCTATTTTGTTTGTTTATTTATTTGGAATAGTTTGTAATCTAAATTTTCTTAGTTTTAAAATGTTTTATTCAATTATTATTCTTGAATCTGAGTTATTTTTGGTCCTTTGGGGGAGGGGGGGGGGTTGATATCCTAGTTGATATAAATAAGAAATTGTTGCTTATTTTAAGCAAAAGGTTTTGAATTTGGAATATGCCTACTTGGAATTGTTCATGAATTTTATTTTTACGGGACAGACGTTAATGGCACAAATGGAGGTGAACAATAAAAACATGCTGGGTAAAAATTTAAACTGTTAGTAAAAATATGCACTAAATAAACTCAGGGGAAGTGAACAAATAGTTTTTCAAAATTCTTACTTTCATCAAAATTGTTTAAATACTGGCAAAAATTAAGTGTCTATAAATAGGCCTACAGCTACCACTAGGTTAAAGCAAGAGGTGGATATAAAGTTGAAAATGGAAGATGAATCCAGTAGCCAACGAACTCACACATCATAGAGTTTATTGCGTTCTATTATTAGACCTGTTTGATCTCTGAATGACAGCCTGTTACCCATACGAAAGCTTTCATGCTCACACCGAATACGGTTACCAGCCTTAAAAGTAAATACCTTTACAGAGAAAAATGTATGTCATGTAATATTGAACTTTAAAAGCAGTCTATTATGAGTTAATTCATTCACATATTGCCTGTGGTATTTCTGTCTATGGATCTAAACAAAAAAAAAAAAAAAAAAACACCCCTGCCGCAGCAAACTTGCAGATCCAAAAATATTCCCTTAAAATTGTCAGATTTATTTTATATTTAAATAACGTTTATTTTAGTTAGTACTTAGGTTTGCTGCTACAATGAAGGTATTGAGGTGTGTATAATAGTATGCTCATTGGAAAAGCCTCAAACCCTAGGTGTTTTAAAGGTATCAAGTCTCCTTTAACTTATCGATCAAACAAAAAAATGCTTGAATGACAACTGATTTGTTCAATGAATGGCTACTATCATTATAACGATATTAACATAAGATGATAAATTTATCTTGTTCCTTGACAATTTTTGGTCTATAACAACCCTACTCAAAATTAAACGTGAAACTTCAATTTTTTTTTGTCAAGCACGATGTCAAAGTTGCAATTGCTTGACCAAAACGTTATACAAAATTGTTAAAGATTGTCTGACAAGGTATGTTTCAGCCATTATTTGTCAGGTTTGTTGATTAACGATACAGAACATTTGTATTTTGTAGGTGTTTATCATCAAGGAAGGGGTCTCCTATAGAATCCGCATAGACTTTATCGTTCAGAGGGAGATTGTACATGGACTGAAATATGTACAGAAAACATCTAGATTGGGACTGCCAGGTAAAACTCATGATATATTCATAATCAATCGTCACTTTTAACAATTGAATATTAACTTATGATGTATTCATAATCGATCATCTCTTTTAACAGTTTTAATTAGAAAAAGGTTTGAATTAAATATTTTGTAAAATTGAGATTTTCAAAGAACAACAATGCTTGACTATTTTTTACTAAGTGGGATATTTTTTCTTAAAAAATACATAGATTGGCAACACTTGCAAACTATTGAATGTGCGGGAATACTGTGTGGGCATTGGCGCGGCCAGAATGTTTTTGTGTTTTCCGAAAACATTTACTTTTGCACTTGCAACTGCAACGTTGTTTAGAGAGATCCATGCTACTTTAGTTAAGCTATTCTTTTCGCTGAATTAATTTGTTCATACAGCAATGATTTTAAAACAAAAGTTAAACTAGTCATTAGTACTCGCTGACCAAACTTGTTTACCAGATTAAAGTAACTTGGACGTCAATAAATAAAACAACGAATTTTATCCCAAAGTAGTCAATAGATAATCATATTAAACAAAAATGTGTCTCTGTTAATATTTGGCTTATTGACTACTCTTTAAGCCAATATCATAATTACTAATTATTTAAATTAATTTAGAGAGTATTGCTATAGGTAGATGATTATTTTTTCAAACTGATGATAAATCAAAATATAGATTTCCAATTTTGTGCACTTTCAATCACCAGAAAATTGTTTGGAAACATTAAGTTTCGTGTGGATTTCTGCTTCATGTGAATGTACAAGTCGTGAAGCCAAAACCAGAGTTTAAATCATTATACTGCATGTGTGGGCCTATAACTTTGATTAAGATTCTTAGGTGATGACGAAAGTGGAAAAAAGTTATGGTTGACTACAAGTTCAGTACACAACATTATAATTGCAAGGGTTTGACAACCAGCCCAATTCATCTATTCGATGAGTTATGTACGCTAATCCACAAATTAGATATCAGGCTTTTCTGCCTAAACATAAACAATTTGTTTATTCAATTAAGCTTGAGAAATACAAAACATTTATTGTAGTTTAATCGTACGTTATCCCTAATGGTTACATATGAAACACAGCATATTATCTCCCAAGCAATACGTAGATACAAGAAAAAATAAACTGTATCAGCAATCTGACACTTTCTCCCATTAGCTTGTTAACAACGGGTTTCATGGGTAAGCGATGAGAGTAACTTTCATATTTTATATTTAATAGGTAAAATCACAAAAATTGCATTATCTCTTGAACCCTAATTTTTACAGAAATGGGGGGTTGCACTATTTTGTTTGGAATTATAAGTACCAAAACAGACAAACTGCAATCAAAACCAAATTTTTTTTAAATTAATTTTTTGGTTTTTTCCTTGGGTTTTTATGAAAAATGGAGTAAGATCCTACCTACCAAATTTCATCAAACTCGGACCACCGGTTTAGTCTGTATCTCTCTACACATCCACACACACATACACACCACTTTAAAAAGCACTTTTGGGGTTTCAGAGGGGCAAACAGATACATCCACCCAAAACTCAAAATTTGAAAGTTTGATGGAAATACTTTCTCCATAATTGGGGGAGAAAGTAAAAATTGTCCTAACCTAATCCCTTCCATCATACAATATTATGCTTTTTGTTTCTGCTTGCATGGACAGCCATAGAAGGTAAGATGCTTCGCCGATTAATTTTAGAGTTTGTGTTTTCTGCATTATTTTATTCTAGTTAGAATTATTACTTATTTATTTTTTAGGTAGCTTAAAAAAATTAAAACCTCACCATGCTTTACAGGATAAGGTTTTGCAGTTTTCTTATTATGTAAGTTTTACAACATAAGTTGAAAATTTGTTTGTCTTTGATTATGTGTGATGTAAAGTAGCCTCGTTATTTTGCTTCGTAATTAAAATACAGATTGATGTGTATAGTATTTTTGACATATGATCCTGTCGTAATTGTCCCTTTTTATGTAATAAAAACCTGTTTTTCCTACCAAAGCAATACATTTATTTGCATTAATCTGTCCTCTTTAGTATGAAATATTTCAAATCAAGGTATACCCTATATTATATTTGGCATTTTTGTATATCAATCAATTTGTAAAAATAATCCCCAGAGTTATTAACAAGCAGTGATATTAACAAACAAATTATTCTACCAGTAGAAAACATTCTCAATCCCAAAGCTCAAATCTATGGGTGCCATACATCCAACTTTTTAAACACAGTAATTGAATTGTAATACACTTTAAGATACTGTTCAATGAAATGACGACCATACGTAGTAGGTATTTTAAGCCAAGTATGAATGGAGCTGAGTGTAGGATGAGTGGCGCGATCTTGTAGTCTTGTTAGTGACTAAGGCCGACATTCCTTAGACACAGCTGTTAATTAATAGCTCATACAGCTAATGGCAACTAAGGGACCTACAGTTTATAGTGGAATCTGAACCACATTTTTCCTTCGTATATACGAATTGGTCTAATTATCAGGATAGTACTGCGGATAGTCGTAGTACTCACTCGTGCGGACGTTAATCCACACCAGGGAGTATCGCATCCACAGTGCATGCCTATAAATATCCACAATTTGTTAAATATTCCACAAGACTAAGCCTACTCCATCAGAGTTAACAAAATCGAGATAACATGTGCTAACCCAACTTGACCTCACTATACTAACACGTTCGTATCATAAATATTAAACCAAAGTATCCATGTTTGTCATACGATACTGTATAAGAAAAATATCTTGGTTTGATGACTTAAAGGTAGTAGAAGCTACTCACATAATACTACCATCAAATGCCATTAAACTTAAGCCCAATAAAATACTGAATGTTCTTAAACCTGAATCATCCAACAACTTCCATCACAAAAAACAAATGTTACCTCCAGACAAGAGGCTTGTCATCACCAGAAATGAATTTCAAACAAAGAATTAATTGTTCTCTTGCATTTATAATTTTAATTTTTAATTTTTGCCCCAGTTGACAAGTTGACACACATGGTTGGATCTTACCCACCCAAGCTCGATCTACAGAGCTACACAACACCTCAGGAAGACGCTCCCGCAGGAATGATGTCCCGAGGGACTTACACGGTTCACTCACTCTTCACGGACGACGACAAGAACACCCATCTCAAGTGGGAGTGGTGTTTTGAGATCAAGAAAGATTGGAAAGACTAAACCCAACCGTGTACAGTACATGCCTTGAGAGATATGTCAATTTATATTTAGAGGCCAGTTGAACTTTGAAGAAAAATTTGTTCATAAATTTGATGTTTGAAATACTGTATTGTGTCTTAGAAGACGAGAGGCTATTCATGAAGTTATGTTAAGGTATTGAATACATAAATTAACTGTGAAGATATGTTGTGGTCCATAGAGTGGGTTTTAATTTTTTTTGTAAATCCATATTAGTTTGTCATCTTATGTATTGCAAAATAACAAAAAAACATTGAATTACAGAGTTATTTAATGGAGCTATATTTGAAACTGTGTTTGAATATTTACAAATTCTTTCAAAGAAATAATTTGTAATATTGCAGCAGGTATATGCTTTGCTTGATTGTGGTAAACATCTTGGCTGGTTTATAAAAAAAATCAAATATATTAAAAATGATAGACGAGGGAGTGCAAAGTTTTGACTTGAGTTTGAGGGGTGATGTTATTTTTTGTGGTTTTGTCAAGCAACTTTTCTTTTAGTCTTGGCTTAGTAAAACTTGGGTCAATCACCATTAGTTAATTATACCGTATCCAGGAGTCTATATGGTTTTTAATTTGTCAAGAATACAACACTATAATTTTTACCACAAATATTAGGCCTACTTATGTTGCCTTATGGTTACATATTGTTTGCAAATAACTGGTACGGAAACGCCATACCAAAAAATAACATCTCATTTGTCTGCTTGTGAGGCAAATTTTTCTTTGAACTGTCAACTGGTTAATATTATCTATGCAAAATTATATGGTACAAAGTTTTGAGTGTATCCCAACCCATGATTTTGGAAGTATATGTAATGGACATAATTATATATTCTGAATTTTATCGGACAGGTTTTTTAAGGAGCATTCCTGTTTCGGAAAAGTGTGATCCAGTCAAGTTTGACTTTATGTATTGCTGCATTTACCGAATAAATCTATAACTGTATAAAATATCGTATTATAAATGTAGAATAATTCTATAGTAAATTTGATAAACATTAAAATCATGATGACCAAAAATCTGATGAAATGCATTTACTGGGACCTAACCAAGATGTTGCATAGTATTATGAAGATTCCTCCTTATCAGGTACTCTAGGTGTCATGGTTTTGTGATATTGCCTTTAAAAGTTTGCTATAAAATATTTTGACAACTTACAATACAACTGTCTTTCAGCAGTAAATCACTCGATAGTATTTTATAGACAATATTCAGGTTTCAGTATTGTTACAAGTATACAGTGTTAAGGTTTTATACAATTTATCTTGAGAAAGGTTATATATAAAAGTAGGTGATTATTAATCCTCTCCTAAGGAAAATCAAACATGATATAAATATGCACGTATCAGACCATTAACCATTGCCGATAGACCTGTTCCTAATTTGTTAGGAGTAAATGTTAAAGTTTTAATAAGAACTTTTTAATGATACCTCCACACTATACTGTCTGCCTCTGAGTGTCCCATGTACGTTTCAGGCCTTGTACTTAATATTAAAATTGAGCCCTATTAGTCTACACTTCATCATCCTTTATTTGTTAAACGCTTTTTTGCTTCATCTGCAATTAGTTAACGATTGCAAATATGTGAGATATACAAATTGAATTTATATCTACATATATGCCTACTAAACTAAACTATTTTATGGCTTTTTTGATAGAAATGTGTGTTAGGAATTTACTGCTTTAATTGTAACATTCTTCGCTAAACGACTGATAATGAGCTTCCGGAAATATTGCAATCACTTGCCTTAAACTCACTTGATGCTTGGAAATTTATTCACTCAGAGCTTTAATGAAGTTAAAATAGGTATACATTTTTCTAAACTGTTTGCAACTGAGGGGAATTTTGTATCAAATCTCAGGTGCTTCGAAATTGTTTTGTCTGGTCTTATTTTAGTATTGAAGTTCTGTATTGCTGTATTTTGTATATTAAAATAAATATTATATAAAACCCGTTGCTTTATTTAACATTTTGTAGCAAAACAAGTTGTTCCCAATTCATTTATCGGCCATGTAATATTACTGGCATTTTTTTTAATGCTTCCCAGTTTATACCCTGAGTTTCATTCACAATTGTGTGAGATACGAAATGATTCTAGTATGATTACTATTGTTGTAAGTTAATATTCTAAAATAACACATTACTCTATGTTTTTCTTTTTTACTTTATAAGCAACGACTTGCAGTTTAAAAGTTTTCTTATGCAACGTTTACGCTCTTTCTGTATCTGAATTTCGTAAAGAGAACGTGTGATTAAGTTGATTATAAGTTCATAAACGTTTGTTTAACAATTTTATAATACAAATATCCTATATATTAATAGGCAAGTATGTTTCATGAAAACCTTTTTTATCAGCTCGTGTGCTTCGCAGGGAAAATCTACACATACTGTTAGAAAGATATTTTCATGTATATGTGCAGAATCCCTTTATCAAAATAGGCTCAAAAATAAATTTAGAATATCAAAAATTACATGGGCCTTATGGGTTGCATTGCTGGTGACTAAATATCAACAAGGAAAATATAAACAGAAAATCAAAACTAATGGAAGAAATTCCAATCACATGTTTGTTTTATTTACAGCATGGGGCAAAAATAGAGAAATGTCTGTAAATTACATATTTTTGGTAAAGTTTTCGACCACTGGACTACCTCTAGTTTATCATAAAGGGCACAATCGCAAATAGATAATGAACACAAGGAAACAGAAATAGATTAGACATTATTTAATAAAGTAATAATTTGGACTGCTATTGCACAAAAGATCTTATTTCAGGGAGTAACCCCTTTTTGCTTGGTTTAAACTGCAACATCAGTTTTTTCTCTCGACCCATCAAGCAAGCCAGCCATATTGGACCCTAGAAACATAGTTTTACCCATAAAAAACCAACAGTATATGTACGCAGACGCACTGAATGTAATGAAATATGTAATGTAATGAACTTGGTTTGATGGAGCTGAAATATAAGACTACACATGGAGTAAAACACTGTTTATTGAAATATGATGATAATGCTAAAACTGTACAAATGATAATGAGTAAATGAAAATATGTAACATGAAACTTGAAATGTAAACTTGATTGAGATTATGTTAAATGAATGAAATTGTAATACTTGAAAATGGCTACCGACGCGACAGAACGTTGATGCCTTACTGACCTGTGCCACTCACACCCCCTAAGCCCAGGGGTGGGGACGACACTTGCCGTTTTGGCGCGAACAGTATACAATCTATCTTGAACGTAAAATTCATGAAAGTAAGGGTGATTAAATACACTTGGAATACCAGTAATTAAATTTATTTATTTACAAATCTGAAAACCCAATAAGATAATTATTACAAGCTTTGATTTAACATAATACAGTATCTGTTTCAAATTAAAAACCTCTGCTGAGAATTAAAATGACTACACAAAACAATATTCATAGGGACCAAACATTAGAAAAAAATCCTTTCCAGCTACAAATAAATTAGAAATTTACCTACCTATAGGCTTAAATATGATGTCAAAAAACAGTGGTTAATTTTTTTTTTTTACAATAAAGGAAATAATATAATCACAAGTGGTTTAAACATTTAAATTATTGTACTTGATTCTCACAATCAAGGCACAAAACATAGCTGGTTTTAAACAGTTCTTACCTTAAATAAAAACATAAAATTTTCTTTTTGTTACAAAATACATTCAAATTTAAATAAATTGTAAATCTCTCCATTAGGGCTTTAAGTGGTTCTTTTCGGCTCAAACTAAGATTTAATAAAGCTGAGGTCTGAAAATGAGCAAGAGTACAAATGAAACCTTTTGCCCATGTGACAAAGGATATTTTTGTCATACTGTACCATTCATTAAGATAAATAATGTAGACAAAACATAAATCAAGTACATTTTGTTACCTTCATAAATTACCTCCAAAAACTGTTATTTCTTGTTTTGCAAACAAAACATAAAAACTTTTGTTACATAGGTTGATGTATTACTCCGCCAACACAATAACATATTTATATTCTGTTACCCAGTATATTGAATTCTAAAATGTCCATAAAAAACAGTATATATATATTACAATATACAATCTGACACTCCATAATAAATACAACCAGTTTTATAATGGTAAAATAATCCAGCATCTTTAACGATTTTACAGGTATAAAAATGTACAGCTGATGTCCTAGACTCCAGCTGATTATATTTTGCCTTAAGGAGAAAAAGAGCGACTTTGGCCTTGCAGTGCATGTATTTGAAACAACCGTTTTTGATGCAGTATGACAAAAAATACGTTTAACAACCTCACAGAACCAAGTATAATAGAACTATTTTTGTAGGACTTAAATAATTTCAATTATACATCAAGCATGAAGATAAAAAATTTCGGATAAATATTTTAAAATATAAAATTCAAATTCATACCAAATCCCTGATAGATTTGTAAAATATCAGTGTTTGAAATGAAATTATTCAAACAATTACATACAATCTACAAACTAAAGTAAATGATCTTTTTCATAATATTTCTGAGCACACAAACATTTTCCAAAAAAAGCCTACTTTTTTCAATTTTTTTAACACAATACCAGTTACTGCTTAAATTATCTTTTTGTGTATGTACAAAGTCTCCTCTGTGTAAAAATTATGTTTTCTTCCAAGAATAGAACATCTCCAGTGGCCTATTGACTTTCCAGAACCGTTCGTTAACTTGGCGCAATGTCTGGTTTCCGTTGAGCAGCACATGCTGGCCGGGGGTCGGAGCCACGTAGATACAAAAGCTCAAACTCTGGTGGGAAATCTCATCTCCCAAATCAAGAACCAGTCTTGTTACTAAGTACTTGCTCAAATGGTCAACTGAAACAGAAAGTAAATCAGCTTGTGTGATGCTAGTTTAACTAGACATAATGACGAGAGGTTCATGAACAAAGTGGCTCTAATGGTGGGACACTTTTTCCTCTCCTGCTAGGTTATAAACTGATTTGCGAGGAAAGTAGGTAGATAGTGTTTCCATGATGATTTACAGCTACAGTACTATAGACAGAGGCAGTCTTGACCTAGCTTTAGGTAGGTACTGCACTAAAAATGCTACTGTACAAAAATTAAAATTTCAGTCGTAAAAAAAGAAGAATTAGGTACAGTAGAACCTCCTTTGTAGGCAAATTAAAAAAAAAATTAGATAAATACCCGAGAGAAATATGCAATTTATTTATTACATTTACAGTAGGTAAGTATACCTAAATGTTTTGCAAATTTGTTTTTTTAGATGACATCAAGATGGCTATGTTACAACACATTTTATTAAAATTCTATCCACCTACAATAACAATGTTAGCTTATGTTTTTAACTTAGTATAAGGTTAGGTAGTCTAGACATGTCTGTAAGAGTATATATTCCTCAATCTACTTCAAGCATACCTCACTGACATTTGTAACGAAAGTTATTCATCTAAATACTGCGTAAAGTGGTAAATTGCTGGCTTTTAGAAATTGCCCAAGTGCTGTAAAAACCGAGGTCTAGGTGCAAGTCTTTTGTATTTCCAAGAACGAGACGCGTCATAAGTGGAACATGTGCGGTACGTCGTATTTAAATTGGACTTTAAATATCATTAGGCCTACTAATGGCAGTTATATTCCATTCCTATAAAAATACCTGTGTAAAAAAGTCAACTCTAGGCCTACATGAAAACTATGTTTTTATTTAACACTGACACAACAGTTCCCAACCAGGAAACCAAATGGTCGTCATTGACCATTGTTAGCAAGAGTCAAGTTAGGTAAGCTAATCATTAGCATTTTGAAATTCAGTCATATGTAGGCCCATTTTTTAGTTGCGCGGGCTCAAGAGTATTTTTATGATTTGTTCTGTAGGCCTATTTTGTTGACAATAAAGCACTTTTTTAATTTAACTTAAGTTAATTTCATTTCAGTGCAAAAATTTAGTCGGCTCGTAATACATGTACGGTACGCTTGAAAATAAGTTGGCAACGCTTAAATAGGCCTACTACGATTTCGATCAGCTGGTGCAGTATTTCCTATTTTTGTCAATGATTTGATTTAACCTAACCTAAAACAAGTTGTTTAGTGTTTGAAAGACTATTTCTATGCTTTATAGTAACTGTAGGGAAAATGTAATGTGTAACACAAGTGCAAAGTGCTACTTCACACACTAGGCCTAGTAACACAAATAATTAGGCCTAGTAACACAAATAATTATTTAAGTTATCAGTTAAGTTTCCCCTTATAAATCTAAAATTTTGTGTCATTTTGGCCATAGGGTAGAAACTAGTCTTAAGGTAAATAGCCTAGTTGGAAATGTATTGATATAAAAAATATTTTTTAATTAATCATAGAGGTTTGCTACGTGAATTTAATAGGCCTAACACTGCTTTTTAAGCAAGTGAATACAGGGCCACGCACAACATGGCGTGGAGAGCCAGATCGCAAACCGCCAACTCAAATCAAGCAGTAAACTTATTAAGTTATGTTGATAGCTTGTAGCATAACCACTCATCAAAAAGGGGCTTAATTGTTAAACACGTTCAATGCTGAATTACCCATTAAAGGCATGCGATCTCTTGTGGCTTAGCCCCTTAGGTGTTTAACTTTTAAACTAACTTAAGTTAACGGAACTCATAAGCAGAGGTGTAAAGCCTGTGACATCTAAGCTGGCACTTGGCCTATGGCGGGCAGTGTAGGCGGGAGGAGGGTGCAGGTAGGGAAAAGACCGGACTGCAAACATTTGCGCTGCCTCATGGGTTGACTCCCCTTGTATTAAGTTATGTACTTGAGCGCCTTCATATGGGTCGCGAGGACAGTTGATGCAACCCGATTGATGGGACATAATGTTTTTGAACTGGCATCTAGTAGCGATCGGCTAAGTGCCAGCTTAAATGTCACGAGCTGTACATATATTTGAAAAGGTAGAGGTGTAGTCCTTAGAAACAGGTGGCGCTCACAATAACAACTAAGTTACCATCATTAATGGCTAAGCTTTCAGTGATCCAATATATTACCCCTATGTTCCACAATGTATTAGCCCTACGGCAGCGCTGACTTAAGTCGGCATGAACAGTCAACGTGTTAAAACTAAACTTAGGGCTTATTTATAAACAAGTAGGTAAGTAGGCTAAACTCACCAGTTGCATTAGCTGTAGTCTTGAGGTATCTTACAGAGTTATCTTTCAAAGCTTTCATCAATGTGTTGTCTGCACCCATCTCTGTAGGGTGTGGCATGAACACAAGCTCAATCTCATCAGAAGTTACCATATCGGACGTCCCTTCTCCTTCTGTGACAGAATCCTGGCCTCCTGATTCTGCGACACTGGAATTTTCAGATTCATTTTCGGAAGTAACAACAGATTTAGGTCTCTTAGGGAATTTTGGACCATTTGATTCATCCTTAAGCATACTGGCAGTGGCTGAAGACTGAGAAGTTTCGTCCATTGCTGTCTGATGAGCTGTCTTAGATGCAAGACCTGACTGCTCAGAGTGAGGGGGCATTGAGTTGCTGTTCTCATTTGCAGACGTAACAGCTGAAAGCGAGTGGTTATTGTCGATTTCATTACCTACTGATTTCTTGGAGCGTTGTAGACGATTTTGTGTTTGTAACTTTATACCTTCATTAATAGAATTCATGAGGGCAGCTTGGCTATGACTTTTGTGCAGTTTTTCAAGCACCTTAACTTGGTGTGCTTCATACTCATCTCTACTAGGATATATTTTTGATATCAGCAAATCGAAATTTGGGTCTGGCCTAAGGGACCTCTTGGATACAAGTTTCTTCCTACAAGTAGGACATTCCTTGTTGCCAGATCTAAGAGCAGTAATTATACAATCAGAACAAAATCTGTGTAAACATTCCTTAGTTGTCATAGTTTTCTTTAACATATCCAAACAAATAGGACACATAAGTTCATTGTGAAGTGATCTCGGAGAAACGGCGATTTCTGTATTATCTGTAATGGCTTCTTGCGGAGTTCTATGTAGTTCGTAAAGAGATAATTCCCAGGTTTTATTCAAACCAATCTGTTCAGTTGACGTCATATTTTACAAGATTTTTCGTAACAGATTATATAAATATTATACCTCTAACTCAAGGGAAGGCTATCTACAAAACACACGCCATAACAATATCACATACACAAAAACAAACCCATCAACAACAACAACGACGAACGAAACGACGTTTTTGAGGAGGATGATGGCTGAGGCTGCTGAGGAGACCGACACCAGCCGACCAGCGGGACTGGAGAGAAGCAGAAGACTGAACTGACTGGACTGACTCCGACAGAGAAAGAATGAGAAGAGAAGGGAGAGCGGAGTGGATCGAGAGAGTGATGCGGATTGCGGACGCGGTGGCGGAGGAGGAGAGATGCTCCAGGCCGCGGCCTTCAAAGTAGTAACGTCGCAAGTGGTGTTCCAAAACAGCTGTTTGTTTGGAAGCAGCTACTATAACTTTAATATTATTATTTGTATATTACTAATATTATAAATCTGAAAGTTTGTGAGTTTGTGTGAGTGTGTGTTGCTCAATCAAGCATAAACTACTGAACGGATTGGGCTGAAATTTGGCATGATGATAGCTCACATTCCCGATTAACATTAAAGCATATTCTTATCTAAAAAATCCTTTCGGGCTCCGCCCCAGTGGCTCTGTAGTTCCCCATGTTAACCTTATGAGTATTCATATTCAAAAGGAATTAATGAATCTTAACAGCTGTTTCAATTAAACAAGTTGGTTCTGTTCTATGATGTTCAATACACTGAGCTATAATTCTAACTGGAGGTAGCACTGAATGTCAAAGATGCGTGTCGCCAGCCGCCATGTTTGCGTGAGGTCGGTGTCCATAAGAAGCCATGTTATTGCTATGACAAAAAAACTCACTGCTATACAACCTAGTTATAAGAAGCCATGTTATTGCTATGGTAAGAAAACTTACTGCTATACCAACCTAACAAAATCAGCGACTCGCTTTTGACAGACTTCTGCCATGGCAGTGCTACCTCCAGTTATAATTTTAGCTCAGTGGTTCAATAGCATCAAAGTTACAAGGATTACCAACAGGGTGCAGCACTATTATTTGTTTTTTAATTTATGACAACAGCTAATTTCCAACCAAAACGTAAGTGAGCGTAGCGAACCAACTTCTTCTACCTGGAGGCGAGTTAGCGTAGCGAACGAGCTAACCTGAAGGCAAGTGAGCGCAGCGAACGAGCTCCAATCCAAAGGTGAGTGAGCGTAGCGAACGAACTTCAACCAGGACGTGAATGAGCCATGCGAATACTTATGAAGTTAAACGGGGCAAAGCCCGCGGGTACAGCTAGTATTATATAAGAATACACAATCTTGGTTACTGGGATATAAACATATTTACTCAGCTGTATGCTGAGTAAATACTCATAATACTCATAATAATATAATATTATAATATTATATTATTATTATATTATAGCCAATAATACAGATATAGATTTGAAATTGTTTTGGGTTTCAATTCTATATGTTAAATCTATATATATAAAAGGCAAAGCCCTCACTGACTGACTGACTGACTGACTGACTGACTGACTCACTCACTCACTCATCACTAATTCTCCCACTTCCCACTTACCTAAGAGGCTGAAATTTGGTACACTGATTCTTTAGGCATTAAATAGGAAAACTAAGTGGTTTTTATTCTGATCGGACTCTCGGGCTCCGCCCCAGTGGCTCTGGAGTTTCCCATGGTAACCTAATGAGTACTCATATTTAAATGGAATTAATGAATCATAACAGCTGTTTCAATTAAACAAGTTGGTTGTGTTCTATTATGTTCAATAGCATTAAAGTTACAAGGATTACCAACAGAGTGCAGCACTATTATTTTTTTAATATTTGACAACAGCTAATTTGAAACCAAAAGGTGAGTGAGCGTAGCGAACGAGCTAACCTGAAAGCAATTGAGCGCAGCGAACGAGCTCCAACCGTAAAGGTGAGTGAGCGTAGCGAACGAACTGCAACAAGACGTGTAAGCGCAGCGAACGAGCTCCAACCTAAAGGTGAGTGAGCGTAGCGAACGAACTTCAACCAGGACGTGATTGAGCCATGCGAACGAGCTCACATATGAAGTTAAACGGGGCAAAGCCCGCGGGTACAGCTAGTTTTCTATATTTTAATAAATTCATGTTCATAAATTTAATTGAATAGTACGAGAATAAATGAACTGATGTCACTTGTCTGCCATTTATTCTTATGGGACGTTTATTAGCGCTAAACAACACTACCTGTGACGTTGCCAATTCTAAGGTAGCCGTGTACGACAACGCTAAAGGGCCACCAAACCAACTGTAAAAAGTATTTTAACTTTAATCTCAGAATTTTAACTTTTTTCCCCAGAGAGGAACACCCACTAGTTAAATTCTGACTTAAATCTCAGAAGGGGAACGCTGATATTCTGACGCAGTAGTTATATTCTGACTTTAAACTGGGAATTCTGACTTTTTTCTTCTGACGCCTACTTCCCGCGTTCTAACTTTAATCTCAGAATTATTAATCTCAGAAGAGTTACAGGACGGACATCAATCAACTTATACTGAGGAGTACTTAATCTATGCTTCAACTCACGTCTATTTAATAAGAGTAAATTCTAGTCCTATGTACCTGTCTATATTTTTCGACCGCTAGTCATCACGTCGTTCGTCTGTTCGTTGTTGTATTCGTGTTTTCGTATTGTGTATGTGTATTGTTGTATTGTTCTTGTGTGTGTAGGTAGTCCTAGTTTTTGCACTTGTCTAGTTATCGTATTTTCAGAATGCCTTATTTTTTTATTTAATGTAATTAAATTACTGTAGTTTGTATAGATTTTATAACCAATATTGTATTTTCACCTCTATCTCTAACGATTAATGTGTTGAAAATGAGCAAATACATGTATTCTACAGCAAACTTATCAGACAAAGAGTTAAAGGATCAAGGAAACAGATTGTTTAGCCTTAGAAAGTATGAAGATGCCGTCAACTGTTACACCAAGGCAATTGTAAGTATAAAGTTAATGTAATGGACTCAAATAATATTGGAAGTATCATAGCCTTCACATTGATGAATGTCTGAAGCATTCAAATCACTACAGTACCTAACCTAGAATACCCAGAACAGATAACTTACTTTTAAAGTGGTTTAAAATCTTTATGCAAGGTCTAGAATACTACTAAACGTCTAATTTAATAATTTGAATGTATATGAAAGCTCAAGAATGGCTTGGGGTGTTTTAGCCTATGGTTTTAATATAAGGTACCGGTAACTTAATTTATATGAGGCCTATTGCCAACTTTAAAATGTTTAATGCTGCATCTTATTTTTAAAGAACGATTTCAAATTGGATAGGCTACCTACTGAGAACTGAAAAGAGTAACTAGAGGTGGGACGTTCTGGCCTACGGAACCATTTCATTGGAGCGCTCTAATGTTGTAACCCCGGAACTGTCGTCATTTCAAAGCGTGGAACTGTGCGTTCCACTGGAACGTGTTTCACTGTGCAGCGCCGCTCGAGGCTTCAACAACTGCTGGCCCGCTTCAGCGACCAGCGCGGTCACAGTAACTTACTGTTGTAACGAAGACGGTCGCTCCCGCAAGCTGGAGCGCTGCTTTCGCTTAAGCTTGATAAGGTTGGGAGTATAAACATAAACAAATCACCAATCGCCACCTGACACCTGTTCATTCTATCAATCTATCAACTTAAAACCATACCGTACTGTCACTGTCACTAGTAAATGAATGTCTTTTATAAAAAAAAAAAATTAGTGTCTTGTGGAGATACCTACTTTACAGTAAGAACTGATCATTGCAAAAGTGTGTTCTACGGGCTTTTGCTGACTTTTTGTTCGACTTCCAATAATTTGGAGAGAAAAAAACATTTAGAACAACGACCTGTCAAGTTACGATCTCTCTAAATCCTAATGTTGCATTAGAGTGACATTATATTATTTCTTTGTGTGGATGTAATTTTATTTTATAAGTCAATTGTTAGTTTCATAACCTGATAGTTCCAGTTTAACTAACTTAGCCTACTTAATTTTTATTTTGCACCTAATTTATGTCATATTTTTACGAGTGTAATGAACACTTTATGCCTGCCTCGCGGTTTTGTGGTTGTCACTTAACATGTTATGTTTTTATTATTTAGGCTAAGTTATAACTCAAAAACTTTAAAAATAATTTTTTTATATCCAAGTCTGTGAATTGTCTTTTAGGCCTACTGTCTTGTCCGTCCGTTTCATATAAACTGGTGCAGAAAACCTGATTAAAACATGTCATTAACGAACGATATTCCCCTGAAATTATTGTAAATGAAAAAATTATGAGCCAGTAAAAAAGATATAGGCCTACATTAGATATTACACCTCCAAAACCCCCTTTTACGTCAAATTGGGTCCATATAGGTTGCTTTACCCATGTACCATGTAAAGAAAGACAGTTTATAAAGAGCTGTTCTATTCTCAGGATTTTGTAGATCACATCTGTGTGTCGGGTGTTTTATTAATGATCGTAATTTTTTGGCACAAATTACCCCATATTTCTTAAAAAAGTATACAATTGAGGAATATGAACTACACAGCCTAAATTGTAAAAAGTTTCATCAGAAATTAAATAAAGGGTATCAGCAATCCGACACCTACTTTCTCCCATTAGCTTGTCAACAACCTTTATAAGCAATGAGTGCAACTATAATAACTCATGGGAAAATCACAAAAGTTTCATTAAACGTTTGAACCAATGGGAGTTCATTAAAGTAATGGGAGTTTTACCATTTTGTTCAGAATGTACAGGGCTACAATATAGGTAGCCTACTAAACTTTTATCAAAACCGTTTGGGCCATTTTCAAGAAAAATTGATTTTTCCGTTATTTTATGGGCTTTCATGGGGTTTTCACAATTAAAATAAAAAAATAAAAAAACTGCCTGGAGATACTATTGATTAGTACATACCAAATTTCATCAAAAACGGACTACAGGTGGGATCTGTAGCTCTGTACACATCCACATATAGGCCTACAGAGATACAGAGTCCACACAGACTGATTTACAGAGTGTACTGAAAGTGGACTGACATCACTTCGAAAACCATAGGCCTATTTTTTGCGTTCAGGGAGACCAAAAAATGTAGGCTATTATTTCCACTCAAACTCGGAAATTTTGACAAAAACAATAATTTCTCCATTTCTATACTAAGTATAGGTAAGCTAAAGGGAGGAAGTAAAAAGGGCTTGCAAAAAAAAAAAAATAGTCCATTATCAGCTGTAATTCTTATTTTTTGCAAGATTACTTTTGACAATGGAGTATGATGTCAATGGGGGAATGTTTGGAGTTATCAACTTGTGCTGAAAACATGCGTCTTTACCACTTTGTCTTGCCTTTAATTTTGCCCTCTGAACAAAACATCCACAACGTTTTGTGCATCATATTTTATGGTTCAGAACAGAACTATAGACAAGTCCCTCATAACAAAGTAAATCAAGAAATGAAAACAGCCCTTCAAATTGGTTTCAGAATTAAAGTACCGTACTAAATGTAACGATGAGAGTGATTAATGGACAACCCTTCTCATTTTGGATCAGATTTATATGCAATATAAATGCAGATTATTTTGGCATCTCAATAGATTTGGTGTCTCTGTCAGAAAAGCAATGGTTTGATTAAGAGTGCCGTAGTTGAATGCCGCTTACAATACTTTCCTGTTACAGATTAAGAATCCTACAATGCCGACATATTTCACAAACCGTGCGCTATGTCACCTGAAGATGAAGAGGTGGGACAGCTCGTGTCAAGACTGTCGTCGCGCTCTGGACATTGACTCTTCTCTGGTCAAAGGACACTTTTTCCTCGGACAAGCACTGCTGGAGATGGACAACTACGACGAGGCTATCAAACATCTGCAGAGAGGTTAGTAACCTTAAAACTCAAAGCTAAAACAAAAATCAGACCCCTTGAAAAATCTCAGTACGGTACTTTAAGCAGATGGTCTTAGATGGCGTGTCCCAGGGTTTTTATGTTTTTTGTGATTGCTGATGCCTGTATGTTAACCGTAGTCATCCCTCCATAATGTGCCTGAAGTAAGTAGGCCGGATTATTAAGAGTCCTATTTAATTAGTGAAATAAAGTTACCGTTACTGAATTACAGCTGAAGTTCCTACAAAAGTTCACAGCAACATTGAACGTGTGCGTATGTGAGTTTGGTGTTTTGTCTCCCGTTTCGTTCTCACTTGCCAGTAGCCTACTGCTAAGTAACAATGTAGTAGCCTAGGCCTACTTTACTTTAATATGAAATTACATACTCATAAACATAATAATTTAAGGCTATGATTATTTTTATTTAGGGGAGCGAGTCGAGTCGGATTACTTAAGGGGATTATCTGGGCCAGATTATTGAAGGACTAGCCTACTTATTTGCTCCTTAATTCTCTCAATTCTTAAATTGCTTTTTTCTGGAAATGTAAGACTAGACAGAGTTTGAGGTGTTAGTAGCCTATAAATATTAGTTTAAGTTAGGTTTAGGCTATTTCATCATGATTTTCACGTTTTGTTTATGTAAGCCTGGTAACTAGTAAGAATAAGCCATGTGGCCTTAATTTTTCCTGTTTAAATAAACTAATTTTCATCTCAATTTTATTAAAATAGAACAACTGTCTTAAAAGTAAAAATCTATCTTGGTTTGGAAACTCATCGTAAAAATGGCTTTAGAAACCCATTTACATACATTTGAGACATGGGTATTTTACTTGAAAAGCAATTTCAACATGGCCTTTACCTCATCATTGTCCCTAGATTTATACGCACCCTCCCAATATCTACGTATTATCAGTTACCGTACTTGGTAAGCATCACTTTCATTATGAAACATTAATTTATTTGATGATCACACTATCATTCAGGGTTAAACTATTCATACTACAAGTTTTTATTTTATATACTTTTCACAGATATTGCATTATGGTCATAGTTTAGGAGGTACGACCGACTGGGTGAGTTTGGGCAGAATGAGGGTTTTGATATAATTCCTTCACTGCATCTACACTGCACTGGCTGATGACAGGGAGTGGTCAATGGCAGAGGGTCAGGGAAGTTTGCTCTGTCATCGTCACATAAACCATCCCAACTCAACCAGATAATATGGTTAAATACGCATATAGTGGCGTCCCCATCTTAAACAATTGATAATTGATGTGACCTGTTTTTAATATCTTATCATAATGCTTTAAGACTCTGGTATTAGTTTTGTATTCCTATGTATTATTTTGCAATTTTTAAATACTTGTGTGTTGCAGCCAATGATCTTGCAAAAGAACAGAAACTAAATTTCGGGGATGACATAGCCAGTCAGCTACGGGCTGCGAGAAAAAAGCGCTGGAATGTTCAAGAAGAGAAGCGGATAGCACAAGAAATAGAGTTAATGGTGAGCGCTGTGATTTTATTTGCAAACTAGTAAAAGAAAGTTTGTATCACTAAATACCTCCGCTACAGCAAACCTGTTTTATTTTTTCATTTAATTTCATGACGAGTGTTTCTGAGTTACTGTTACCAACCTTTCAAGAACCATTCCCTTTTTGAATACCCGCAGTTATGCTAGGGTTGTTTAATGTATTTTTTTCACTGTCGGTTTATGCCAGTCTATAATCGCGGACTTTAAAATCCTAGGATCACGAAAATGTAAATAGCTTATAAAATAAGCTAAAAATAAGTAAATAGCTTCATCACATAAATAGCTTAGGTTCTAAACATTTTTTTTAGTTAGCACTCAATCCGAGACAAAGTTGGTTCAAAGTAATTCTTAAGCTAGGGTTAATCTTAATTTTGAGCATATATACTTAATATCTATCTGTATTGTCTGCCGACAGACATACCTGAATAGATTGATGGTGGAGGACGCCCATCGTCAGATAGAGAAGGTAAAGCAAGCTAAGTCATCAGAAGGGCTGAGCGAAGAGGCGGCTGATGCACAGATCTGCGAGCTGGAGAGCCAGTGTGATAACAACGTCAGCGAACTAAACTCACTGTTCGCCAAAGTGGACGACAGGAGAAGAGTGAGTAGTATAATGTAATGAGATTTGCTTTTTCCGAGCTTCGCAACGTGATAAGAATACTGGAGAATAATTTGCTTCATAATATCCACTGTGGAATTGGGAAACAGTTACACACTCGAGATTAATCTGGTACTAAGTGGATAGTGCTTGCGTATGAATCAGTTGGTTACTGACTCAATCCCAAAATATTTAAGTTTGTTTTTCGGTTTGAATCTGGACCCTGTTGCCAGTGAACAGCTGGTGGACTGGAACAGATGGTGTTAGTACCTCAGCTACACTTAGGTAGTATGGGAGATGAACCATGGGATTGTTGCATTACGAGTATGACATAGCCAAATTTGGGAAATAAAGTTAAGCCAGGAAAATTTATTAAAAACCTTAATAGCGTTAATTTTTTGGATGATTAGTCATTTTGAAAGAGATGTGCAGAGATTAGTAAAGTTCTGAAAAATCTGTGGTCGATGTAATTTTTATCACCAATTTTTGGGTTTGTTAAGAGCCGTAAGTATTCAGAATGTGATTTCTCATTAAATTGGTATTGTATTAATAAATACCCTCTCCCGCAGCAAACCTGCAGACCAAACAAGTTTCCATTCGCTTGATTTGATTTTAGTTTTAAATCTATTAAATAACATTAGGTTTAACGAGTAATTGCTGCTACAGCGTAGGTTATAGACTAGTGTGTTTTTTAGTAAAATATTAATAGCGTTATACAATAAATAAATAAAAAGTTAGATAAAAATATATCCATAAACAGGCAAACTACAACTGATTCCATAAGATTAATATAGAAATTTTAAATTTACAATTTTTTCAATTTTCCCTGTAACCAATAACTGTACACTGAGGTTGGCGGCTTCTTTTAATCTTTCACTTGCTCGTCCACATAGGCTTTGGGCCGGTGTGTGGAATGTATCTACCAAAGCAAGAAATTAGTTGTTTCAGTACAAGAGTGAACTGTGCTGAAAAAAAGTAGGGGCAAGTACCAAGATCCAAACGCACGAGATCACAGCCATAAGCACAAGTCCATGGAGGTCATTGACTCACCAAACAGCTTATTGTTGTACTTTTCGACAAAAACTTCAAATATACTTAAAATTTGAATATTTATGTTATAGAAAAGAGATGTGCCTGACTACCTGTGCGGCAAGATCAGTTTTGAGATTCTCCGCGAGCCTGTGATCACTCCCAGCGGCATCACTTATGAGAGAAAAGATATCGAGGAACATTTACAGGTAGAGTAGGATAATATAGGTTCACTCAAGTAATGTGCCGGTGTTATGGTGGTGCCTCTAAAGGGCCACATAATCAGTAAGCGTAAGTGCCACAATGGAAATATAATTATTTATTCTGCCAATAGTATCGATTTAAGTTTATTTTAAAAACATTTATCACTGTTATTGTCATTAATATACATATAATCCATGTTAATAATTTATGAAATCCCTATTAATTGTTGTTACTCTTTGTCGGTAAGTTAGTTATCTTTCTAATCCACAATCGCATGTAATATTTCATTCTAGTTTCTCATACATATTATTTTCAATCAGACTGATTGAGTCATGCATGTTGCATATTTATATTTGTACCAAACATCAAGAAACCATGTAAAATGGTGTATTGCTGTGTATAAATAAATAAATGTTTGGTAGAGTGTTTCTATTGCATTTTCACAAGGTTACTGTATAGTTTTTTTCTCATGCTTGGTTTCAGAGTTTCAGTGAACTATTTCAGTTTTTAAAAGTGCATTACTAGGTTTTACCATAGATTGAACATACTCCCTTTGTAGATTTGTCACCCTTATGGATCAGCTGAAGAAAATTTAAATGGTAGTTCCGTCACAAAATCTTAATAGTGACTTTAGGGGCGTGTTTTTTTACATATTGTTTCTTGTTTTTCAGTTGTTTAAAACCTCCTCTGACCAAATAAAAAATTTAACCATAAACAATAGCTCGTCTCCTGGTTATATAACCAAAAAGTAAGGAACGACTTGTATAATTAACCCTAAATTAAGAGAAAAAAATTTCATTGACAGCGCTCAGTGTTACCAACATGACCTAGGCATGAAAAACAAGCTTCAGATTTTACAAAAGATTGAGAAGTCTGCTTTTGTTGGTTAATCTGTGGTTGACTGAAGTAAAACGTTCAGCCAACAGATTGTTCGGTTGGCTTATAATCTTCTTCATCCTGCCAAGTCTATCAATGTTCCACTTATGGAATCTTGAGTCAATTATTTTTTCCTAAGTTCAATTTGCGTAGACCTTTTGTTTCTATGCATTGTTATAACAATTTAAATATTGCTAGTACTGTGATTTTGTTTACAGCCAGTTGATTTGAACACTTTCAAGGGTTTTAGTGATTCTGTTTTGTAATATTCTAATTTTGTCATAGAGGGTCGGCCATTTTGATCCGGTGACCAGAGTGAAGCTCACCCAAGACCAGTTGATTCCTAACTTTGCCATGAAGGAAGTCGTTGACAACTTTCTGCAAGAGAATGAGTGGGCCCTGGACTATTGAACAGAGGGACAAACGACTGAAGATTTTAGATATAAACCTTGTGACATAATTTTGTCAAGATTTTTCAAATGTGCATTGCATCCGTTTTGTAAACTCCTAAGGATTGATCCCCCAAGTAAGAGAGAGAAAATAAGTATAATTTTTAAGAGTAGGGAAGAAACGAATGAAGAGAGCAATGTTATGTTGGACTGTTATGGATTTTTGAACTGTTTCTTTAGGTTCCACTTTTAAAATGTTTAGTTGGTGTTTAATATATTTATGAATTATAATAATTGTTGAGTTACAAGAGCATTTTCACCTTACCAAAATGAGGCTCACTGGTGAAAAACTCTGCAACAAAAAAATTGTGATCACTGATTACTGTAATAGTCTAATTGCCTGCAAGACAATGTACAATTATATGTGTTACTTGAGCAAGGCAGGTGTTGCTCTTCAGTCTGAAATCTGATATTAACATAATTTCAGATTGTATAAACGTGTACTCCTGTTGGCCCAATTTATCAAGGACCTGGCTTAATGATTACGTTTGGACTTAAATTTTTGCTTTAAAACAGCGTGGATTGCAAATACTGAGAATAGTCCATCCAGTGCACTGTAAAAAGTGTTAGCATCTTTCGCTCATCTCGTCTTGTAATTTTAATTCAACTTAAGTCCAAACAAGTGTAGCATAAATTAACCGACTGTAATTTACAAATCAACCCAAGTCTGCATCATTCAATACATTTGACAAAATTATCACTTTCAATCAGAGTAAGTCCCGCATTAATTGTCAAAATAATTTAACATCAATACAGTTTAATATGTAATCCAATAAAAAAATATTATTAAATTTTGTGGGCAAACACCTTACCATTCAACCCAATGTTCTTATTTGTTCACAAAAAAAGTATCTAAGATGACCTAGAAACATAATTAGGTACTCTTAATTTATTTTCTATTATAACATCTATTTGCTATAGATTGTTCTTGCTCAGCTATCTCAAGTACTCATCAATTTTTTTAAATTGAAAATAAATCAATGCAATTATACAATATTAAAGGTGCAATATTTTCTACTTTCACTAGATCACCATTTAAACCATAATATTCTTTTGTGTTTTTCCTTTTTAGTGCAAACTGCTATTGTTTATTGTTACTTATATGTGTATTTTTGCTCATAATTTACTATAAGTCAACCTAAATAGCTAGATTACAGTAGTTTAGAACGTATTATTATATTAGTTCAAGGACTGTATATAAACAATATGAAACTTACACGTTGTTATGTAAATATCCGCCAAGAGTTTAAAACTAAACTACAACATTTTTTCATGTTGGAAAGTTCGTGTTAAACTTTGAATGTTTGGATTTATGGAATTTTGTGAAATAAAATAGAGTTCAAAAAAATCAGAGTCTAGAGGATTATAGATACACAATAAAAGATCACAAAATATTAAAAATAGTAAATTGCGGCTTTCCTTTAAAATATAACATCTAAGTAAATTTTGTGCATCTGAAATTAGTGCAGAGAAATTGAAGAAAGAATCCACTGTATTTTTTAAGGTGACAGGGTTTTTCTGATGGCCTTTGGAAATCGCTGAACACATTTTTTTAGGTATATGAAGCTGGAAGTTTTGTTTTATGGTAAATCTAGTTCGGAAAATGATTTTTAAAATTTTGGAATTTCAGTTGTGTTGATATTTATTCCAAAACTTATCAAAATTGTATTTGTAAAGTTTATTCATATACTTGGTTAGGATGTTAATGTTTCAACAAACATCCTAGAATGCTATCGAGATTTCCATATATACTCAGCATATACTATCGTAACTTGTCTTATCTTTTTAATATAATACATATTATTTTTTGGTTCTGTGTTGATCATTTATATATCTTAATGCAGTTCAGCTGTTAAGTGTTAATAACTCTCATTCACATTCCAGAGTCTTCTTAGTTTTGGTCTTTTGAGTACCATACTTAACTGTTTTTTTAAGATTTATAATCATTTAGATAAATTATTTAAATGTTATAAATCATGTTGTAATGTTATAAATCATTTATTTATTAAAAGCTATCTCTTTTTACATCCCATCAAAGGTTTTTACAAATTCAATAACACATTTTGCCACAATACTGTCATACTGAAACTGTCACTATCATAAATTAGTTCTAGCTTTGTATTGTGATTTTAACTTTGATGATTTGTTCGACAGAATGTCTTGTCTAAGATATGAGGTGAAATGTTTGGAGGAGTACTCATGGACAATTTCTTGTGTGAGTGTGTTTGTACAGGATTTTTATGTTATGGGTTGAAATAATTTGTAAAATATGTATATTTGAGCTTATTCCGAGAAAATTCTGCTGTTAGCCTTTTTTATGAAGTTATTTGATTTGTTCTCTGTGTTTCAAATAGGTAGAATATTTTAGATGTCACAACTATGGAAACAATTTAAATCAATTTTACCTTCTTACAAGGGATGTCTTAAGTAAAAGAAATCTAAGAGATATAATGACGTAATATTCAATACACATGTCCCTTCAATATAAAAATGTTTCAAATTTAAAATCATTGCGAACATAATATTATTTATAATCTAGCATTGTAGATAAAGTGTGCTGCCTATGTGAGCCATTGTTTTCTTTTCAAAAGTAAACTTTATCTTTTTTAAATGTTGTTATTTTATGATCCCCTTTGCTTCCTGTCGGTTTATTTGATAGTAAACCTTATGTTAACGTTCATCAAGCATTTTAAGTGTTTCTTGGATATCTTGATACACGAAAACATGATTCTAAGATGAAAAATCTTGAGAAAAATTATGGTTGGTGATTTAGGTAAAAAGAAACAAATATTTTGTTGTAGAATAAATATTAATTTTATAATACTGACAATAAATACTATTTTGTTCTACAGCACACTAATTATATACATCTAAGAAATGTTACCAAACAAAGCAATAAATTAACTGTACAAGTTTGATTCTGATGCTTACAATAATAAAAACTTTACCAGATAAGTAAACTTATCTCAATGGAAAAAATTTCCATAACAAGTATTGTAAGGTGTTAATTTACTAGAAAATACATTTTCAGCATGGAAAAAACACCACGATAATTATAGTTTGAGATCAAATAATGTTAATTACTTTTTGAAATACTGTAGTTTGGATGTTAAAACTTTGTTTACAAGGGTTTGAAACAATCCCAAATTTTAAAAATCCATCAATTTTGTTTAGAGAACAAAATAAAATCGACTAGAATTTAAAAATTTTGGAATGAGAAATTTGATTGATAATAACAGCCGATCGTTAATAATTTAATGTAAAAATCAGTAAATCACTCAATGGTGATTCCGTTCAGTTATACCAGTAGATTACTCATCACTGCATCATAACGCACTCCTTGGGTTTTTGCAAATGAACAGTCGAGTGCATTGCTGTGGAGAGATGTTGGCTGTTGTACCACGTTTGTACGCTTCTTTGTACGACGTGAAGCGAGGCTTGTTGATGAAACTGGCGGCCTTCTCCAGGTACCTGAACAAAATATGTTTTGAGTTGTTGGAGGGAGATATCAATTAGCATGAAGAGATTTTAGTTGCTAAATTTTTAGAAGGGTTTTCTGCTTCTGTAGAGATGGTTTTGTCTCGTTTCATATTGAATGAAGGTGCAGTAGTTGGTCTTTAAAGAACATTACTCACTTAACTTTTGTCTTTGCTTAGATTCGGATATAATTACTGATAATTTAATGTGCCAATATTATTTTTCTTGAGGTTTTTGTAGTTTTAAAGCCAAGTATGTTTTGACTGTAAATATTGTCCTGTGTTTGCTTAACTATGAGTTGATAGCTTTCCTTGCTCTTATTATTGTCCTATTATTGTGTTCTTTTATGGTGTGGTGCCACACCTAGCGGATATGAGGGTTTCTTCTGTAGATGTTTACAATCAATGAGGGCTGCAAGTTGGTTGATACCAATATTAAAATTTTTTTGTCATACTGCAGCAAAAACGGCCGTTTTTAATGCGTTGAGGGTCTAAAGTAGCATTTTTACTCTCTAGGGAGTAAAAATCATTTTAAGCCCCTAAGGAGTCAAAATAATTTGTCATCAACTCGGTTGTAAATTTTAATTGTAAATGATTGCTTGTGTCGAAAGTGTGTATAGGTTGTTTAATCGATTGTCGTTAATTGTTGCCTTAGTGAAAATAGTTCGACATATCGGTAGTATAATGTACACTAACACAATCGTAATAGACAAAACGGATTAATCACTTACTAAACAGCTGCTTGTTTCCATTAGCAAATTAAATTGAAACAAGCTGTAAATAGTTTTTAGAGGTTATATTTAAATGCAAATTATTTCTGTTTTGTAACATAGTTTGTTTAGTAATGGTGCAATATGACAAAAAATATAGTTTACAACACAGGTAAAAAGTGTCTTTTCAACCCTCGCTCAGTTTCCGACCTTGGCTTAGCCTTGATCGTAAAACTTGAGCTCTGGTCGAAAAGAGTCACTTTAGGCCCTAGTGATGAAATATACTATATTACCCATTGATAAAAAACCGTAAATTTTGAAACGTTTAAATTCATCAAATAACTTGATTACAATTATTTGGTGGAGGAGTTCTTTTAACAAATGTAAAAAGGGTTTAGTAATTAGAGCACATCATTGTATCATTGTGTACTGATGAGACACCAGTATGAAGCTGTTGACAGCTCGCATACTTTATCTCTTAGTAAAACAAGTGGTTTAGAAATTTTGGAATTTACATATTGATTTTTGCGTACTCTGATGTGATTATTAAACTAGACCAGCTATACAACTTAAAAATCATAAATACCATGCTACAAATGTAGAGTATCCTCTGGACTGTCTGCTGCAGGCTAGTTGACAAGCGACCCTTTCGATGCATTGTTCCGACTCTAAAACTCTTCTGACAAGATAGAGTACATCATCAGAGACCCCTCGAGACTCAATATCTGTCTGCCTCCGTCTGCGACCAGTGGTGGGAGCCAGCACAGGAACAGGCAGGGAGAGAAGAAGAGGAAGCAGAATAGGAATAAGGATGAACGGGATAATCGGTGCAAGGATCAGTGGAAGAATCAACGGCAGCAGCAAGAAAAATCCGATTATCAATATCGGAGCGACAAGAATAAGAATAAATGGAATGATGATTGGAATCGTCAAAAGTTTTACGAGTTTGATCAACTTCAAAATGATGAAAAACTTAAACGCCAGCGTGAATAAAATCAACGGGAACTTAATGAGAAAAAGGAGAATCAACTTGAACATCCCGAACGAAATGATCTTTAACAATACAAGTTTTATCAGTGCAACCACACCGAGCGAAGACACATCAAACTTGGATTGTTTCTCGTACATGGGTGGGACCATCGGAGGTTTGTAATAGACAGTTCTGATGTTGGGGTGATGGTACACCTGGTGTCCGTGATCGTCCGTGTCATACTGAGGATATTCCATGTTCATGTAGTGGTAGTCACCGGAACGCTTAACCATCGCCATCTTCACTGGAAGAGATGTGTTGCTTTTTGGCCGTGTTTGTGGCTGGAGTTTCCGTTGAGGCTGAATCGGTGCTCGTATGAGGGGTTTTTGCAAAGTTCTCGATGTCTGGGTCAGGCCTGAGTCGAGGTAGCGGTGGTTAGCGTACACCAAGTCGACTCTCTCTTCAGTCAGGACAGGGTGGAGAATGAAGAGGGAGAGAGAGGGAAGGAGCATCATTGTGCAAGACGCTGTCTGAAACAGGAAAACAAGTTTTAGTATCTTAATCACTTCAATTGGACACACACGAATGCATGTAACCAGGTACTGCCTGTTGTTACAAGCAAAAAAAAATGTTCAAACAGTATAACCTAGCGTGCATAG